TCAATTTATATTCTTAAAAGAATTTTAAAAAATGTCCTGAATGATAGAAATCAAAGACATGGGGCAATATATTTCTTTTAGTACCCTAGTACATTAGTTGTATTAGTATTAACTCTTGACTGTCTTTCTTCTGGCTTCTATTATTCTTTACAGAAATGGTAAGCGGAAAATGATTGATTCATTCTTTGTAAGGTTTTGAATTTTTTTTTTTTTATTGTCACAAATATAAGTAAAAAGATAGTTGGATTACATTGCTGCTTTTCCAAAAATTTGTTGAGAAAGTTATTTATTTTGGTTTCAAAGGAGAGGGAGGATGGAATTTAACAAATGGGAGGAAAAGGATGGTATTTGACGAAGGGAGGGAAATTATTCCGTGTTTGATTTACAGCTCTGAAAAAAAAAGGTTAATATATTGTTATACACATATAATTAGTAATGGTAGAGACGAGAGGTAGAATGCAATTTTGGGACAATTAGTTAGCTAAGCCAAAAATCATGAATCACTTTTCCCCCTCCAAAATCCCCCAATATTACTGGAGGGGAGACAAATATAGGAGAGGGATTGTAGCCTCTTTATTTCCCCTTCCCGCCCTCCAACCTTTTAAACAAATAAAGCTAAAACAACTCTTTCATATATTTCCCTCTAACCGTACACACTATAAGTTCTGATTCTGACGGATAGGTGGGGAGGGATTTTTGCTTCTTTATTTCCCCTACCTGCCAAATTGTTAAACCAGTAAAATTATAATAATCCCCCCCTTCATTTCCCTCTAACCATTCACACTTTAAGTGCTGATGTATACATGATGATAACCAATTATGGGGTCTAAGTAGTCCGGGTTGGGTCAAATTTAATCTAAGTTTTTAACCTAACCAGTTGAGTTTACATTTACCTCTTTTATTTAGTAACATAACCCGACCCAACTCAATTGTAATAGGTTGAGTAATTTAAAAAAAAAATGAGTATTTTCTAAAAAAAATTATCTGAATAAATTTTCAATGTTTCTAATAATTATAAGGTAGTGACAATACTTATAATACATACATAAATAATATTCATTTGATAAAATATAAAGTTATTTTATATAATAGTTATTAAACAAATAATATATTTTAGTATATATTTATATGTAATTGGGTTCATTGGGTATTTTAAACTCATGAATTCATTTTCCAATATAGAACCCAAGCCAATGATCCAACATAACCCACAAAAATATAATTGGTTTGGGTACAATCCGGTTTCACCCGGACCCAATTAGAAATATATATTTGTTTTTATGTATCTGGTAAAGTTTCAAACATTTGGACTTTATACAGATGAAATATGTGGGTATTTTGAACTGGAATGTTATAAAAGCGGCATTTTCATGCTCTGCCTCGTTGCAAGAGCATTAATATCAGAATTATAATGTTAACCTCTACAGGCCACAATCTTGAAACCTGCTGTCATGATTGGTACAGAGGATCGGATTTTGAATCCATGGGCTCATTTTGCGAAAAAGTATGGCTTTATTCCATTGTTTGGAAATGGGAGCACAAAGTATGTATAAACCTATCTAATGATTACTTTGAACTTCAATCATTCTTTACCAAATTGAATAATTGCTTCGATTGTTTTTTAATCTGAAATGCAATTATTGCAGGATCCAACCTGTATATGTTGTTGATGTTGCTGCTGCACTTACCACAGTCTTGAAGGATGACGGCACTAGCATGGGAAAGACTTATGAGTTGGGTGGTCCAGATATCTTTACTGTGCATGACTTGGTACTCTCCTACTTTATCTCTTTATTTTAAATGATTTTTTTAGTTACTCAAATTTAAAATTGATCTTAGTTCCCCAGATTTAAAAGTGAATTTTTAGTTCCTCAACTGTAAAAGTGGTATTTTAAGTCCCTTAAATGTTACTTTATTTCTTTATTTGTTGCTAATATTTATATTTCATATGTTGTCAAAACAAAATGTGCTAATTTGTTGTGGGTGGGGGGAGTTGGAAGAAGAAATTGTTGAGTGATATTGAATATGTGATAATTACAGGCAGAGCTTATGTTTGAAACAATCCGAGAATGGCCTCGTTACGTGAAGGTGCCTTTCCCCATTGCAAAGGTCTGTTTAACCCCCTTCGAATTTGTTGACGTCTACTTACTATTGGAAAGCCACTAATGAACATATTTTTGGTCTTGTGGGATTTTGCTTTTACCTGATATATTTATAACTAATGTTGAATATAAATCTAGGAATTTCACATTTATAAAGTTCAATAATATTGAATTCTCTCTCTCTCTCTCTCTCTCTCTCATGCATCCAGTTCTATTCTTAATATGTAACTGAGATTTTCCTCATAAGATTTGTTCAAAGAGCCACACTTTAAATTGTAGAACTTTCTATCTTACATAGACTTGTGTTAATTTTCTGTGTATTTATTTTGTATAACGGTTTACTATTAAGAGTTTATGGTGACGCTTTTTGTTGTCGTAAAATGCTAACATTGTGTATCGAATGATTAATTTCAGGCATTGGCATCACCAAGAGAAATATTACTAAACAAGGTCCCCTTTCCGCTACCTAATCCTGACATATTCAATTTGGATAAGATCCAGGCTTTGACTACCGATACCATTGTTTCAGAAAATGGTAAGTTCCTTAATTGAATCAGGAGGTCTGTTTATCTTGTTCCAAGACGTGTAGAACTGTCTCTTATGTCGCACGTTCCACATTTTTTGTTTTATGGAATTTGCAGCTTTGACTTTCAATGATCTTGGAATTGTTCCTCATAAGCTTAAGGGATACCCTGTTGAGTTTCTTATCTCATACCGGAAAGGAGGCCCACAATTTGGTTCTACCATCAGTGAAAGAGTCAATCCAGATGCTTTGCCATAGGATTCTTTGGATGTTTTGATCCTGAATCATTTTTCTATCTTGCTTGTACTTACACCTTTGCATTTCACTATTTAAAGAAGATCTGAAAGGTTTTTGTTTGTAACTTTCCTAATCTGTAGAATACGTGATCATGTTTGACCATGATAATAAAATCCAGATACTTGTTGATTCCCAAACGTAAACGCCGTTGGATCAAGTTGAGTCATTTATATACTATATATAAAGGTCAGATTTCTAATGTTGTGTTTTCTTTGGTGCAATTAATATGGTCGTGGTTACCTTCAAATCAACCTCCCCTTTCTTGACCTTGTCTTCGACAGCTTCAGAGAGAAAATGGAAAAATTGTACATTTCAAGGGAGCCAAAATAACGTGATAAGTTGAAATAATAAAGAAACCTTGCTCTGTAGCTACCAGAAAACAAGCACATTATGGACTATTATGTATTAGACGAAACCTCTAGCAACTTTGATTCAATCATGAACGATGCGATTATGACACTTGTAGGTGGACGTATTTTTGTATTTTCATTGAATCTTTTTTAATTTAGAAATTAGAGTGAGATTTGAAGAGAAATAATAAAATAATAATAATTTTTTGAATCATGTTATTTAAGTAACCTTAATATCTTTTTCTGGGTATGTAATGAAAAGTCCTAATAGTATAATAGAAACCGTAATTATTTATAATATTTTAATCATGTTATTTTAAAAACCTTAATATCTTTTTTTGAATCATGTTATTATCTCATTCATTATTAATTTTTGTGAACGTATAATAGTATATTAATTATATGTTTTTATGGTAAATTAAAATTAATAAGTAACCTAAACCCTTTCCTTTTCTCGTATTCCTACTCAAAAAAATTCTTGCACTTCTCTTTCCCTCTTTAGGTGGAATTTAAGAACACTTTTGGATTGTTATTAGAAGAGAAAATTAAATAAATAAAGTTCTAGAATATAAATTGAAAGAAAAGATTTAATTTTAGCTTTACTTTTCTTTCTTTATCAGCTAATAAATATTGGTGAATAAATAAAGACAGCGGGTTAGTGTTGTGACTTTAAATATTTGTTTCATTAATGCATAATCCTTGTATTCAGACACCAGTTTTAGGTGTCGGCTGGATTTTGCCAAGCGGAGAACGACGCGTAGGACTCCTTCCGCGCCCATCAACTGTAACGTGACGTGACGCCTTTTCATTCGCTGCCCCTACCAATCTATTGTATTCATTTCACATTTTTTATTTAAATTAATTTATATGATGGATGACGCAATAAGTATTCTACGGTGCAAATAAAATAAAAAAAATCATTGAATAAACCATACCTAGATACTATAAAAAGAAATCAAAAGAAAGCATCCCTGTGCAAAAGTACGGCTTTTAAAGTCTAAAAGGATGTAATTTTCTTAACCCCATCATCATGATTTTATTGAGAAAAAACATTTGTTGTTTCCCCTTTTCTATTCAAGGGAAACCCCTTTTAGTTACTTTACTTTACTTTTATTCCCCTAATACCCTACTTTACATTTAAAAAATTGAAATTATAGTATTCAGTTTTTTAAAATAGAAAAACAATTAATAAGACATCATAAATAAATAAACGTGGGGAAGTTTTTGAGGCGAGGATGCATCAATGCGATGCTAGATGGTGGGAACATCCTCGCACTCTCATCAACCCTACGCGTCCCAATCCTAAGCGACACCGACATATAAGACAACCCCCGCGCACGTTACTAACATGCGCCACCCCTCTCTCTCTCTCTGCTTTATTCTGCTGATCGTATGATTTCGTTTTGCCAAATCTCGTTGCGATTTAACTGAGCATCAAATTCAAGCAAACACTGCCACTTCTTATTCATTCAATCCTGTTTTCTTTTATCCGCTAAGTGCAAACACTCCTTGTTGATTTCATTCTAACAACGCCAATTTCATATTGCTGCCAAACTCCTTGCCTTGTGTTGTGATCCTTCTTTAGTTGTAGAGTTTTATGTTCCCTTTGTTTTGAGCTTTCTGATTACTCAATAATCAATCAGAGTCTTTGTTGTTAGGTTTAGGTTTTTATGATTTCGCTCTGTATCCTATGAATTGATCGAGTTAGCGTCTTTCAATTGCAATGCGATGAGAAGGCGCTCTGACCAAATGGAGAAAGGGGCAGCAAAGAATCAGAATTCCCGCCTTTGCTGTTTGGCATCCCTTTCTGCTTTCTTCTGGTTCTTGCTCCTTTACTTCCATTTTGTGATACTTAATGGCAATACCAATAGCAAGAGTAGTTACAATAGTCGTGTTGATCATCACTCAACCCTATCCACAACTCCTGTTTCTGTTGATTATGAACCTGTCCCGATCCATGTAATGGATTCCCCTCAAGTGCAAGCCCCTCCTAGGAAGATTCGCTTCCCTGACCCTGAGGTGCGACAGAGTGACACTTACACTGACACCCCTCGCACTGAGAAGAGTTTTCCTTTCATGAGAGCAATGAGGGCTGCTGAAAATAAGAGTGATCCCTGTGGGGGTAGGTACATTTATGTCCATGACCTTCCCTCCAGGTTCAATGAGGATATGATGAAGGAGTGCAAGAGTTTGAGTCTTTGGACTAATATGTGTAAGTTCACCACCAATTCTGGCCTTGGTCCGCCCCTTGAGAATGTTGAAGGGGTGTTCTCTAATACTGGCTGGTATGCTACCAATCAGTTTGCGGTTGATGTTATATTCAGTAATCGGATGAAGCAGTATGAATGCTTGACAAAGGATTCTTCTATTGCCGCTGCGGTTTTTGTACCTTTCTATGCTGGATTTGATATTGCGCGCTATCTTTGGGGTTATAATATTTCAGTGAGGGATGCAGCTTCGCTTGATCTGGTTGATTGGCTCATGAAGAGGCCAGAGTGGAACATAATGAATGGCAGAGACCATTTTCTTGTTGCAGGAAGGATAACGTGGGATTTCAGGAGACTGTCTGAGGAAGAATCGGACTGGGGCAATAAGCTTTTGTTTTTACCGGCAGCAAAGAATATGTCCATGCTTGTGGTTGAGTCCAGCCCTTGGAATGCGAATGATTTTGGGATTCCGTATCCTACATACTTCCATCCTGCCAAGGATGCTGAGGTTTTCATTTGGCAGGATAGAATGAGGCAACTAGAGAGGAAGTGGCTTTTCTCCTTTGCTGGTGCTCCCCGTCCTGGCAACCCCAAATCAATCAGGGGTCAGTTAATTGATCAATGCAGAAGTTCAAAGGTTTGTAAGCTGTTGGAATGTGATTTTGGAGAAAGCAAATGTCATTCTCCAAGCAGCATAATGCAGATGTTTCAAAGCTCTCTTTTCTGCTTGCAACCCCAGGGCGATTCATACACGCGAAGATCTGCTTTTGACTCAATGTTGGCTGGTTGTATACCTGTCTTCTTCCATCCTGGCTCAGCATATACACAGTACACTTGGCATCTTCCCAAGAATTACACCAAATATTCTGTCTTCATTCCAGAGAATGATATCCGTAGGAGGAATATCAGTATAGAGGAAAGGCTTAGTGAGATACCTCCTGAACAAGTCAAGATCATGAGAGAAGAGGTCATTAGTCTCATTCCAAGACTAGTCTATGCTGATCCTCGCTCCAAATTAGAAACTCTCAAAGATGCATTTGACGTTGCTGTACAATCAATAATTGAAAAGGTTACAAATTTGAGGAAGGATATCATTGAAGGTCGCATAGATGACGACTTCATTGAGGAGAATAGTTGGAAATATGCTTTGTTGCCTGAGGGAGAGCATAAGGTAGGACCTCATGAATGGGATCCTTTCTTCTCCAAACCAAAGGATGGTAGTGGAGATTCAAATGATTCCTCTGCTGAAGCTGCAAAAAATTCTTGGAAGAATGAGCAAGTAAATCAATCATAAAGTGAAGAAGGGGTAAAAAACTGCAGAGTGCTGAAGTTAGGTTAATGATATAGAAATGCTTTGAATTGGGGAGGAATTGCAAATTATTATTAGGTGTTGCTGTGAAGTTAGTTCTGAACATGTCTATAAGGATATTGAACAAGCTTCCTCGGTGAAACCCCCGATATGGAGACATATTCTTTGCTTTATACATTTTTGTGCTATAGATTTTTTCTGATTTCTGCTTCGTGTATTCTCCTCACTCCTTAGTGGCTCGTAGAATGCTTTGGGAGGTTTAATAATTCCTTTCGTGTAATAGTTTTATTCATTTGATTCGTATAGGAAATATAAACATTTATTACAATTAATGGTAAAACCGAACGAGTTTTAACCATTGATGTCACAGTTACATCACTTGAATAATCATTTCCCCTGTGTATCAGCCTCCCCCATACATGAAATTGTGTTGAAATATTTTATCATTTTCAGTTAAATAAATGTTCTACTATTTTCTACTTTATTTGATTGTCTGATTTTCTACTGTTTTCTAATATTTGATCGTCAGCCTGCCTCCGCATTGATTGATTGTCTGATTCTTTATTCGTAGTTAAATTGGTAAATCCATTTTAGTAGATTGGGTTACTTAATTTTACTGGAATGAACCTGCTTTGTTCAGCTTACCTATGGAAGCAACCAGAGAAATGTATGAGCATATTAAATTGGTTAATTTATTTTAGAAAATTGGGTTACTTCATTTTGTTAATGCACCTGTGTTGTTTACCTATAATGCAAGGACCTAGAGAAATGTATGAGCATTTTTCTTATTTTTCTTTCCACACCAGATACCTTCTAGTTTGTATAATTACCGTATAAAATTGGTAGTTAATTAAATGAAATATTTGATTAATTAAAATATGAAATTCCATGGTATTACATAATCTGTGTCCAAATGAGATCACTGATTTTCAATAAACAGCCGGTGGCAGAAAAGAAGAGTATCTATTGTACAAGTACAGTACATATGTTTTCAGTGAAACGAACTATATTGACGTGTAGATTTGCTTTGGGGAAATACTTCATCATACATGGAGAAGTTTAGTGTATTTTTATATGACTGGTAAATGTTATTTTTGTCCTTAATGGAAATGCTTAGATGGCAATGTTAGCAATTGTCATTGTTTTCATTAGCTTTCTGTTTTCAGCGTATGATTCACCTTTCCTGTGTGTTTGCGTGTAATTTCTTTCAGTTTGCACATGGGCATGCTTTTCTTGAGTAAAAAGTTTGACATGAATAACTTCTTTTATAGAAGTTTGACCATTATTCATGCTTAATATTTTTCAACTTCTTCTAGAATAGAACTAGGAGAGATGGGAAGAGAAAAATGTGTGAAAAATATGTGCAATATTAGAGAGAGAGAGGAAAAAAGAGAGAGTTGTAAACAAATACCATAAGAACAAAACAATTGTTGTTTTTGTCAATGACTGATGATACTTCCACAAATTTATACTGGTATGTTTTCTACAGTTTGCTGTAAGTCTTTAGATAATGTATGAAACCTAGTGTAAGTTGAATTGAAGTGCTCACATTGTTGACATAGGAGGGCCCAAATACTAGAGTTTCTGGAAGAAGCAGACCCTGCTCAGCTTTCATTGCTGAACTGTACCAAGGCTGGTGCACATGTAAAGCTAGACTATGTCTGTGATTTTGTTTTGGTCAATAGCTTTTCTCTTTTTTCTTCCATCACATTCCCATTGTAGTTTTTATTTTCATAAAGTTTAGAATTTTTGGTCCCTCAACATGAATTTTTCAGTTTTTTTTTTAAAGATGGTTACGTTTTTTAAAAATAAATAAAAATTATAATTTTTAAAAATTAAACAACAAATTATGGGAATATTGTTTTCACAAAAACATTATGGGATAGATAAGTTATGAAATGACCAAATCACTGAGAGTAAGATCTAGTGCAGATCAAGAAATTGTTTTTATTTGTTTTTAAAAACTTAATTATAATAAAAAATATTTTTCTTTCTTTCAAATAACATTAAACAACAATATAAGATAAGATATACCTAAAGCCGAAAAGTCATGGTTTTCATTTTGATATGATTACCTAAACAACTCCAACTAAACCAGAAATGAGGGAAAATGAGTTTGATTAACTTGTTTGATTGAGTAGGATTTGAAATCATAATCATCCAAGTTCATTAATTAAAAATAAATATAAGATTGATTTTAGAAATTACAATTAGAGTATATTATTAATATTTTAAATTTCTATTTTTTAAAATCTTTTTATGTTGGGCCTTTGCTGTTTATATGAATCATGTCATTCTAGATTGAAAATTTGTAAAATTGAACTCAACTCTAGAAATTATTGGATAAAATTGAATAAAGGAAGTGCACTACTGTCGAGTGACCTAAACCAAACGAAATTACTATAAATTGTTATTCAACATATGAATTGTTTAAACTATTTTCAATAGACATCTTACTTTAAATCAAAATTTGCAATCTCATAGAACCTAGTTGAACGAATTTCTTCCCCAGGACTTTTAGAAAAAGAAACAAAATAGAAAATATATAATTATCTTCATAAATTAAAATTGATTTATATTTAAACCAACACTGAAAAATTCTCTTTTTTAACTTATGAAAAAGATAATTTCATTTTTTCTTCTATAAATCTTTCAGAGAAGTTCATCCAAGAAAAAAAAATCAATTCTTAAAAACAAAAATAAAATAACCATTCAATTCAATTTTTTTCAGTGCATCCATTATCAATTTAATTATGAAGAACCTTAATTCCATGAGTAGTAACTCATACAACTTTTTTTTTTCCTCGTCAACAATTTCAGCATTCACTCTTTTATTTATAGAAGGGAGATTCCTGTTTATGCTAAAAGAACATAGATATATAAAATTTGCATCCATCAAACTTGTTGAATTTTGAATTAGATTCATTTTTGGTCTCTACATTTTGTATATATGTAATTTTGGTCCTTGTAAGAATTTAAACAAGAAGCTTGCAGTTGTTATCATGACCAGTACAGTAACATTTCCTGTTAGCAATTAAATTATAAATTAACAGTGGACCACAAATGATTTGGAAAATTAGAGAATCAAATATAATATTTAAATTTCTGCAAGGATCAGATTTGCACATTCACAAAAATTTAGAGGACTGAAAATGGGATTTAAGTCTAGAAAAAAATAGATGAACATATAACAGCCATGAATAAGCTACTAAGCAGCATGCTGGGTGAAGTATATTTCCTGACACAATTTCTTGTTTATTGAAAACAGAACAGAATAGTAGGAAGGAAGTCATTGAATGTGACCTTTCCAAGAAGCCTATAAGGAAAACAGTAACATGGTAGGTAAACAACTGCAGGAGAAGCAAAATTTCATGAAATCTTGGTGTCAGAAAAGACATGAGAATGTGAATTGAAGTTACATGCACATCAACTATGTTGCTGAAAACAAACTTCTTGATGAAGGGAAAAAGAATAAAAGAGAAGAGTTAGAACATTAACTCATTTTTTGATGAATTGCAAACCATTTGCATTAGAGTATCGCTCCATGAATCTCATGAATCTATCCCACTCCCGTGGACTCCGCATTATGTACTTGGCTTCAATTATTGAAGGCTTTCCATTCACAAATTTAGCATTTACATCAACTGATTGAAGGACTCCTTCTTCATCAATCATGTAAAATCCAGTGATGTCACCTATTTCACCTGAAGAATCGAAAACTGAAGGTTGATCAAATGTGAAGATAGCCATGCCATTTGTTCCATCCCTTGATTTGGTCAGCCTCACATCAGGAATTGTTTGCTCATCAGTTCCCTGGATGAACTGTATCTTTGGTTTGACCATCATAATGACAGGCATGTGTATGGCAGTGTTTTGTGTCAACATAGGTAGCCTCAAACATGGCATGCGCAAAGTTTGACCATTGAATGAGGAGTTTGTACTTTGATGGACAATTGAAGATGGCACTGCATAAACAAAGAGGTTGTTATGTTCACAGCATTACTTTATATATTGCTGGTGCTAAATATCTACAAAGAATTCGACTTTATTTTCATTGTTTAAAGAACTTAACTTCCATGTGATGGGATCAAGGGTAATGGTGAATGAAGATGATACAAGAAACTGCTCTACACATAGAAAGGTGCAGTGTTGTTTGGAGCTAGAGGGGCTTCTAACATTACTTCATATACTTGACAACATAAAAAGTGATTGTTCTGTTAAGGAATGCAGATTCTGGGTTTGTACTGTCAATTTTCTTCACTATATGAATGTCATCAACCAAACACACCACCAAAAGTCTCCATTTTCTAAAGAAGGGGTTAAAATTAGGCAAAGTAACATATGATCTCTTTGCATGTCTTCAAGAACATGACACTATATCAATTTTTGTTTGGTCAAGTTGGAAACTGTATCAAATTGATAGAAGCTTGAAAACTAAAAATTCTAAACTTGGACTGAAATGAGTATGAAGGTATATCAAAAATGAATCATCATACCAGGAAGTTAAAGCAAAAAGGAAGGCAAAAGCACAGAAAAAGAAAACAATGCCACCACCTTTTGTTAAGCTTAATTTCTTATTTTGCCTCGTGGAATGTCAAATGCCAAGTGTCTCATAACAGATGCAAACCATATTCAGTTGAAAATGATTCAAAGGCCTTTGGATGAACCCTTTATGTTGAGTCCCCAACCAAACATACTGAAGAGATGAAAAAATGAACTGTTTTTCTAATGCACACAAATAGCATCATCTCAAATTCAATAGGAGAACATACATTGTGCAGCATAAATTTCATCAGCCTTAATAGCAAAACAATCTCAGACTTAGTCTTTGCATGTCTGACAGAAAAATGAAAAAAAAAAAAAAAAAAAGTGATGTTAGAGAAGGCAAGTTGGAAGAGGGTGATGATGATACCTGAATATGAGCGTGGCTTGTGAAGTGAGTTGGAGAAAGGAGAGGAGAGTGCAAGAGAGTGCAGAGTTGCCATTGCAGAAGGAGGGAGATGCAGTTCACAACAGCACTCTCTCTGGCATAAAGCAGTGCAAGATTGTGGTCCAAAAAATTTTTGGTGTGTAACAAACACAGCCACTCATTTGTGATGATAATTCTTCACTTTTGCATTGGATTGTGTATGAGAGAGAGAGTGGTCAGATTTGCCAAAATCTATTGAAGTTGCTGACATGGCATCTCACCCACGATGCATGTTGCATAAATTATGTTTTTTTTTTATTATTATTATTATTTTGTGATTATTTTCTAGAGATATAAAAAATAAAATAAAAATATCAAATGAACCTTTCTTCAATTTGTGATTATTTACATCTTTATTTTTGTTGTGGAGAATTCGGTCTCCAGACCCGAATTCATCATACCATGTATTAAAATAATATTATTTTCAATTATTAAATATCAGTATGAAACATTAAATATTCTAAAATTATAATATATACGACATTTTTAATTTATTTGTATGAAATTCAGTTCTCAGACCCCTAATTCATAGAGTGATTTTTTTGTTTTTCTTTTTAATCTTTGGTTTCCTGTAAGGATTTTAATCATTATTTTATATTAAAATAAATTATATGATTATGTTATATTATATTTTTTTAAATCAGTAATATATAAAATTAAATAACAATACTAAAATGACATTAGTATATTATATTAGTAATGTAAAATCTGAATTAGTAAAATATTATAGCTTCCATCTCAGAAGCTATAACTTTTTAAAATGCTATTATTTATAATACATTTATTTAATAATGAATTTTAAAATATATTTACATTTTAAATTAATACTGTATTTTAGAAAATTTCTAAATTAAATTTATTAATATAATATATTTAAATTTAAATTTTTATTAATATAATATAATTACTTAAGATTATTAATAATATTTTTTAATGTTATTTATATTTTTAAATTTTTGTATTTTACACTTATTAACTTAATATAATTATTTAATATTGATAATTTATTTAATGTTATTTTGAATATAATATATTTATTGAAACTATTTTTAATGTAATATAATTATTTAACTTAATGCTAATATAAAATAATAATTAAAATTCTAAAAATGCAAAAAATTAAATTAAATTAAGAAGCATGAATTCGGATTCCGAAATATCCATACAGTAAAAAATAAGTTTTTTTTTCTAAATTTATATATCAAAAGATTATTTATTAATATTTACATTTTTTTTCTCTACCCACATTTATTTAAAATAATAATAAAATCATTGTTATTTTATAAAACTAATAATTTGAAAACATATTTTAGATTAAATGGATTCATAAATATATAAATTTTTAAAATTTCAGATTATGAATTCGAATTTAACTTTATCATTTAAAAAAATTATTTTAAAAATAAAATCTAAAAATGATTTTTTATAATTTTTATGTTTATTATTTATAAATTTTCTGAAAATATTTTAAATTTATTTTTCTGAAGATTTTCTATAATCCTTTTTAAAACTTCTTTTTTGAACTTTAAAAAAAGTTATTAAAAATTAATCTAAAATATTTTAAAAAAATCCGTGAAAGAATTAAGTAAAAAAATTTATAATAAAAATAATATTATTTTAAACAACACCAAAGATATTTTTTTAAATGCTACACTTTAAACCTTGAAATTTTCACTCAGATAGTCTTGTTTAAAATAACAGTAGATCTAGGATGTTGAATAAGATAGAATATTTTTTTTTCAAATAATATAAATTAATAATAATTTATTTAAGTCAAACACTCTAAATTACACAAATATTTATTATAGAATTACTAGTGGATCCAAATATATAATATTAGAAAAGATAAAATAAAATTTTTAAATATTTAATAATAATTTAACAACAAATTCTCTCTATATATATTTCTTGATGCTTTGATACATACAAAAGATTTTTATTTTTATTTTTATTTCGCAGACATAAATGACTCTTCACCAACAAGCTTTATGTACTATACTAAAAAAATTATCTAAAAATGAAAACTTTTTTTATAATTTTATTTTAATTCTTATTATTTTAAAATATCAATTCTTTTTAATATTATTATTTTTAATTCACTATCATCTTTATTTATTATTATTTTTTATTCAAATACAAATTAAAAGTTTATACTTTTAAAATCATATTTCGAAATTTCGGTTTCTAACATATTGTGCTCAATCCAGTGTTAACTTATACATACTGGAAAAAAAATATATATATATATCATCAATATTTTTTTTAAAGAAGTCTTCTTTTTAAAAAAATTGTACACTGAATACAGAACGAAAACTATAAAAGAAACGCATATTTGAGTTATATGATAATAAATAATTTAAAACTTTTTTTACAAGAATAATCAGGTTTAGTTTATGAAAAATCAGACATGATACCTTGATTACCATATTAAAATGTTGGCTTAAATTCTTTTTTTTTTATCTCTATAATTTTGTGAATGAATAATTTTAATCTCTATAAAAATTTAATTGCAATTTTGAACTTCCAGTTTTTAAATTAAAGCTATTCAATTTTCAATGCTAATATTTTCAATATTGACATGGTAATAAATAATAACAATATTAATTACTTATTTAAATAAGAAAAAAAAAATCAAACTAATTCAAATCTCCTAAACAAGGCTGAAGCTCAATACATACCAGGCCCAACGCGAAAGATATAAAATTTATGGTGTGACTCTCCTGTTGTTTAATAGTTTTGTATTATTTAAAAGTTAAATAAAAAATAACTTATATATATTTTTCTTTCTTAATTCATTTATTTAAAATAAAAAGAATATTTAAGTTCAGTGAATTATGGTGTTCATATATACTCATATTGTTTAAGAATTTTATATTATTAAAAATTGAAATTAAAAATTATATATATATATATATATATATATATATTATTGATATATTTTTTTAAAATAAAATTATGATAAATTAAAAGTGCGAATAAAAAACGCTTAAAGGAATTTATTTATAAGGAAAGAAAAAAAAAAAAAGAAGAAGAGGAATTTAACATTGTAATGGAAAAAGAAAGATAATTTTTCTGTTCCAGGAGGAAGCATGAACATGTGCAATTAGGAGCAGCATGATCCAGTTTTAGCATCTCTTTGCTGGGAGTGAATATGGGGTTTCTTTTTCTTCTCATTTTTAAAATGGTGAAAGCATGGTTCTGGTTTTGGTTGGCATAAGGGCACGTGGACACACCTAAGCAATGTTTTTCAACATCTTCTTCCCTTGGATTCCCATTTTCCACAGATTAAAAAAAAGGGTATATAAGTTTGAGAAAGAACAAGCATCAAATAATTCAAAATATGACTAATTCAGTGTTAGAAATCCTCACTCTCTCTCTCTCTCCAATAATAAGGAAAAAAATGTACTTCACCAGGAAGCTGCTATTTCACGTGGCATCCATCTGTTCTAGTACATCAACAAGTGCCAAATGTGTTCCAATCTCCAAACAATAAAAAGGGCAGTGATGTACATGATCACTATCTGAAATCCAACACTCCACATGCATGCATGTGAATATTGGAAGAGATAAAAGTGCAAAAACAAAAAAATAAAGAATTTTGATCTGAAAGAACTGGCAGTTGGTGGACTCAGGCCATGATTGATTTAGTGCACCACTTTGCTCCCATTTTCTTCTGTTTTCTATTTCTTCTAATACTTTATCTCTATTCTCAAGGCCATCAAATTCATATCCTCTGTTACAGTTTTGCTTGCTTCTTGTTTCTCTATGGACAAAGAAAATCTCCTTCAGAAATCAACATAAATAATCCCCAGATTCATCTGAGGACTTTTAGGCTTTCTACTGTGGAGCTAGGAAATTTTTTGTTACATGGTTTGTTTCTTTGCATTTACTTCTAGTATTGTAACTGATGCTCTAGTTTTAAGAATACCCCATAATTATTTTGGTGCCCTTTGTTTATTGAGGGTGAATTTGTCTTATTTTCATGTTTCCTTCTCCCTGTAACATGGAAAGATTCCATTCTTTAAATCATAAGGAATAACTAACATTTATAATAGTAAAACCATGAAATGAGCAAAGGATAATGGTTCTGATATTTCCTTTTTTATATTTTTCCTATTTCTCTTCCTCCCTTCCTTTTCCTAATGGGATACAAAATAAGAGGAAAGGGGGACACATCGTTTCTTCACGCTCTTTTTTTAAAGATACCCACAATCACATGGTTTTCAGGTTTTGGTTTGGATTTTGAAGAAAAAAAAAAGTAAGTACACCAAGGTTCATGTGGATCCTAACTTTAGCCGTATGTTAGTAGGACCATTTATGCATCATTTCTGAATCTTTGTCATAGTTAGAAGTTACCCCTCAAATTCTTGGGAAATTCAACTTTTACAATCATGGAACGAACTTAAAGTAGCTAGGTTAATGAATTTTTTATTATATGTACTAGCATGGCAAGATGCTTTCTGTTCTGATACTGTTTATTAACAACCCCAAGGTTCTGAAAGCTGTTACTGTAAAAGATCAAAAGTTATCTTAACAATGTAATAGTTTGGGAGTTCTACATTTTTTGTAAGTCAATTATTTTTTTCCCATTTCTGGTAGCATTGAATCTCAGTCAGAAATTGCCAAAAATGCTATTAATATTTTCTGAGCGATGGAAATAAGTATGCAGTATTTAGTTATTGATTGGAAATGAAACTGTAGATGGAGAGTGGATCATTTGTTATGTATTAATTTATTTATTAACTAGGGAGGGAAACAAGTCAAAAACTTTGTGGGGGTGAAACTAAATAAATAACTCGCCTCGATCTTCCACTTAATGCAGAAGATCTAAATTCTTTCATTCCATTATTCTCTCAATATTTTAATCAAGAATGTAATTGCCGTAAAAGGGATTCATAATAAACAAATAAGAAAGAAACAATAACTTTTAATGTATAAAAATACAACTGCATCATTATTCCTCCTTCAAGTTGACAATGATCAGATGATTACACATAAAGGAAGAATTAGAACCAGTAAGAAGGGCCACATTCTCTCCCATGTTTTATGTCGGAGGAACCTACAATAATTCCAAAGCTTCACCGTCCTTACATGAACATTACTATCTGCTTTGAAATACCAATCCACTAACCTGAAAAGCCCTTAAAAGTGGCCACATCTAATCAATGGTTTATCATTAGCCTACACTATTATATATTGAATCAACTACTTAACCATCCTCCGTTGTCCTTTCCTCGCAAACTTGAGATGTCACTCTCTGTCAGTGTTCTGGCCAACCCCCACATGATCTCCCTTCTCCTCCAGTAGAGTGCAAATGGTGCACAACTGAGACACTGATCAAACAAAAGAAGAACAACAAAGATGCAGCTGAAAACTCAGTTTTTCTTCTTCTTCTATTGCATTTTCTATTTCTCATATGCCTTTGCAGCTGCAGCAAATGATGAAGCATCTGTTTTACTTTCTATAAAGGCAGGTCTCATTGATCCATTGAATAGCCTGCATGATTGGAAGTTGTTGGACAAAGCGAAAGGGAAGGGTGCAGCTCATTGTAACTGGACTGGTGTCCATTGCAACTCAGGTGGAGCTGTAGAGAACCTTGATCTCTCCCGTATGAATCTGAGTGGCATTGTGTCCAATGACATACAAAGGCTAAAGAGTCTTACTTCTCTAAACTTGTGTTGCAACGAATTTTCCTCATCATTTTCATCCATAGCCAATCTCACCACGCTGAAGAGTCTTGATGTGAGCCAGAATTTCTTCACTGGTGACTTTCCATTAGGCCTTGGAAAGGCATCGAGACTTATGACCTTAAATGGATCCAGCAACAATTTCTCTGGCTTTCTTCCCGAGGTTCTCGGAAATATCTCTTCCTTGGAGACTTTGGATCTCAGAGGTAGTTTCTTTGAAGGATCAATTCCAAAATCCTTCAGTAACTTGCACAAGCTGAAATTCCTTGGTTTATCTGGAAATAATCTCACTGGAAAAATACCTGGAGAGTTAGGCCAACTATCATCACTGGAGTGCATGATCATTGGATACAATGAATTTGAAGGTGGTATTCCAACAGAGTTTGGAAATCTCACCAAGCTAAAGTATCTTGATTTAGCAGAAGGCAATCTTGGTGGTGAAATTCCGGCTGAGTTGGGAAAGCTCAAACTGTTGAATACAGTTTTCTTGTACAAAAACAAATTAGAAGGAAAGATTCCACCAACAATTGGCAACATGACTTCATTGGTGCAGCTGGATCTCTCAGACAACATGTTATCAGGAAATATACCGGCTGAAATAAGTCAGCTAAAGAATTTACAGCTTCTGAACTTCATGCGTAACCGGCTATCTGGTCCTGTGCCTTCTGGCCTTGGGGACTTCCCTCAACTAGAGGTGCTTGAGCTATGGAACAATTCCTTGTCAGGGTCATTGCCTAGAAATCTTGGCAAGAATTCACCATTGCAGTGGTTGGATGTATCATCCAATTTACTCTCAGGTGAGATTCCAGAAACTCTTTGCACCAAGGGCTATCTCACCAAGCTCATTCTTTTCAATAATGCTTTCTTGGGTCCAATTCCAGCAAGCCTATCAACATGTACTTCAATTGTCCGTGTTCGAATTCAGAACAATTTTCTTTCTGGGACAATTCCTGTGGGTCTTGGTAAGCTTGGAAAGCTTCAGAGGTTAGAATTAGCAAACAATAGTCTCACTGGTAGCATTCCTAATGACATTGGTTCTTCTACATCCCTTTCTTTCATTGATTTTTCCATGAACAACCTCCACTCTTCTCTTCCTTCAACCATTATTTCCATTCCAAATCTGCAAACTTTAATTGTCTCCAAGAACAACTTGAGAGGTGAAATCCCAGACGAATTCCAGGATTGTCCCTCACTAGGTGTCCTTGATCTCTCATCGAATGGATTCTCTGGAGGCATTCCAGCAAGCCTTGCATCATGCCAGAAATTGGTAAACTTGAACCTACAGAATAACCAATTGACGGGTGAAATCCCAAAAGCATTAGCAAGCATGCCTACATTGGCCATTCTTGATCTTGCCAACAATTCTCTGAGTGGTCATATACCTGAAAGCTTTGGTATTTCCCCAGCTCTGGAAACATTCAATGTTTCACACAACAAGTTAAAAGGTCCTGTCCCAGAAAACGGAGTGCTAAGAACAATAAACCCAAATGATCTCGTGGGTAATGCTGGCTTATGTGGTGCTGTCCTTCCTCCATGTGGCCAAACCTCTGCATATCCGTTAAGGCGTGGGAGCTCACATGCAAAGCACATTATTGTAGGATGGATCATTGGAATATCATCAATACTGGCCATTGCGGTTATAACTATGGTAGCGAGGTCTTTATACATAAGGTGGTACACTGACGGATTGTGCTTCCGGGAAAGATTTTATAAGGGCAGGAAGGGGTGGCCATGGAGATTGATGGCCTTTCAGAGGCTTGATTTTACAAGTAGTGACATTTTATCTTGCATCAAGGATACAAATATGATTGGTATGGGAGGAACTGGCGTTGTCTACAAGGCTGAGATACCACAATCAAGTACAATCGTGGCTGTCAAGAAGTTGTGGAGATCAGGATCTGATATTGAAGTAGGAAGCAGTGATGACCTTGTCGGTGAGGTGAATCTTTTAGGGAGGTTAAGGCATAGGAATATAGTTAGACTATTGGGATTTCTTTACAATGATGCTGATGTGATGATAGTTTATGAATTTATGCACAATGGAAACCTTGGAGATGCCCTGCATGGTAAACAAGCAGGAAGATTGCTTGTAGATTGGGTTTCGCGATATAACATAGCTCTAGGGATTGCAGAAGGACTTGCTTATCTTCATCATGATTGTCATCCACCTGTTATCCATCGAGACATCAAGTCAAATAATATACTGCTTGATGCAAATCTTGAAGCAAGGATAGCAGATTTCGGGTTGGCCAAGATGATGCTCCGGAAGAATGAAACAGTCTCCATGATTGCTGGATCTTATGGATACATTGCCCCTGGTGAGTTACTAGTTTATATATACTTTTTCAGGTTAGTGACTATTATGTTTTCCAATTTTCAGAATGTTAAAATAGACAGTTAGTTAAAACCTAAAAACAATGATTTATACTACTGTTTACAAGATTTATATTTCTAACTATTTCTCTGATTTATTGACAGAATATGGATACTCCTTGAAAGTGGATGAAAAGATTGACATTTACAGTTATGGAGTGGTTCTTTTGGAGCTTCTCACTGGAAAGCGGCCCTTAGATCCTGAGTTTGGAGAATCTATAGACATAGTAGGGTGGATTAGAAGGAAGATAGACAACAAATCTCCAGATGAAGTATTAGACCCAAGTGTAGGAAACTGCAAGCATGTTCAAGAAGAGATGTTTTTAGTTCTCAAGATAGCACTTCTTTGCACTGCCAAGTTCCCAAAGGACAGACCCTCCATGAGGGATGTTATAATGATGCTTGGAGAGGCAAAGCCTAGGAGAAAGAGTGGTAGGAGCAGTGAAACATTTCCAGCTAACAAGGAAATGCCAGCTATTAGCACATCACCAGTTAATGGCCTTCTTTAGGAACCAAATTTGAAGTTTTCCCCGGCCAGCTATCAGATTTTGATTGTACTTACAGCTGTAGTTTTGTTAATTTCTTGTAATTTTGTAACCAATTCAGTGGTTCACATATGGTGTTAAAATATGTATATCAAGATGGACTAACTTTTGCAAGGAATTTTCTATGTATTGCGGTTTTGGCGATGAAGCATATATATCAGTAAGACGAAAACCATAAAAAGTAATTGTACCTACTATCATTTGAATAGAACGGATATAATTTTCTTTCATTTCATTTTTTGAATGTATGGGCAATGTACGCACATGAGGTACTTTTTCATTACTTCAAGTCAATGGAATTCTTATTAACGAATCGTTTGTCCTATGTCCAAATCAAACGCTATCTGTATCAAAATGAGTGCCACAAAAATCCAGAAATGATAACTTTAGATCAAAATTCCCGCAATTATTCTTTGTAAACCCAAGAGATTGCTTGTGCTTTGAAGTTATTGGCAAAAGGATTGACGACATAACAGAACTTGCACACATTTTAGTTTTGTCTACAAGCTACAACCATGATCAATTGGGCGCAGGTTTGCACTAAAAGCATTATTATTTTCACAAATTTCAATGAGTGCTACACATTAAAATTATGGTACCAACAATAAATATGACCAGACAGAATGGTCATTTTCTAAACCAGGAATTCATTCAAAGGAAATTTGAATTACAGTAGCAGGGAAATAAAGTACAATCAAAACTTTATATCTGAGAAAGTTAGCAAACATTCCACATTTACAACACTAAGAAGGAGTCTTACTTGTATGATTAGTAATATTGCATGAAATCTATGATGCCTGCACCCTCCAAGTGATGATGAATAGAGAGGCAGAGAAAAAGACACCAAATTAAACAAACAAACAAACAAACAAACTGAATTAATTAAACAAAAGTGCGAGATTTGATCATTCAAATCTCAAGAACTCCATATACTTGCAGTATCCCTTTACTTTTCTCTTTCTTTTTTTCCTCTTCTATTTGTGTTACATTTAACAGGTTCCTCGTGTCCTTATCCATGAAAACAGTATCTACATGGGCTTGCATTTCTGCCTGATGTTTTCTTCCAATCTTGGTGCTGCAAACAAGTATACATTAGTAAAACAAAAATATAGGGTAAGTTGTGTTTGGAATAATAAGCATTTGCTTACCAAGTCCATTAGCCTCAGATGTCCTCATTATTCTTAGCCTCCTCACCGAGCTGAGGAACATCCTGATTGACAATTGACAAAACAAGATAGATAAATATCAAATAACAGAAACACAGGATCCTGTTTCCAGTGTGAAATTGTAAAACTACAAGCTAACATAAGACTACAATGACGAAATATTTTTCCTTGTTCAAGAAAAAAGACACCAACCTATCTAATATATCAAGTTTATGACTTCATTCAAGTCCTAATATGATATACCGTAGCACCAAATGGTGGGTTGAGTTTTTGAATATTTAGTAGAAGGCTGTGCCAACAGCAGTAAATTTAAAGATATTAATGCCAATATCTTCGACCAAATTTTTGGTAATGGTGATATTCTATAGGATCCTGGGCCTTCTACAGGAAAAACAAAGACTAGATCATTTGATTGCAGGAATAGGTGTGGAATGAGTGTATTAAGGAGCATGAGAACAAGTAGATTCACACATAAAGCCCACCTTGAGATTCATCTAAATTAATTATTGGTGTGTGTGATTATGTTAGAAATGCCTTATATTAAACTAAATATAACACAACTTCTTTTTCTATGGCTATATTTTCATATTATATCACCAGTTTGACCTTAGTTGAACCAATAAACCACAAACATGAACAAGAACTTTCTTGAATGAATGTCCAATTATAAAAACATTGCTCACAGGAACATAGATACACTCTGATAATTATCTAACCAAAATATTATATGTACTATGTAACAATTAATTGACAACACAATTTTTTTTGTACTGTAGTATCAATAATAACATCATGCTAAAAAAATTTGTAAACCAATTACTTACCCCCAAGGAACATCTCCAACAAGCATCCAATCTCCTTCCTTGTCTTCGTAAGTGAGCACAAACTTGGAAGATCCATCCAACAATTTTGAGTGCCTTTCTCTTCCAATAATAATTCCATGATCCTCACCATTTGATCCTATTGAAAATGGTGCCAATACCATTAGGCGAAAGAAGTAGTATAAACGATGAAAGCACAAAATTAAATGGTATAATCCATCTCTAAACAAAATACTACAGATAGTACTAGAAAAAATTTACATATGCAAGAATTATTTTAATAATGAAAACTTAGCATCGAGTTGTGATATTTTGTTTGCACTTTGTCCAATCTTACCCCGTGTATTTGGGAAAAGAAAAAGAAAAATAATTGTTTTTTATAAAAACTCTTAAAAATGTCTTGAACCTGCAGTTGAAGTAATCCTAACAGGTTGTTGCTTGGTGGTTTCTTATCTTCAAAGTTTTGTATAATATTATGGCTAACAGGTTACAGAATCATAATAATGAGATGCCTCAAGAAAAGGAGTACAAAGAAGAAATTTAGGGCTTGTTTGATTCAGTTTTGTTTTTTAGGTTTTAAAAATAGTTTTTGAGATCAATTTTGAAAAACTGTTTTTGGAAATAACTTGGAAAAAAATCTTCTTTGATAACTCTATTTTTAGAAACTATTTTAAACGAAAGAGAGTGATACCCTAAAAGTCGAGATGGAAGTTAAAAAATAATTTTAATAACTTTTTAGTGACGAATATGAGTGATTATTAGTGAAAACATTTATATCCATTAATGAAAACAGGAAACTCAAACAAAAAACACCTTTTATCAGTATTGGTTTTTTAGTTTTTAAAAACTATAAAACTGAAAACAGCTTTTAAAAATAGTAAACAAACAAGTCCTTATTCAATAATACAAGTAGGGGAGATGAGAAAGGAAGATAGAATTTTAAACCCCTATTATTACAATATATCCTGCAAAATGCATTTCACATATGCTTCTCAGATTTTTAATTTTTCACCAAACTTCAGAATATACAATTTTGAGTTATTCGCAAGATATGCCTAGAATTTACCAAGTTGAGAAAAGAGAAAGCACGAAGTTACTATTAAGCCATATTTAAAGCAGACACACAAAAGAAACAATACAAAGTTAACAAAATATTCATCATGCAGATAAAATCTCAGTGAAGATTCATTAAACATATGAAGTATAATGACCAAAAAAAGACACATTCTCTTTTCTATGAGTATAATGACCAACAACTAGGAAACTCACCTCTGCAAATGGTGACAGTAGTTGATTCATTAAACATATCCTCCAATGTTTGCGCTAAGGTTTCATATGAGCTATGAGCGCTCAAATCAATCTTCCTGCCAATAGGTATCCCATCCATATTTACCTTGACGAACAGGGAACTCCTGAGGTGTCTTTTCTCTTTGGCATTAATGTTATTATCATTGCCATTGTCAGCACTCTTCCTTGACACAGTATTATTGCCCTTGCTCTTCTCAGTCACAGAGTCGAATACTTCAGTTAATTTTGCATGGCTGTTGTAGCTATTCACTCTATATGTTCGAAGTGGAGGCCATCCAACTACTTGACTGTTTGGTAAATTCAATCAGGACAGAAATGATAACCCCATCAGTGGAAGAACTACTTGTTGAGAAATAGTATTGCAAACCAATTATTTTAAAAATAGTAAAAAAAGGTTACAATTTAGGAGCAACCAAATCATTCTACAACTCTTGTACTGATGCTAATCAACAAATTTGTACACTTTCAGACACTATATGGGTAATTCTAACTCTATAAGATCCGCATCTACTTTATTTTTGTCCAACAAAGAAGCTATTAAGATATCAACATGACCCTCAGAGCAGACAAAACACACCATAGTTTTTTACAGGAGCTGAACTACGTGATGCAGTTGGGGGCAGAACATTATCCAATTTTTCCAAATATTAAAAATCACACATACAAATTTCAAGATGTTAAAATATACTCTAATAAAATATAACTTTAGCCCCCTTCATCTTCCCATGCTGATCCTAATTCTGATCTGATTAAAACTTTCCTTATTATTTTGAAGTTGCTGGATCTATGTATAAGGAAACCCTTAAGCAACCATTAGATTAAGTTTTTTTCAGACAGCATACTAATCACTGGAATTGGATTAAAGAATCAACCAAAGTAGATGTCAATAACATTTAGTTTCAGTTATGTTAAAGGAAAATCGTAGCAACCATGCTATTCAGAGTTCACAAGAATGAAAGACTGCAACGTTGAGAATTTATGGCATAAAATCTCCCACATCTAAGCAACCAAATGAATCTCTAGATCATCATAAACAAACAAATACTTCTAACTACGACAAACATTTATCTTCACCTTAATATTTAAGAAACCCTCCCGCGGATTGTGGCAATACAAAACGAGACCTCAAACGGAAAAATTGTTTTAAAAGGTGACCTCATAGAAAGATATTAATATTATTAAACAGAGTAAAACTAATACGATCAAACAACATCAAGTTGACTTCTAGTCCATTATCTCCTTAACTCGTTTAGTCTTTGAACTTTCCAAACTCAGTCTAACACGTCGAATTCCTTCGGGTAAGTAACACCATGTGATCCACATATTCACAGATTAAAAGGGGCGAATTTACACAGCAGCATAAAACCCAACATACATAATTTCACATCAGATAAAAATTCAACAAGATCGATCGAACTATAAAATGATTGAGGTAACCTATTCAATCTCAAAGCAAGACAACATAGATAGGTAAAGTATATAAAGAATAAGACATATATATTTATACCTGGGACGATTATTGGCAACAAGAGAATCAGCAGTTCTCTTGGTGCCAGTAGTCATGTTGGGAGATGAAGAGGAAGAAGAGGAAGGCGAGGATGATGCTGAAGAAGGAAAATCCTTAGCAGTGAAAATCCTGGCATAAGGAGAAGGAGCATGAGCATGGACATGGTGGTGAGACTTACAAGGGCCAGAGATGCTCAACCCAAGGCCCAATTCAAGCTCAGACTCTTCTGGGCAAGAAGAGTCCTCCGAAGACAGCACCAAGTTGTCATCTTTGGACACAGTTGACATCGACCCAACAATTACACAACCACTCAGAACGAAAAAAATCTGTCTTTTCGGGAAATTGAGGAAGAACAAGGCAAAGGGGTGGATGATTTTGAAGGGAATTGAGTTTTTGGAGAAGAAGAAGAGTATGATAAACGGTTAGGTGGGAATGTTGATGGAAATGAGAGAGAGTGTGTCGGAGAAAGAGAAAGAGAGGGAGAAAGGGGAAAGGGCATTAGGCAGCGTGGGCCCACATGTCTGGTCTGGTTTGTGCGGTTCCTCCATTGATGTCTGCTTTAACTTGATTGTACTTTTATTATTATTATATTTATCTAAATTTTCTCATCTTCTTTCCAGATTCTTTATCTCGTCTTTTTCTTTGTCTACACTCTACACCCTGGCACGAATCAATCACATTTGCTCAATTCTAATTGGACGCAACACCTTCATCACTTCTCAATTTCTCATCCTCTCCCTCGTATCGTGACATGCACTAAACACATACCATAGGATTCGGAAACCACATTTTCCTTTGTTTGATGAAAAGTCGCAAACCACATGCTTCACAGTACTTTTTTTTCATTTACTAAAGTTGTCTACTTGAAATAGTATATTTTATTTGCCAGATGTTTTATCCATGTCGAAACAGTTTTTACTGTCTGCTTTTCGTAGAGTATATGTTTCATTCGTACAAAAATTATTATAAACAAATATTCTTATGAAAAAAAATCATATTATGATTAAATTCTATATATTTTATAAAATATATTTTCAGATTTATAGTAAATAATTCTAAAGATCATCATTTTATGAATTGAATTTGTTTATTTAGCTACTTCAACGATTTTGTCATCTCTAAGGAACGGCGAGCGAGAAAAAGAGAAGAGAAGGAGAAATTGGAGAAAAGGAAAAAGAATGGAGAGTGTGGTAGGACCCAGAAGTGCGTTCCAAACGACAAGCCGACAAAGGTGGGACCGGACATCACAGGGCTCGGGAAAAGGAAAATAAGGTGTCGTTTAATGGAGAGATGTGGTGGGGAATGGCGACAGCCCACCACACATGACTCTGACCAAGTCACCCATTCTTGTTTTTCCTTCCAAAACCAACCTTTGCTTCTTCACAAACCCTAATCTCTTGGCTTGAGATACTGAATAACTGTGACTGGAACCACACACTCAATAAATGTTGCCAAATTAAATTCTGCTCCTTTCTTTCATAACACCACCTTTTTCCTGCTTTTCAATTTTTGCTTTTGCCTTTCAAACAATTTTCTCCTTTACCACACCACACAAAAACCTCACTCACTCTCTTTTACCCGAATTTTTTTCATAAATAATACTCTTTTTAAAAATATTTTCTAAAATAACACATCTGAAACTTTATTTACACAACTAGCACTATTTACTGTTCACGTATTAAAATAATATTATTTTGCGCAATGAACTCTCGCTCAAGAGAAGAAACCCCTCGCTTGAGCGAGGAAATCTGTAACAAAGGGGTAATCTCGGGACAATTCTCGCTCAAGCAAAGAAACCCTTCGCTTCCTGGTATGAAAGTAGTTAGGCTTGGTTTTCTTTGAGTGCTTGAGCGGAGAAATCTGTAACAAAGGGTTATCTCTGGTCAACTCTCGCTCAAGCGACGGATATTTTCGCTTGAGCGAGAAGTGATTAAAATATGTGGTGACCCAAGTTGCGTTATGTGGCTAACTGCGTTAGACGTTTAGCTATGGTCAATTCTCGCTCAAGCAATAAACTCATCGCTTGAGCGAGGAAACCTGCAGGTGACCCAGGTTGCATTATATGATGTTGCTGAAAGGGGAGTTTGTTCTGTTTATGAAATTATCTTGTTTCTGTATTGTTTTACCTGGAGCTGACTGTAATTGATTCATTGAAGTTGAATATGAGGATGATAGCATGTAAGGAGAATTTAAAATTTTTTGACTGATGATTGGTTGGTTGGTTACTCAGGGTTAAAGTGCTTGAGGTTGTGGGACTGTCAAGCATCAATTCTGTGGAGTGGTCTCATTACGAGAGTTTTCATTCATTCTTGTTATATTGAGTTGTATGATTGATATGTGCATCAATAGTTAGCAAAAAGTTCCTTAAATAACCTTTGACTTCATCAAACCCAAAAAATCTTCGTTTTATCAAATGATTCAATAAGATCTTCATCACTTTCAATTAATTGAAAAACTCCTAAGTTTCATACATTGAGACATTTCTTAACTAACACAATCTAATGATGCGAAGTAGATGCACATGCATCATTGGGACATGTTCTTCTGCTATGACCAGGGGTATGACAATATGAACATTTTTTAATCTTACTTTGATTTTCTGTAATGTCCATCTCAGTTCTTATACGACTTGATTTTGGTCGGCCCTTTGAAGTTCTTTTCATTTCTGGATTTGCACACAAAGTAGGTCCTGTGTATGTTGGTCAATATTCTTCATTTCGCAATAACCCAAATTGTGTTCCGTATACCTTTGAAACTTGTTGTAAGGTATACACTGAATTAATATAGTTGTTGAAGTCATGGTGTGCATGCTTGCATGCAGCAAGAACATGTGAACAAGGCATGTGAAATTTTTAGAATTTCCCACAGTCACACCATAACTCATCAAGGTGAACTGCAAACTTCTCTGCTGGTCGAACTTCACGTGGGTTTTGTGTTTCTTCTACTACAAATTTTGTGGTAGACCTGTCAAACGTTATGACCCTGTGCGTGTTTGTGCTTCCTCTAAATTTTTGACCAAAATTTCAGAATATACATGACCAGCATTGATCATGGCATCTATCTGCCTCCCTCTTTCAATGAAAAATTTGTTGCAATGGGTGTACGTTGCGGTGACCATGGAGCAAATAGGTAGATTTCTTGTTTTTTTCAAAACAGAGTTGATAGACTCTGCTATGTTGGTCGTCATGTGGCCCCAACGTCGCCCATTGTCCCATGCAAGTGCCCATTTTTCTCTAGGTATCTCATCCAACCAATTAGCTGCTTTTATGTCACATTGCCTCAAGATGTTGTAATAATAGTAGAATCGTGGTTCAGTCATCCCATACGCTACAACAATATTAAAAAAACATAGTTAATATAAATATTTATTAGCAACAATTAAATAATGAATAAATTGTAACAAATTTGAAGCAAAGGAATTACTCATATTTACAACATCTTTCCTCAGTGCGGTGTTTTTGAAATGTCTCATAAAATTCTGTGCAATGTGTCTAATGCAGTAGACATGCATTGAATTATTTTTTGTCCATCCGCTTCCATTTCTCATGTATGCACTTCTAATGGATTCATGTCGGTCTGATATGAGGCATAATCCTTGCTGGGGTGTGACATATCTTTGAAGGTTTTTTAAGAAAAAAAATCAGGCATCACTTGTTTCACCTTCAACCACTGCAAACACAATGGGGAGGATGTTGTTGCGGCCATCTTGTGCTACTGCAACCAACAAGGTACCTCTATATTTTCCATACAAAAAAGTTTCGTCCACTTGAACAATGGGCTTGCAGTGAACAAATTCATCTATGCATGACCTAAACGCCCAAACACACACGTTTAAAAATATTTGAATTTTGTTGAAGGACTTCACCTTGGTAAGCTGGTTGTAACTGCAGTTTGTAGATGAATCCGAGAACAAATTGTTGCATCGCTTGTAACAAACAAGGAAACTTCTTATACGAATCCTCCCAATTGTCGTAGATGATCTCCACTGCCTTTTGTTTTGCCAACCAGGCCTTCCTGTATGTTATAGTGTAACCTGTTGTTAATTGGATGTGGGCTATGATTATGGAGATTGGTGTTGACGAATCAGCATCAATTATTTGACAAATTGTTTGGGAAATCATTTTATATCCCAACTTGTTGTGGTCTTGGCTGATTAATGGCGAAACGCATGTATGGTGCCCTTCAAGCTTCATAATCTCCCAATATTGCTCTCTTTGTGCGCAATATTGCTCGACATCTCCAATTGCATTGGTTATCACCACATTCAACAACATATCTACTTTGGTTTGAAATTTTCACCTTGTATGTGCAATGATTGACAATGTGAAAGCGATTGATGGCATCTTGAACTTGTTCTTTTGTCATGAAACGTTGTCCAAGAAATAGAGTTCCTGCCGGAGAAACAAAAGACTCTCTGACCAACAATTTCGTTCTCTTGTGTGGGTAGTTCTTCGTTGATGTTAGTGGAAGGGCCACTTAGAAGTTGGGTAAAAGGGATGTAGTCATTATGTGTGGGTATTTCTGGGTGAGTGTTTGGGAAAGCTTGGTAGGGTAAGGGTAAAATTTCTGGTGAGTGTGTGTTGGGGTATGAAGAAGAAGAAGTTTTAAATGAAACAAAAATTTCAATACCACATAGACTTGAGTTTGAATCATGAACATCGAACATGGCCTCCACGTCGTCATCATCTTTCAACTTAACAGCAATGAAGTTGTTGATCCCAACTCTGAGTCTAGTTGGACAGCGAAAATGGATGGTTGCTACATTTTTGTGGGGTTCTTTCTCCAATTTCTTGTGGATCAATTTCTTCAACCTTTGTAGAGAAATTCCTCTCTTTAAAGGAACAAGTTTTGCAGTTCCAGTATTGAAGGTAACTCCCTCCATGGGACATGGGTTCATGAAACCATCATAGTGAACAATAGTAGACACTACACCCATTTTAGGAGTGTGGAACACAAAGAAGACTAAAGGTAAGAAGAAGAAATAATGCAAATAGCTTCAGAGATTTAGGAGTGTGCAATGTGAGAACTTCAAAGAATGAAAGTGGTCTATCTATAATGAAGTCCATTGGTTTGAATCCAATGCTCCCTCACATGGTTTCTGACGCACACAAAACTCAAGCAAAGTGGGTGGGTCAACATCTCTTTAAATATGTTTGGAATCCAAGATTGGAATCCTAACTTAGGTGGGTAACTCAGCATTGGATTCTTTACTTGTGTGCATCAGAAAGACATGGGAATCCTAACTTGGGTGGGTGACTCAGCATTGTAAATAGTTGCAGGTTTCCTCGCTCAAGCGATGGGTGTCTCGCTTGAGCGCGAATTGACCAAGCTAAACGTCCAACACAGTTAGCCACATAATGCAACTTGAGTCACCACATATTTCAATCACTTCTCGCTCAAGCGAAAGTACCCATCGCTTGAGCGAGACAGAACCCGAGAGTCCCCCTTGTTTGAAGGCTTCGTCGCTCAAGCGATGACTTTGTCGCTTGAGCGAGTGTTGACCGAATGATGAAACATCAAACGCAGTTAGCCAAATAATATAACTTGGTTCACCACATATTAGAATCACTTGTCGCTCAAGCGTTCATAAGGTCGCTTGAGCGAGACAGACCCCGAGAATCACCCATTTTTCCAGGTGTCCTCGCTCAAGCGATGTGTTTTTCGCTTGAGTGACCTTAGATAGCGGTTAATAAGAACCACTTTTAAATATATATATATATATATATATATGTATGTATATATATGCATATATGTATAGGTATATATGAGCGTCAGGTTTGCCGTCTAACGTATGTTTATAATATCGGTTTTTTTATAACCGCTCTCTTATATCATACTTTTAAAGAGCGGTTGACTCGTGGAACGCTATAATAAATGTTTTTTAGATAGCGGTTGGCCAAATAACCGCTATCTAAAGTCATATATGTCAAAGTGATCGAATATAACTGGATAATAATCGATCATAATTTTTGATAACCGATTATAATTGAGTATGATCGATTATAGTTGGAGAACATCGATCATAGTTTGTGCTAAGCGATTATAGTTTTACATAATTTCGCTCTGCATCTCTCTCGTCGGTGCATGCAAAAGAAACGTTTGTTCTCTCCGGCTCTGGTTCGTCTATGTTTAATATTGGGTTCTATTCATTTGGTTTAGGGTTTAATATGGTTGTTGATTTCGGTTTTGAATTTTAATTTGATGGTTCATCTTGTTTGATTTCGTTTGCATTGTAAAGAAGAAGCATACAACAACCATGGAGGTTAATGTATTCTTTGTTTTCTAATTACTCGCAGATTCTCTGTTCTCTGTTTTCGTTCAATGTTGACTATTCTCAATAGTCGTAAACATAAACCATAGCTGGCAAAAGAAAAAGCTCCAAGCGCACCCATTCAGAAGCGACTTCTTCAAGTACCCAAACTGTGACCACGAAGGAGGTGATAGCCCCAAAGGTGCTTGACACCCAATACTTTGTTAATAACGGATTTGACTTCATTAGAGATGGGCAAGTTCACACCCGCGTGAGGAAGGTCGAGGTCGAGGTCGACGAAGGAATGACAAAGTTCTGTGCTAGGAAAATTAGAATCGGAGAAGGAGGAGAGATGGGCAAGGGAATGAATTATTTAATAATAAAAATACTATGCATTTAATATTTTTTTATTATATATGTGTCACTTTTAAGAGCGGTTAATATTTTAACCGCTCTTAGAAGTGAACATATAATAGCGGTTCCACGTTAACCGCTATCTAAAATATATTTTTAATAGCGGTCAGTTCTAGAACCGCTATCTAAAGTCTCGGGTCAATTCTCGCTCGAACGATGGGCATTTTCGCTTGAGCGAAAAGTGATTGAAATATGTGGTGACCCAAGTTGCATTATGTGGTTAAACGTCCAACACAGTTAGCCACATAACGCAACTTGGGTCACCACATATTTTAATCACTTCTCGCTCAAGCGAAAATATTCGTCGCTTGAGCGAGGGTTGACCGGAGATAACCCTTTGTTATAGATTTCCTCGCTCAAGCGAAGGGTTTCTTCACGTGAGCGAGAATTGACCCGAGATTACCCCTTTGTTACAGATTTCTTCGCTCAAGCGAGGGTTTCTTCGCTTGAGCGAGAGTTCATTGCGCGAAATAATATTATTTTAATACGTGAATAGTAAACCGTACTAGTTGTGTAAATAAAGTTCCAGATGTGCTATTTTGGAAAATATTTTTAAAAAGATTATTATTTATGAAAAAAAGTCCTTTTAATGAAGTTGTGATTTTTTTTTTCTCCTAACATTTATATGCATGATGCTAAAAAAAAGGGTAGTTTTGAAATAATCATAAATTACAAGTTTTTATTTGAAGAAATTTGAGTTACTGTTCCAATCATACAACTGAAGCTACAAATAGTTTTTTCATTGAAAATACATTTGAAATCTCTTTAGTCTTTTCTATCCATCTTTAATTATGGAAGTAAGATTTTTCTTTGCTTACTCAACTCTGCTTTTTTTTTATAATCCATTGACAAATATATTAAGAAAAATTGAAGGTAAGAAGGAAGTTAATTATAATTATTTACAAATATTTAAGATAAATATTTATGAATTATAATTATTTGATGATATAAGATAATTAATCGATATATTTTAGTATATTCGATATATTAGACATATGATAATCGTATTTAATATTATACGAGATATTTGATATTATTTGAAATATTAAACGCATGGATAAATATTTTTCATAATTTTTATATCTTTAATTTATCATTTATTTACTTATTCACTTAAATATTGGAAAATTTTTATAAATGCTTTTTTCTTTTTACAGCAGACAACTGAAATACTATTTTACAAATAATAACATGATAAGATTGAAACTTATAAAAAGAAAAAAAAATTAAAAAAACACCAAAAAATAATTAACCTCATTCACACAGAAATTGTCACAATTTTCAAAAGAAATAACCATATTGGCATGTATGATGCGCCAAATCTTCACTTTCATAAGGTTCCTATGTCAAATTGTAATTATAAAACCCCAACTCAATTAAACTTGTCTGATGACCCTTCTTTCAAGCATGGCCTCCTTTTAGTGTAGAAAGTTTCCAACGTGAACTTTTGCTTTTAAAGGAGTTTTGCCTTTGTTCAATGCCTCACATTCCTCCCTGTCCAAAAATTTTCCTTCCTTCACCTCAGTACACAAAACCTTAGCTTGACTTTCTATCCTCCCTCTTGCATCTTTCTTTCTACTTGATGTTGATGATGTGCCGTTGTTCAACTCATTTATACTTCCAATTAGTCCATCATTTTCTGAAAGCAAAGTGATAGTTCAAATCATTTACTAGAATCTTGGCTGACTCATAAAACATGTATGTTATTAGAGCAAGAACATAACAGCTTTTGTTTCAATGTTATCTTCTCAATAATCACAATCGTTTACCAGGACTAGATAAGACTGCTCGAGGGCGTATGACAGAACAAGCTCTTGCATTTTCTTTTGGACTTTCACCAAGTCTCTTCATACTCTTCAATACTCCTGTGGAAGTTGAACCATCATTGAAATCTAATTCAGTTTATGAAAAAGGAAAACAATGCTAAAGAATATATCAGGGAAAATCTCAACCTTTAGTTGAAGGGGTGGATCTCATTGTTACATGTTGAGGACAAGCCCTTATGCTTTTGGAAACTGAGGGAGGACATTCTCTTTGGTTCTTCTCTTCTGCTCTCAGACAATTAATTCTTGTTTGAAGACAGTCCTAGGAACATCGAACCAAATAAAACTCTATACTAAGGAACTTACCTTCAAAGTATAGTAACTCAATGAACTTTGAAAACATCCAAGATCCTCTACTGTTTTCTGTGTAAAAAAACTCTTCTTCTTGGTCTGGTACTCTCACTTTCACCTTGGGATTCACTGTAACAACACCAGCCACAAAATTGTAAATAAAAAGATGGGGATATTATTAACACATATATGGTAACCAAATAAAATGTTGTATAGTGACAAATTCAGAAATAACTGTTAACATTACGAATTGAAAATGGATTAAACCAAAGAGGGATAAGAACAGATAGCATTGACATGACATGATTGTGTAATTGCTATAGAGAAGAAATGTGAAGGAAACTCACTTGTATGTACTGTTTTTATGCTGAAAAATCATGGAAACTTCTTGTGGTTTATAAAGGGCAACCTCACTGCAGAACAATCTATCCAAAATGGTTCTGCAGAGAATTTGTTAAATGAGTAAAGTAGAAGTAAAAAAGTGTGGGGGTAGACTGAGAAGTGGCAATTATATTTCTTTGCTTGAACACCAAGTAGGTTAGATTGTTCAGAAATTAGATGATATCAATGGTATTAATCATTGTTGTGAAAACTGAATCAAACGCCTGTTAAACTAGTTTAATCGAAAATCAGATTAAATATTAGTTGTTATTTTTAAATAATTGGTTTTTAATAAAATAAAATAAAATTAAAAAATGTAAGATAAAATTGGTAAAATCAGAAAAACCTACTAAATTTTTTCCTCAAACCAATTTTGATAAAAAGAAAAAATACAATCAATTTTTTTTATAAAAAATATAATATATGGTAATTATTATTTTTTTCTTTTTTTTATATTAATTTTAAATAATAATTATTTTATTATATTTTTATCTTATTTTAATAATTATTTATCTTTAATTTTTTAATATATTTTATATTTATAACATTAATTATAATTTAATGTAATTATAACAATAATATTTATTTATTTTTTTAATTTTATTATTAATAAATTTATTATATAATTATAATATTATAAAAATATTATTTTATTAAATTCAGTTAAAAATCTCTTAAATTATATGTTCTCAATTTTTAGTAGTTTGTACAATTTTAAAAATAATGATATTAACATATTTGCTTAAATAATTTTGATTTTATTAAGAGGTCTAAATAATCTTTAAAATGAATTAATCTAGATTAAATATAAATATGATTTCATTAAATTGAGTAAACCTATTTGAAAAAAAAAAAAAAAAAAAAAAACTAAATGGTAGAAGTTAGGTAAGATGGATTTTGATGGTTCTGGAGAAAATAAAATGGGTTAGATAATTGGAGTCTCTTTCATCCTATGATATCATATTAAAGATAAGATGAAATGAAAGAAAATCAAAACTTTTCTATTTTATTGAATATTAGTGAAAAAGACACTAATTAAAATATGTTTTTTTTTTCATTATTTTTTTAAATATATAATATATTATAGGTATTTTTTAAAAAAAGCAAATCACATTTATATATGATTTTATTTTAAAATAACATTTTAATAAATATATAGAAACTAACTATATTTTAATTGAAACCTGGAATGTAACACTAACACGTTAAATATGTAACACTACGACCTTCGACATTTTTCCTTCAAGTTTAAAAAAAACTATGAAATCATTATATTAGCAATATCTCACTACTTTATAATTATATATTACTTAAGATTTACAAAATAAAAATTACTTCATTTAACTCAGAATAATAATTTAGAATACTAATTACAATAATAATAAAAATAATTAACTTAGTTTAAGTTAAATAGTTTTCTAAAAATACTTAACCAAATATTTTGATCAAATTTTTTCATTACATCACAAGAAAAAAAAATTAAATAGTACATAGATATTTTGCAACCACAGAAGATCACAGGGTATAAGAAGGGTATAAGGAGAAGGGAATAGTAGTAGCAAGTGCTTCAGAATTAGGGCGTGAGAACAAAATCGGGAACCCTAATTCATTCATTTCCCTTTTCCATGGCGTCCCAAGGCAGAAGAGGTGGAGTCTCGCTCCCTGACAGGCCCAGTAATTCCAGCTCCGTCCTCGCCAAGATCTCGCGTTCCTCCATCGTCGTCCGCGGCAAGGAGGCCGCTGGCGACGCCGCCTTCGTGGCGAAGAAGCTCCTCCGGAGCACCGGCAAGGCGGCGTGGATCGCCGGCACCACCTTCCTCGTCCTCGTCGTCCCCCTCATCGTGGAGATGGACCGCGAGCAGCAGCTCAACGACCTCGAGCTCCAACAGGCCAGCCTCCTCGGCACCCCCGCCACCAAATAAAACGAGGTTTTCTCAGATCCGTTCCTTCCTTTTGAAACCACTCGTTGCATGCGCTTCTGCTTCTAGGGTTTCCGCTTCCAATAATTTTACCTTTCTAGATTTTGATTTAAAAAAAAAAGAACTGTGAGAAGTTTTGTGTATTCTTACTATTGATACTGTCATTAGTTGTTAAAACGCGGGTCGCTGAGTGTAATTGACCTGCTGTTTTTTGTAGAATGGTTCTGTTTCAGTATGCATTGAGCTGGTGCTGCGTTATTCTTTCTGTGATGAACTTGAGATGGCCTTCGTATACTGAATAGAATTGATATTTGGCTACAAGTAAGATCTTATTTCACAGGTTTAGGTTTAGACTAGTGTCGTATTGAAGATCGAACTTAATTATTGTTTTTAACTTTTTCATTTTTTTTTTCCTTTGGGAATTGTTTTTGAAACACGCTCTGTTAGTTTATGAAATGGCTGTACTTGTTCTCATGCTTTTTGCAACTTTCAAGAGTAGTTTTGGCTACAAATGCTTCACATTGGGGCTTAGTATGGAACAGGAAAGGTGGCGGAGGCATGAGGAGCTTGAATTATTCTGCTGATTCTGGGGTGTTGTTAAATTCTTTAACTTTTTCACACAGAAAAACATAAACCAGGGGTGTGGGTTGGGTTGAGTCAAATCAATAACTTGGAAATCATGAGGAGTGACAACTCTATAATTACTGAACACTTTTCTGTTTAATTTAACCCACCCAGTGTCTATACGTGGTATCATCTTTGGAGGCTTCTTGGCCTTTTGATTTCCAAAGCCAGCATGTAGAAACACCCTAGTTTTGGGTCTAGCTCATCAACCTTGGCTTACTCTGAGACAAGATGGTTCTACATTTTCTTACTTGGATGCGGTGGTTCTGTTTTTATAATGTTGTTGATTACAAGCTACCAGTGCAATTGAATGGCTTCTCCATTGGAAATGTATAGCTTTTTCCATCGGAGAAGTTTTCAAAAGCATTTCTAGCTTTGTATTCTAACAAGCTCTCAGTATTTTATGTATTTGTGATAATCCTAATTCGAGTTTCATTTCCGTTTATTTTTCAAACTGAGTCCTCTGTCTACTGTTCCATCACTTCATTCCTCTCTGTATGCTCACTGGTACCTACACAAACCTATTGCATTTTTGTTATCTGTTGAGGATCTTGTACAGTAGACCTGTAGTATGCGGTTTGGTTGATGCATTCCGATGGTCCTGTTGGTTGTGAGTTGAACTGCATGCATACATGAATCCCATTAATGGATGCGACTGGTGAAGAATTATGATAGCCATTTTATTACAGTCAAATTGAAAATGTTAATAATCGTCTCCTAATTTAAATCTTTTACCCTACTTAAATTATTTATCACATCTACAGTACAATTTACAATACATATCACTTTCTTTCTTCGACAATAATTTGAGAGCTAAGACACGAACAATAAAAAAAACCCAATCGACAACGCCCTGATTCAACCAACTCAAAATACAAGCTTTATTAGACTCTGACTTAACATGCACAGCCATAAAGGGAAGTGTAAAAAAAAAATTCCGAAAAAATTTAACTGAACGATTTGTTCAAATAGGTTTGATCCATAGATGTAAATTGTTTTGATTATCCAATTCTGAACCGAAGCGTTTTTCGCAAACCAGTTTTGAAAATAGAACCAAACTTGCAAAGATTTAATTGGGAAATTAAATATTGAAGGGAATGGACCTTTCTATTCCTTCCATTATTTTTCAATTAAAATTAAATAACTACAGTAAAAATCAACCTCTTGTCTAAGAACCTGCTTCTATTTATTTGTCCTGTAAGTATCCATAGGTTTATAAAAAGTATTAATTCTGTAAGATTGCTTTAATTTCAGCAATCCAATTGAAAATCTTATCCCAAACACTTTCTATTCATTTCCGCTTTCAAAAATAAGTTTGCAAGAAAACCAAGTAACGATGAATTAGGCAGAAAAGAAAAAGGAACTTGAGGATGCAACCACCAAGATTAAAAGTCACCAATTAGGCATATGCTGTTGAGAAATTAAAATGATTAGCAATTGCTGTTGATGTAACAAAGGACTTCTTTAAATATGTGAGGCAAGAAATTCTTTAGTTGAATGTTGTAAATTAAAATAAAAAATGAGCTAACGTTTTATTTCTTCAATTTTGATTGATGGGCTACACACTCCTGGGCTTCATCCAATCCCATTCTCTCCCATTGTCAAGTTGCCCGTAAAAGATGGGCCTTCTAATAATAAAGAACGAGATCAACAACATATAATTTAGAGTGCAGAATAATAATCATGGCCCAAAAGTAAAAACTCTTACAGTACTTGTCATGAGTCAAGTTCCAAGATTAAATTTAGTTTTGCATTACACAATCCCACAAATATAATATAGTTCATAAATATCATATCATATATTTGTTTAACTGAATGACACAGTCTAAAACATTTTTTTTTCTTTTTTACATTATATATATATATATATATATATATATATATATATATATATATATATATATATATATATATATATCATGGATTGCGTGATATATAATTTTAAAAAATTTATATAAGCCAGATTATTCAATCCATTTTTTTTTTGGATTTACCGGTCTATAGCACTCTAGAATATATGTGTTACAAAAAGAAAGTACTTAGTTTGAAAGAGCTGAAATTCCTACATCCCATAAATTTTAAGGTTTCTTTTCATTAGTTTGATTTTTTTTTTTCTTTTTCATTTTGAAACCGTTTAGAATATGTTTTTATATCCTGGAACGAATGAAAGGGGTTCCAACAAGTTATTGAAACAAAAGAAGAAACATTCAACTTGAAATAATGCCCACAATGACAGATTGATACTTATCTAACTGGATAGTCAAATGTTGTCTTAATTTCATTTGGACCTACCTTTCATAGTCCACTTTTATAAGGTGAGTTGTCAAATTGTGCTTCCTTTATATTGTATCTTATGCAGTTTTATTGATTAGTGGTGAAAATAACATACAATATAACCAACCTTTGTTAAAATCTATATTAAGAGATTTTTACAACCAAATCTGCATACAATGTGATGGGGGGGACAAAAGAAAAAGCAAAAGGTGCAATGGCCCCCCAAATGCAAGACTGGTTACAACTTTTAAGAGAAGTGAGAACAAAAATGCAACTATGCAGCAATGCAGCAATGAAAAATTATACTACAGAATTCTAGAATGTGATAAAAGTTAAAGATAGACATTCTATCACATTCAACTTGAAAATATTTAACAATCTTGTGTAGGGAAGAAGGGGTCTATCCTAAACAGAGGAAGGCAATTCTGTAGTTTGTTTTATCTAAATCAAGATAAAAAAGTTACATGGTAGGGACAGGGATGTAAGATGTGTCCCACATTTCACTTCCTGAAATCATGCCACATATGATTCACTATCAGAAAAGCACATCAATTATGGAAAACCAAAAATACATTGTGATAATTATGGCTCAATTTACCACATTTGATCCTAACTATACAGAGTCTTCAAGTATATTCATCTGAGATGTTATATTCTTGAAAGTAGACTCTATATGAAGCACCTAGGTATGCATGATATATACAGTTCAATTCTCAATACTTATCACCTTTTTTCTTCAACAATGATTTGAAAAACAACAAGCAAGCAATTAAGAAACCCAAAGCTGCAAACCCTCCCACTGCAAGAGCTACAGTCCTCTCAGTCTCTTGTTGCCCCAGTGATCCTGATCCAATCAAACACATAGGTTTATTAGACTCTTGAGTCTCGAGACATGCACACAACAACGACAACCATAACGTGAAAATCTTAAGCAAAAGACACCTCATCTTCCTACTAAGATCCAATGAATCCCTTCATCAACCCCACTTTTGAATCCACAAATGAAATTAGGCTCAATTTCTAACTAATAAGACTAACTTGTATCAACTCACAAGCAAGATATATCATGCATCACACGTTTACTTCGCAGTTTCTTTCATCAGATAATGAAAAACATGTATAATCTTTTAACCTCACCATGAGTACTAAGTAGGAAATTGCATCAAATAAGGAAAAGAAGATATTTTCTGTGTTACTCTACCTGCAGAGGATGACCCTCTTCCCTTAGGATAATAAAAGCTGTAGCTAATGAAACACTTGTGTAGATAAATTTGTGCAGAAACAGAGTCACCACACTCGGCTTTAGCTTGATCCTCAGCACTCTTCACACAATCCCCACAATCGTTTTTGGCCAAATCACCCTCACACTGCCCCAACACATAGAGAGACTGATAGCTCCCAGTGTAAAACAAGTTTCCACTATTTTTCACACCACTATCCACCATACCAAATGCAGAGTCCCTTCTCTCCTCAAACCCATCATCATAACTATCTTTCTTGGACCCACAAACCTTGTAAAGCAATTGAGTCTCAGGCACCTGTTTGAACCCAACAATCTCATACCTTAGGTAGCATCCAGTCAGCTGAACATGCGAAGCTTCCACCTTGCCACACAAGTTTTCAAGCATGCCAGGAATCTTGCTTACACAGTCGTAGCAAGCAGTGTTTGAGAGGTCCCCTCTGCATTGGTACAGACCCATGATCACATTCTGGCCATCTCCAGAGGTTGTGGTGAAGAAGGCCTTTTTTCCAGATCGTGACACCAGAGAATCCAAGAGGTACTTCAGGTTCCTTGAGAATATCTCAGACGGGTCCTGTAGTTTCTGATCTGCACAGCCCTTGAAAACCAAGTTTGTGTTATCTGCATCTGGCATGGGAAGAAGAAGGAACCAGAAAATAGTATAGAAGAAAAGAAAGAGGTGAGAGTAACGTTTTCTGATCATGCCCATTTGAGGGGTTGAACAAAGTGAAGATCTTTCTTTTATTTTTTTTGGTGTGTGTATGTATGTTTCTACAGCTCACAGTTCAGAACCTTAAAAGGTTGTTTCTTTATATTCTGAACTTTTATATGTTACTATAACCAGTAGTAACTAGTGTAGTTGATTAATGTTTAATTAAAGATAGTTTAATTTTATAGTTTGGAATCATTGTTCATCTTAAAGTGTTGAATCAAATGTTAATTAAACAGTAATACAAAATGGAATGCCAAATGGTGTGGTTGATTCAGTTTCAAGCAATTGAATGTGATTGCATGAAAATTTTGACCAGAGCAGGTGAAGAAAAAAACTGATGAATTCATTGACTGAACTTACACTGATAATTTTGGAGTCACACGAAGACCGTGTTCCATCTTGTCACGGTTTTGAATGCATGACATATTTAATGTCAGTTTTAGAAGAGTTTAATTGAAGAAAATTATTTCTAAAGTTAACCTCTTTATTATATTAATTAATAATTTCTAATTGCATGACATATCTAAAAAAAATAATGTACACGTTTCAATCTTTCTACAAAAGTGTAAAAGAAATTAGGAAGTTAATTACAAGACAAATTATATATTAAAAAGTTGAATTAATCTCTGTTTCTTTCCATAATAATTTTATTCAAATTTTGAATAAAAAAAAGATAAAGAGAAAATCTTGATTAATTAGATAGAAAAAAAAACAATTTGTTGGATAAAAAACTTTAAATAATTAGTTAAGTAATAAAGCAAGAAAACAGAAATAGATTTAATAGAATTGATGTGTATAGGTTAATATTTTTATAATTGAACAATTTGTGTAAATCTTTAACAGATTTCCATGTAATATTGATATTATGAATTATTTGTGTAGAGAATAAAGATTAATATGCCTTTAACACAAAATAATATATTACATTGGATATTAATTTAATGATTAATTGAATTATATTTTCTAAAGTTATTCTGTAACAAATTAAGATTTCATAATTATAATATTGAAAAACAATTTCAGATTAAATAGTGTGCTGGATTAAAAAAAAAATACAATAAGAGTTTAAAAAAATTTGTCCAACTACAAAAAAAATTTCCAATAAAAAAGTGTTACAAATTGTATTAGAAAAAAAAATTAAATTTTAAAAATATTTTTTCTCACAGTATATAAATAATATTTTTATTTTATTTTTCTCGTACCCATTTTTACTTTTTTTCTCAATTTTTTTTCAATTAATACATTATTATCTTTTTATTATTTTCTTTCATTCACAAAGACATGAACAGTAAGAGTTATTTCTAAAACTTAATATAAACAGTCAAAATTATTTATTATTTTAAGATTATTTAATATTTTACTACAGTTTTCCTTTGAATTACATTGATTATATTAGAAGTCACATTAATTACTATTCATAAACTATAAAATTTATTTATGATAAAATTTTAAAACAAATTATCTCTGACATTTAGTCTATATTCTAATAAATATCACCAACATTTATGTTTTTATTGATAGTATATTTAAGCTTAATAAATTATTTATTTTATATAATTATATATAATAGAGATTTATTTAACCGTTTTTTTTATTGCAAAAAAGAAAAAAATTGAATAATTTAAAAAATATTATGATTTATATATTTAAAGATAGTAAATATAAATATATAATAATAAAATAAATAAATAATAATAATAATTTTTTAAAATTAATTATACAAAATATGAACCCACGTAAAACCTATATTTTTACCAGTCATGATTAATAACATAAAAAAATTGTTAATCAAAATTTTTATTGAAAATGGATTATTTTTTATAATGTGAATTTTTAATATTATAAGTAAATTAGAAAAAAATACCTTTTATATTTGAATGTTATTAAATATTTTGAAACTTATTTTTTTCACATCTTTATATTTTATTTGTATCATCACATAATTTTTTTATACTTATTTTTATATTTAAGTTGATAAAAAAAGATGAAAACTTGGATAAATTTTCTTAATAAGAAAGTGATGAAACTTATTTTGTAAATGAGATAAAGAAAAAAATATTAATTTAACTTTATTTTTTCCCCCAATATTTTAAAAGATTCATAAATAATAAAAGAGAAAGGAATGATGAAACTATGAGCCCTATTTATTCTGTTCCTCTTCCCTCACTAGAATCAAAATGCCATGATCAGCATTCCCAATGCACCCAAATTTTCATCTTCTATTCTCCAATTTCTCTTCTCTAATATCTGATTTCCTTTCTCCTCTTTCACCTTTTCTGATTCCCTCACTTTTGGCTTCAGACCCATTTTCTCACTTTTAGCTTTAGACCCACTCTCTCACTTTCCTCGTCAGAAGAGGTTTCTATTTTCTTTTCTCCTTGAAATGTCCGTGCTTCACCATTTTTCTGCCTTTTGTTTTTGTAGTGAAAAAAACTATTGTGTGTGTTCGAAAATGGTTTTGTGTGGCTTTCATGTTTTGATTGTTGGAGTAAATGTTTGAGTTTCGGCTTGTAAGATCATCAACTTCTGCTGTGTGCGAATGCTTTGTTGCATGTTGGTTTTGGTTAGGGTTTTGGTGTTACAGCATTTTAAACGACAATTTTTTTTAATATTTGACTCAGGTTTTCTGTGCGGTTCTGTGTTCTTTCACTCATCTTATTGCACTTATGCTGGGACGGTGAAAAGTTCACTTGATCTATTGATTCCTTGGGTATTTTATTATAAGCTCGGAAACTTAGAAATGTTCATATTCTATTGCATACTGTGGTCTTTCTTATTAGACAGAATATTAATGGTATGGAATATTGTATGCGTATGGCAGCATAGGGAGTTTTCTTATCATTTAATTTATTTTCTTATTTGTTGTCTAGATTTTGGCTAATGTACCCATTTTTTATTATTATTATTGAGAAGCTGCATAGCTAATATTTCAGTGTTCTCTAAGCTTCTTATTTGGGCTTTACTGCTAAAAGAGTGTTTTGATCTTCTAGCTTGATTTCTCATAAATTGTGTGTTTGCATTTCTCTTTCAGAAATCTTTGAAATTTAGGGGTGTTTTACATTTTGGGAACCTGTGGGAAAAGTAGCTGCTGACTGATTATAAATGGCACCCAACAAAAGAGTGGGTGCGGCCTATCGTGCAATGGGAAGTCTTGGAATTGATGAATCGAAAGTGAAATCAGCGTTAAAGAAACTCCTTAAAGTGTTTGATAAAAACTGGGAACTTATAGAGGCAGAGAACTATCGAGTTCTAGCAGATGCAATATTTGAAGACGACGATAATATGGTGTGTTTCCCACTTTATGTTCTCTCTCTCATACACAGATGTGCATGCATTTATTCTGTATGCTTACATCCACGGTTGGTTTTTATTTAACAGGTTCCCGAGATGAAAAAGAAAACCCGGACAGAGGATATACATGACACTCATGATTCTTTGCCTTCCTTTTCAAACAACCAGGAAGATGAGACAGAGTGTGAAGAGGCTCAGATGCATATTGAAAGCGTCCAACCTTTAAAAAGGTTGCGATTAAGAGGCCAGGAGAGTCAGCCTTTGCATCCTCTGACTAACTGTGCCACTAGTCCCCCATCAAAAAGGGCTAAATTAGAAGATAATGCATTACACGAGGCTTCTTCTGGGAAGAAGCCTCAAGACAAACCAGGGTCATCTGATGGGAATCCAAGGATTGAAGCACAGCCACTTCCACCTCAAGATGACATTGTTGATAAGGGAAAGCAACCTGCATCAACCCAAGTTTTGCAAAGAGGAAGGAAACTTACATCTGAAAGAGCGTCTCCATCCATACCATCAAAAGAACCAACAGTTGAAGCAGGGAAGTTTCTGTTGCCAAACAACACAATGCCTCGTCCTCACACCATGATCATACCTAAGGATGAGCCTATTGATGAAGTGCTTGATTATGAAATGCCCATTGCAGTGATTCCTCCCGGTATTGGACGGACTATTCCCCTCATTGATTTTTTTCAATTTGTGTTTTGTGGCATGGCATATTATTTGCAACTTGCATGTTTGATAGTTTGCAAAGCATGGCTTTACTCGTCAAACAAGCAATTTTTTTCTGACTTCCATTAAGCCCCCAAAACATTTTCAAAATGCCAAACATGTTAGTTGTTGAAATTGTGTTTACACCCACCAACCCTCAATGTTTGGGGTGTGCAAACTGTAACCAAACATGGTGTAGTATTTGCTTGGTAGTTTTGTGTATTAAAGGGATATTGTTTTCTTTGGTATGTACTGGAAAAATCATTAATACTACCATCCCTCACAAGAATATAGAAGACAATGTGCAATTTTTTTATGGTGTTTACATAATTGCAATTTGTTTTCAATTCAAAGGATAGAAGTCAAGTCAGGCACTGGCCTCTTTATATTCTGTAACTGGCATAAACTATATCCAACTATTTTCTGATATATCTTCTTCTAGAAACCAAAGATGCTTTATGATATCCGTTGTTTGTATACACAAAGCCAGGGTTCTGGCTTTTGACTAAGTCTAAAAACAGATAGCATGTTATTTTACCATTTTTGGTTTTATATTGCCAATTAACATTCATTAGGTGGAGAGGTTGTTTAATGATTTTTTCCTCTCAGAACCATCAAGTGTAAGGGACTCGTCTTTGAAGAATGATATAGCTGGAAAGCATGTTAGCCATGTTACCGTGACATCATCAGAATGCAGAGATGGAGTCAGAGATGAAGATGTTATTCCAACCTCAAATGAAGAAGCCACTTGTAATATAGAGCTAGCCTCGTCAACCCTTGGAGATGTAAAACTTTCGTTGAGCTGCAGCTCAGCTCTTCAGGGATCAGATTTTCGTATGCCTAGTCGAGATCAACTTATAAAAATGATGGAGGATAAATGTCTGCGTTCATATAAAATTGCTGACCCAAATTTCTCTGTCAAGAAACTGTTGAGAGATATATGCGATTGCATGTTGGAATTCAGAAACACTTCTAATGATGACCCAGAAGAAAGTTCTATGAATGTTGATGCGTCAAAGAATTCACAAGCGCCTAGCACGCTGAGTGTGGTAAGAAATAAAGATTTGGACATGTTTTGTCATATTTCAAATGGATCCATCAATGTTAAACCTTATGATCCCCAAAGTTTCCTTCCTCTTGCCCCCCTGAATGGTCTGAATGATGCTGTATTGGTTTCTGAGATGGATCAAACAACAAATGATTTTTTGCAAAATAATGTCAGGACAGAGCTGGAAGATTCTATGTCTCCAAACTCACATAGTTTAGTGGTTTTTCCTCAGAATGAGCTTACAGCTGATGATATAAGGTCTTTTCATGATGTTAGTGACCTTACAAAAGGAGAAGAAAATGTCGGAATTCCTTGGGTCAATGAAACTACTAATGATTTCCCACCATCTTTTAACTACATAACCCAAAACCTTGTGTTCCGAGATGCTTTTGTTAACATTTCTCTGTCACGTGTTGGCATTGAGGACTGTTGTTCAACTTGTATGGGAAATTGTGTCCTGTCTATTCCCTGTGCTTGTGCAAATAAAACTGGGGGTGAATTTGCATATGGTCCTCTTGGCCTACTGAAGGAACGATTCTTGGAAGAGTGCATTGCCATTAGTCGCAATCCTCAAAGACATTTCTTCTTTTGCAAAAATTGCCCACTTGAAAGATGTAAGAATGATGGTGGTTTAGATCCTTGTAAAGGACACTTGAAGAGGAAGTTTATTAAAGAATGCTGGTGCAAATGTGGCTGTGGGAAACAGTGTGGCAATAGGGCTATCCAGCGTGGAATAACTAGCAAATTGCAGGTGGGTGTATAAGTAATCTTTTCACTTTTGAACAAATGGATTTTTCTTCTATTTTGATGAACAAATTATTTTCTTAAGTTATTTGTTAACTCGTGTTATTAAATTGTTTTGTCTGATAAATGCCTGGAGCATAGGTGTTTTTCACTTCAGAAGGTAAAGGGTGGGGTCTTCGAACCTTAGAGGACCTGCCAAAAGGTGCATTTGTGTGTGAGTTTGTTGGAGAAATTTTATCCGTTAAAGAGTTGCACGAGAGGAGCATGAAATGCACTGAAAAAGGGAAATATACATACCCAGTACTACTGGATGCAAATTGGGATTCAGGATATGTGAAGGACGAAGAAGCTCTATGCTTAGATGCAGCTTCGTTTGGCAACATTGCAAGGTTTATCAATCACAGGTATTGAATCTCTCACCTATTGTAAGTTTGTATCCTAGTTTCAGGAAAAGGCAAGTGAACAAGAAATATATTGAACCAATTACCACATTGAAAGCTCACAGCTCTAATTTTGTTACCATGTTTTAAGTAAATTAACTACCCCTTTATAGCATATCCATGAATAAATGTCAGTTTTTCTCAGTAAAATTTCTTACTACTATACTTCTATTGTCATTACTTGATTGTGCTGTTTATTAATATTTAGAAAAACTAAGACAAATATTCATTTATATAGTTGTTTAATTTATATTTTATATTGACAAATATGCCTACATTTATTTTTTGAAATCTGATACTTCATAAAATGAAGAGACAATCAACCATAATAAGACAATTGTCGTGGGTGGGTGACTTTCAACTTTACGATCTGCTAAGCAAATACAACCATTCAGGAAAATGTCATCAAATTTTGTAACTATTTATGATTTATATGAACAAGATGAATAACTTGAGTTTCATTTTGATGCATGTAGCTCATTTTGGGGTATATGTCACCATGTCTAATTATATATGATTTATGTGAATGAGATAAGTAACTTGAGCTTCACTTTAATGCATTTAGTTCACATTGTTTGTAACACATGCCTCTCTAATTATCCAAGGAGACAACATTTTCCAAATAACTGTTATGGATAATAAATATATGTGTAGATAGAATATGAAATACAAAAGGTCAGACAGAAGTAGGTTAGTGGTTGACTAATTTAATCCAAGTACAGGGTAAAGATATTAATATTTGCATGGCAATAAAGTATACTTTTTTCATTTGAATGATTCAGATGGTTGATTGTGTATGAAGATAGTTTGATACTTGTCAGTATGTTCTCTATAATTTCAACTTTCATTAAATAGTGTCTAGGCAGACATTTGGCACATTATTGAAATTAAAAACTTAGAGAAGATTTTGTGGTAATTATGTTTCCTTTTTTCCAGATGTTTTGATGCAAACTTGGTTGAGATTCCAGTTGAAGTTGAGGATCCTGGTCATTATTACTATCATGTGAGAAGTTATTAAAATTTTAAAATTCCATCTGTGGTTTTTAGTAGCCTTTTTTGGTATATGGTTGGACTATAGCATATTTTCCTTACTGATGCTTCTAACTGTTAAAATGTGCAGTTTGCTTTTTTCACTGCCAGAAAAATAGCAGCGCAGGAGGAGCTAACATGGGTGAGTAAGTTTGTTAATGTACTATAATGCATATTAATTGCTCTATTTTACGAGTAGGGAGCAAGATAACAATGACTGTCAATGTTGAGATAATTTTGATTTAATCACGGTAGAATTTTTTTTGTAGTTTATAGGTACTGAGCTAACCAATGCTATGTATTATAATGTTTGGTAAATGGTTATATAAATACCTTTAATTTTTTTTCGTGCTTGTTAATGTACCTTTTTGTTCAAGTAGGAACAAATTAGCATCAGCTATCAAGGCTGAGATAATTTAATTTATTCATTGCAGAAACGATTTTTGTAGTTGTTTATGGCTGTTGAACTAATAAATGATATGTGCATTGGGTAGTTTGCAAACCATTGAGAATGGTTACACTGATTTGTTTCTTCTCATTTTCTGTAGTTCACTCTGCAAAATCATTTAATTAATATTCGAATCAAATTTTCTCTGCAAAAGCTAATGTGTTTCTGCAGGATTATGGCATTGACTTTGACGACAATGATCATCCTGTCAAGCTGTTCCAGTGCAGATGTGGCAGTAAATTTTGCAGGCATATGAAGAGGTCCAACAGTAAGTTCATTCTGCAGCTACTGGGTCACTCATCTGCAAATTTCTTTTCACTTTCTATCGCCAAAAATGTGTCTGGCTTTCATCTTTTTTTTTGTGTGTGCAATGACAGTTCATATCCTATGCTATGCTCACTAATTTGTTAGCAATACATTTTTGTTTGGTTTATTTCATGTTTCAGCGCAATAAGTCCATTTATGAGTGCGAATTTGGTACAGATAATGATTGAATCCCATATGAGCAAAACAAGGATTTTAAAATAGAATTGAGCTTTCGACATACCTGACTATACCTGAAATGTGGGTGATTGAGCTCATTAGTGTGATTAAAAGTTAACAATATCTAGTTAGGAACTTGGTTACTATCTTTTTGAGGAGCACATCTATTTGAGTGCTCTATCTGTGTGAAGTATGACAACATATTTTGTTTGTAGCAACCTTTTGCAGGTCTATATTACTGATTTCAAAACAAGTTCTTTTAGCGTAAGTTTGCTTCGTGCATTATGCAAAATTCATTTCAGATAGGTATTGATTTGTTATAGTGGATAAGTAAAACATGTTAATGTGTGGATAATGATGAATCCTTTGGATGCAAGTTAATGCTAGAAAACCATCTAGCGAGTATGGTGGGGGCTTTTCGTGTGGCTACATATTTTCTGTATTCAAATGTTTTGAGGTGTGTTTGATGTGTACAACCATTCATTGTTATTGTAACTTGTAATTTCTTTAATGAATATCGGTCTTTTTTATGTAGGGTCCAATAGATCAGCGTCAATTGCCGGATGACAGCCCTTTATCTCCGTATAAACAATTTTGATGTCTCACCGCGCCGCGAGGAGTTGTACCACTCTACTACAAGCGGTGCCTTGTTTCTTTGGTTAGTGGTTGGGAGACTACTTTGTACAGATCTATGAAAACTATTATAGGTATGCATGGCCTACGAAAGGAACGAGTTGTCGTTCATTTTAGGATTTATTTGATAAACTTTTTATTAGGGTCAAAGTTTGAAAAACCAAAATGGATGTTAAAAGAAAAATTGTTAGGCAGTACAGTAGTGAACGTGTATATGTAGTTTCTAACTGCAGCGCATGTAGGACTTTGCTTATATCAACGTACTGTGTTAGAATTTTATGTTATGAAATGTTAATTAGAAGTTATAAAGCATCGATACTTCAATTTCATCGTCGGTATCGCTTCGGATACTTCACTGATAAATGTGATTTAAAATTTATAGTTCAATGAATTTTTTTTATATTTCTAAATAGTATCTTATACGGACTCATTGTATTCGAGCATAATAGGAAATTGAGGTTTTTCTTGCGTTTTGACCGGGGACTCAGAATTATATAGCATTAGGAACTAATTTAGGAGCTTCATAGCATTTTAGAAGAAGTGCTGAAACAAAAGATGTATTCAGTCATGTCTACTTTACAAACACCGGTGTAGCTGATGACAGTGATTCCCTTCCATGAGGCCTGCAAAGGATTTGGTGTTCCGAAGTAGAAGGCATGACCGGTCTAATGCCTCCTGGATTAAGAGGAAAAAGGATTTTGTAGTAACCATCCATTATTTCTGTAAAATTGCAAGTAGCTGCCACCTTCGGAATCTGTCAATAGAATTACAATTAACATCACACAATCCATGGACAACAGAAAATCTTTAGGAGGAGCATGTCATTGCATGCATGTACCTGATAGATGTCACGCATGTAGGCATGTAGATTGGTATACTCACACAGTTTCTTCTTGGTGCATTTAAACAAAACATTATAGGCAAGATCAAACCGAACCAGAGTGGTAAACAAACATATATCCACAAGGGTCAACTCATCTCCACACAAGTAACGGGAATTACCCAAGTGTTCCTCCAACTTGTCCAGTGCACAAAACAACTCATTCACCGATTTATCATAAGCTTCTTGGCTCTGCGCAAACCCACACCTGCAAATACATAAATTCCCAAATCAACACATTAGGGCAAACCCTCATCACAAATCTTAACTCTAAATTCCTCACTCACCTATAAACCCCGTTATTGACATTCGGATATATGATTCGATACCATTCCTCAATCTGGTCCTTCAATTGAGGGGGCGAGAGATCCACCTCGGGGTTCCGAGCCACGCTATTCAAGCCGGAGTTGAACAAGTGAATAATATCGTAGCTCTCGTTGCAGACAACGTCCTTCGAACCCGTATCCCACAACATTGGCACCGTCGATCTCCCATCATACCCACCCCTCCGAAGCCCATAAACTTCCTTCAACGTTTTGCATCCGTTTGCCTTATCCAAACTCGCCCCGATCGAACCCGAATTCGCCCCATCCACCCGTTTGAACTCCCACGACCCGTCCATTCCCGGCGACGCAACCGACACGGGCACGGCCTCTTCCAACCCCTTCAGCGCGCGCACTATGAGAGTCCGGTGGGCCCACGGGCACGCTAGGCCCACATACAGGTGGAGGCTGCCAGGAGAAGGAGAGCCCGCGAATCGGAATTTGGAAGCGGGCCTCGAATACCCGCCCGAGGAGTCTGAGGGAGCGAGCTGCAACATCATGAGACCCCACGCGGAGTTCCAGGCCGTGCGCACGGTGGTGACCAGAAGCCCCGGCGGAAGAGACTGACCCCATAGCAATTTTGTGACTGAATTGAGCAACGATATAGGCGTGAACTTTGGATTGGTGTTGTCATTGTTAAGTGACATTCTCAGGCTTCGACGGATTACGTGGCGGGAAGCTCTCGGCGGAGGATTTACGATGAGAAGGGAAGAAGAAGAACACGACAGCATTTTCTAGCAAGGTCCTTTTTGTTCGTGGAATATAAGCGTATAAGCAATTGTTATTTTTAACCTTTTAACGATTTTTTTTTCTTTTTTTTTCAATTTTTCTCAATAAAATTTCAATTTTAAATAATAATAATAATAATAATAATAATAATAATAATGTGTTCTATAAATTAAATTTTAAAATTGTTTAAATTTAAACCTTCTTTAAAAGTTGTTTTTAAAGGGAGAGGATTTTGGTTCATATTATTACAAGATGAGATCTTAAGTAAACTTTCTTGCTAAAATTCGTTTCATTTAGTTCTTATAATTCATAAATTTGTATAAATTATTTTACTGTTTTAGTTCTACAATATTCTTTGAGATTTTTATAATCCTCAATAATTGTTAAAATTAGTATGCTATGTGAGTGATAATGGAGCCTTACCGTATTTATTCATGTGTCGTCCAATTTGTGATACAATATATGATGAAATTTATTTATTAGGAAATAACGGTTAAACATATTTGTAAGAATTTCTTTATAAAAAAAATTAAGAAGAAAAATTTCATAGAATTATATTTTTTAACTAATTTTTAATGACAAAGAAATTCATTTTTTTCATATTTAATTTTTTTATGAATTATTTTTTCTATTAACTTCAAAATAAGAGAGAAGAAGAAGAATAATGACAGAAAGGCAGAATAACGTAAAGAGAATACTCAATATTTTATTTCTTCCCCGCACTACTCCATGAGGTGTTTTATATAGACACAATTTATTATAACTAACATTCTCTCTTGGTGGGTATAACAGTTTTTCCTTTTCCACTAAATTTAGTAATATAGTCATTGAGGTAAGTTGACTGACTAGAGACTCTCTTTGGAAGGTCAGCAGTAAAATATGTGGTAGTACTTAGGCTGTATTCATCTTGCACTTTGTCAATGGGCTCCTCATTAGTACCAGCGAATGACATAGACCCAATATTCCTTTCATTTGCCTCTGAATGAGGAAGCACCTTGTCCTCAAGGTGAAATTGTTGTTGAAAAGTGTTCTAAGGTTCCCAAGTGGCCTCCTTTGGTGGCAGTCCCTTCCATTACACTAGGACGGTATCAAAATTTGGTTTGGTGGCTAGAATAGCGACTGGTTCCAAAAGAGGGTGGTTGTCTTGGAACTCCAGTGACAGTGCTGCAACTGACATTAGAGGAGGACCCTCGTGAGGACGAAGGAAACTGATGTGGAACACATTGTGGATTTTGGCAGTTGAAGGAAGCTCTAGATTGTAAGCTACTTGTCCGATCCGTTCAAGAACTTTGTAGGGGCCAAAGAAGCATTTTTGTAACTTCTCCGAATATGGGTCAGCAACTGAAACATGTCGATAAGGGCGAAGGTGCACATACGCCCAATCCCCCTCCTGGAGATGGAGATCTCTACGATTGGTGTCAGCCTATTTCTTGATATCGGACTGAGCTTTCTGTAGATTACGATTGATTTTATGAATAATGTCGGTCTCTGATTGTAACTCAAATTGAACCGCAACATTTGAAGTGTCTGGGGAATCAAAGGTGGGGGAGACCCATACATAATTTCAAATGGAGTAATCTTGGTAGATGCATTGATGCTAGTAGGGATGACAATTAAACCCGTATCCGTGGGGACCGACCTGTCTCCGCCCCTAGTTTGACGGGCGGGTTCAGGTTTTCCACGCTTTAAAAAGTCGGGGGCGGGGGCGGGGATGTGTAATGCAATCCTCACCCCGACCCCGTCCCGTTCCGACTTTATATTTAAATTTAAATTTAAATTTAAAAATATTAATATTTTAGAAGTATTTCTTTTTCTTTTTCTATTACATATAAAGTCATTTTTTTATATTTTACCAATTTTTAGTTTTCTTCTACCAACTTTTTAATTTTTTTGTCTTTTTTAATTTTTTATATCAATTAATTTATTACATTATTTTCTCTCTTACCTTTCAGTTTTTCATATTTCCTTAATCTCTCCCATCAATTTATTTATTTTCTTTTCAATTTTTTCAACCAATTTGATGAACACAAAGTTAATTTTTTTTTATTCTTTATCTTTTTCTAAATATTTTACATAAATCTTAGTAGTAACTAATATTATTTTATTTATAATTTATATTTATTAGGTTTTATTATGTCATACTTTTTTATCTTATTATTCTTATTTATCATATATCAAATTTTATCTTAATAAAATAATTGTATTTCAAAGGATTAAAGGAAATGATAATTTAAACTTTTATTACTTCGAACTAATTGAATAAAAATTAACTTATTAAATATTTCCTTATAAACTATATATTTCAGTATTTTTAAATGATAACTTAAAAATGAATTAACTTATATATAATCAAATGTTTAAATACAATATTATAATAATAATGTTATAAGTATTTAAATATTTGAATATAGTGTTATAATAATAATAATGTTATAAATAAAAAATGATTAAATATTTCTTTTACATACATATTTTAATATAAATATAATAAATTAAAATGTATATTTAATTAATAATAGTTATAAATTATAAAATTATAAATATTTATTTATATATAAAAAATAAGTAGTAAAATTAATTTATTATAAATGTAATTATCTTTTTAAAAATAATATAGATCGGGGACTGGCGGGGCAGGAACCCGAAACCCAGCAGGGACAGGGATAAGGACTTAATTTCTAACCTCGGTAGGGATCGGGACGGGGACGGGGATGGTTAAAAAAGTCAAGGGCGGGGATTGGGGAGACAAAACCCGCCCCGCCTCCCCTCGTTGCCATGCCTAGATGCTAGTGTTAAAGCACCATTCGGCCCAAGGAAGAAATTTGCCCCACAGCGAAGGCTTGTGATGAACGAAGCAACAGAGGTATTGTTGCAAAACCTTGTTAACCACCTCTGTTTGACCGTCGGATTAGGGATGATAAGCACTGGACATCCTCAATTTGGTGTCGCTAAGGCGAAAGAGCTCACGCTAGAATTAGCTAAGGAAAATTGGATCGCGGTCGAAGATCAGACTTTTGGGAAGACCATGCAACTTGTAGATCATGTGCACGAATAAGTCAGCCACCTTTGAGGCAAAGAAGGAACGAGGAAGAGTGCCCAAGTGTGCTCCCTTAGAGATTAACGACAACCAATATTGTAGTGTGGCCTTGATATGGCGGAAGTCCAGTGATGAAATCCAAGGATAAATCCTCCCAACATTTTGAAGGAGGTAGTGGTTGAAGTAGCCCTGCTAGTTTTTGAGTTGGGATCTTAGTTTGTTGACAAGTCACACACTGAGTCACGAATGAATGAATATCCTCCCGCATTTTATCCCAAAAGAAATTGGCAGCCAATTTCCCGAAAGTTCACGCCACTCCAGGATGTCCTGCAACAGGTGTAGAATGATATTCATGCAAAAAAGTAGGTATGAAGAGGCAAGAAGCTGGAATCCAGATGCGCCTCTTGAACAGAATCAGTCCGTCTACAATAGAGTACAGAGGATAACGAGCAGGAGCAGCGACTATTTTCTGCTTGAGATCAAGAAACTCTGCACTATTGGAAAGAGACTGCTTGAGATTAGAAAGGAAATCCTATTATGGGATGGATAATATCAACAATTGGGAGTCCTATTGTGTGGATGGAAGCTTAGATAAGGCATCCACTGCGGAATTAGTCTTCCTTGATCTGTATTGTAAATCAAAGTCGTAGCCCAACAACTTCGAGAGGTAAGTCTGCTAATCTGAAGTGAGAACCATTTGGGAGAGCAATTCCTTGATGGATTTCTGATCTGTTTGAATGATGAAACGCCTTCCCAGTAGATATTGTCGCCATTTTTGAACAGCAAATGTAATGGCATAGAGTTCTCTAATGTATGTAGAGGAATTTTATAGTTTAGGGCAAAATTGCTTACTAAAGTATGCAATGGGGTGTCCATTTTGAGAAAGGATAGCTCCCGTACCAGAACCAGAGGCGTCAGTTTGCACCAAGAATGTGCAATCGAAGCGTGGTAAAGCTAACACTGGGGCTTTTATTAGAGCATCTTTCAAACGCTGGAAGGCCTGTGTTGCAGTGTCCTACCAAACAAAATTATCTCGCTTAAGGAGATCAGTAAGGACGGTTGCAATTGAGGCGTATCCTTTTACAAAATGACGATAAAACCCTATTAATCCCAAGAAGCCACGAAGGGATTTGACTGATGTTGGTAAAGGCCAATCAAGGACAACTTGTACTTTGTTGGGATCTGGATGAACACCCTAACGAGACACGATATGTCCTAAATAGTGAATGGATTCCTTCCCTATGGAGCACTTCTCCCCCTTTAGTTTGAAGTTGTGTTGAGTCAGTAGCTGGAAAGTACTTTCCAGGTGGAAAACATGAGAATCCAGAGTTGGGCTATATACTAAAATATTGTCAAAAAATACAATGATAAATTGATGAAGATGTGGTCAAAAGAGATCATTCATGGTGGCTTGAAAAGTGGAAGGGACATTGCATAACCCAAATGGCATCACTTGGAATTCGAAATGGTCATTGTGAGTGTGAAAGGCAATTTTGGCACAGTCAGCAGGAAACATCAAAATCTGATGAAAGCCAGAGAATAAGTCTAGCTTGGAGAACCAAGTTGCATTACCCAACTTGTCCAACAATTCATCGACGGTCGGAATTGGAAACTTGTCCTTGATCGTGACTGCGTTGAGGGCTCAATAGTCAATGCAAAAACACCAAGTCCCGTCTTTCTTTTTGACAAGGAGAACAGGAGAGGAGAAAAAACTTGTACTTGGCTTAATAAAATCAGAATCCAACTTTCGTTGCACCTGTTGCTCAATTTCATGCTTTTGAAAGTGGGGGTATATGTAAGGCCTGACGGAGATTGGAACAGTGTTTGGTTGTAGGGTTATACCGTGATCGGTGGGTCTGGAAGGGGGTAGAGTAGTTGGTGGTTGGAAGAGAGAAGCATATTTGGTGAGTAGTGTTTGTAGTGGAGGGTGGTTAGATGTAGGAAGAGATGGGGTCGGTGTGGATTTGGGTAGGGAAGTGGATGTGAGTGTGAGGGAGTATGAGTGGTATGAAGGTGGCTGGTTAAGTGTAAGGTGGTAAAGGGCCTCCACACTATTAATTTGTTGTAGCCGCCGAAGTTGATGGATGGATATTGGGTTAGGTGTTGGGCTAGTTTCTCCTTTTAATTCAACCAAAGTGCCTTCCCACATAAAACGCATGAATGGGCCATTGTAGTCCATCACAAACGGGCTAACTTGAGTGAGCCAATGAACCCCTAGGACAATGTCAGTACCAGACAATTCTAAAGGATACAAATCAACAAAGAAATGGAAAGAGGCCAGTGTAAATTGGGCGTTGGGGCAAAGAGTGGCGCATGGAAGGAAATCATCGTTACCTACCATTACCTTCAGAGGGGTTGAAGTGGGCTCACTGTGGAGTTGAAGGAAATGGGTCACACAGCTCTGGATGAAGTTGTGTGTAGCTCCATTGTCCACCAAAATTTGGACCTGGTATCCGTTGAGAGAGTCTGTTAATCGAAGAGTGCGAGGGGACTATTGGCCCGAGAGAACGTGTAGACTGATGAGGCCTGATTCGGAGGATGGATCCTCTGTGGATGGTGGATCTGGGTCATCAGAGTCAATGGATATCAGAAGTAAGAACTGGGTCTTACAACGATGACCACGTGTATAGCGTTTATCGCAATTATAACATAGATTCTTCTCTCTTCTATCTTGCATTTCTGCCTCTGTAAGACGTTTAATGGGTAACTTGGTGGTGGGTGTAGGAAGGAGGGGAGGGAGAGGTTTGGGGGTTGGTGGTGGTGGTGTGGTTTGTGTTTGAGAAGGTGGTCTAGAAAATCGGGAAAATGGGGAGGTGGATTGTTTATCGTCATGGAGTTTAGCAAAGGAGATGGCCTGATTCAAATCGGTAGGTTGGAGGACCGTTACTTCATGGGGGAGGTGTGGTTTGAGCCCCAAGATGAAGCAACTTAGATAAAAACTAGAGGGATATCCAGAGATCTTGTTGGAGAGAATCTCAAACTCAGACAGATAATCCTGCAAGGAGTGAGTATGAGAAAGCTTACACAAAGCTGCGATAGGATCCTCGAACTTTGAAGGAGCAAATCGGAGCTCCAAAGCCCGAAGAAATGATTCCCACGATGTTAAGAGTATGTTGTTATGCATCCATTGAAACCATGCAAGGGCTTTTCCTTCAAGAGAGAAAGAGGTGAGTTGAATGCGTTGGGCCTCGGGTGTTTGGTGGAAGGTAAAAAACTTATTCACCTTGAAGATCCAACCAAGAGGATCAGTGTCGTCAAAGGATGGGAGGTCGAGTTTCATCAGTTTGTGGGAGCTGAGTGTTGGAGGGGGAAGAGAGATCTGGTTTTCTAGATGGGTGATGCGGTTGGCAATGTCCATGAGAGTGTTGGAAAAATTGGCTTGGGCGATCTAATTTGCGGTGAAGGGAATCAAATGGGTCAGGTGCGTCGACTATAGTGGGTGGAGTTTGATGCAATGAAAGCACCAAAATGAAAGGAAAATCAGAGAGAAGAAGAATAATGACAGAAAGGCAGAATAACAGAAAGAGAATACTCAATATTTCATTTCCTCCCCCCGCACTGCTCCATGAGGTGCTCTATATAGGCACAGTTTATTACAACTAACATTCTCTCTCTCGTGGGTATAACAGTTTTCCCTTTTCCACTAAAGTTGTTACGTTACTTAGTAATATAGTCATTGAGGTAAGTTGACTAACGAAAGACTCTCTTTGGAAGGTCAGCAGTAGAATCTATGGTAGTACTTGAGCTATATTCATCTTGCACTTTGTCAATGGGCTCCTCATTAGTACCAGCGAATGACATATGCCCAATATTCCTTATATGATTTAGAGGATGTTTATTAGGTTAAGTGATTCAACTTAATTTACTGAAGTAGATTGGGTTAGATTTATTTTTATTGGGTCAACCATAATCCGATCAATCTAATTGATTTATTCGGTATTGAATTTTGAATAATCTAATTCATTTGTTAGTAATTAATTTTGAAGACACTTTCTTTTATGTACTCTTAATAGTTTTTTTCTCCTCTAATTCCATAATTAAATAAAATTTTATTTTATCTTTATTTTTATTTTTATTCTCATCTTTATAAGTGTTTATTTTTTATTTTAAAATATTTGAATATCTGATTTTTTTTTAATTTTATTAAAGTATTTTCATTCTTTTTCCTCTTATTATTCTAAGAATTGAAAGAAATAGGTAGAAATCTTATTTTTTTTAATTTGAATGATTTTTTTATCACGTAAAAGTATTTGTGCAATAAGATTTTTTTTTAGAAACATGTTAAGAGGATTGAGAATATAGTTCTGGAAAAAAATTTGAGAACACGTTTTGGAAAGTGGGTTTTGGAACATATTTTCATAATTAATTTTTCAGATATGTATTCCAGATTTGTGTGTGTAGAAAACGCTTATGGATTACACATTCCGAAAGTGTATTCTGGACCTATTAATCCAAAATTCATTTCTAGAAAAACAATTCTAAAAATATATTCTAGAACATGTTTTAAATTTTTTTCCATAATGATTTTTTCGTAAACCCAGTTCAGACCATTCTATTTGAAATGCATGTTCAGATTGACTTTTCCAAAAATGCATTCTAAAATCGATGATCTACAATGCATTTCTAAAAAAAGTCATTTCAAATTGGATGATCTAAAACTTAATTTGATTTTCATGGAATTATTTTAGATTGAACAATTTAAGTCTCAATGCACAATTTTAGTATAGAAACATATAATAGATATATACTATTAATTATTACTCGTCTTTTTAAGTGTTGTAAACAATCTTAAATAGAGACAATAACACAAGAAACCAAAGGAGATGCATGAAAAAAATCAAGGGGCATAAGAAGATAGTGTCATCTTGAATGTTTAATATGAGACTCAACCAAATCTAATAATTAAAAATTATTAAATAATTTTAAACATTAATAATAATAATAATAATAAGATATTTATTATTTAATTATCATATAGAATATTAGATTATTAAATTATTCAAATAATAAATAATTTAGTTTATTTTAAAAAATTCTAAAACATATATTCTAAAGTTAAACGTGTAATAAAAACATTTTTTTAATTTGTGACCGAATCAATCTAACTCCATCAAGGTGAATTGTTTTGAATTTGGTAGGATAAAAATTATAAAACCCTTACACAACTCAACTCAAGATTTTTTGATTGAGTTAGATGACAGGTTTAATGAGATATTTCTCTTGAATCTTTAAGCATTAGTTTAAATGAAATTCTTAAATAATATTTTAAAACTTTATAAAATTTATTTTCAAAGTTATATTCCTTTATTTATATTGAAAATATGAGTAGAATCTATATAAAAACATTTATGATCAATTTAATTGATTATGAAAAGTTATAATTGATTATTTTGTTTATTAATGATTTTCAAACCAACTACTAACATTCCTTTAATCAAATTAACTCAAATTTGTAAAATTAATCAACAATAAAATAAATAATTGATCAAGTAAATAATTGATATTCTTAATATTTAAGATAATTGATTATGTTTAAATATAATAAATTAAAATATTTTAAAATAGTTTTTAAAATTTTAATACATGTTATTTTGTTCTTAGATTTCCATACATTTTTACAAAACATCTATAGATAGGCAATAATACTCATCACTTTTCATCATGAAAAATATGTAAAATATTTTCAAATTATATTTATGCATATATTTTCAAAATTTATAATGATTTGAAATTAATGAAATTTTATTTTTACAATGATAAAATTATTATTAAAGGTAGAGTTAAGAATATATTTTCTATTGATTTTCATCCTTATTTTTTAAAAATTAATAAATTAATCCTTAAATTAAAAAAAGGTAGTATTTTTTATCAATTTTTTAAAAAATTACTAAATATTAAATTTAAATATAAAGAATGATTCTTCAATTCCATTAATGTAAAAAATTATAATTATATATTAAATTTAAGTGTAAAAATACACTAAAATCTCATTTTTTTTTAAATAAGAGGATTGAATTGATAATTTAAAAATATAAAAATAAAAGACAAATTTATGAAAAATCATGAAGATAAAAACATACTTTTTCTCAAAATTAATAATATATTTATTATAATATAATAAAATATTATAAAGAAATTTCATTTTCTTTTTAAAAAAATGCACATTTAAAAAGAAAACCTACATATAATAAATATCAATATATTTTCATAATATTTCAAGTGAAATGATATATTTGAATAGAAAGAGTTTTTATTTTTTTTAATATAATATAGACATGAATTACGAGATAATGTTGGAAGAAGATATATATTAAATTTATGATTTTTTTTAATTCTATTTTTTTTCAAAGTAATTGTGATATATTAAGGATATTAATACGTTAATAGATACTTAAAAAGAAAAATTAAAAATTATATTATTAGGATAATAATCTAATATTTTATTTTACTATATAAGAAATATATAATATTTTTATGATATTGAAAAATACAAATACACATTAAAAGGATGAAATAATGTATTAGATAAAAAAATTTAAAACTTATTCATATTTATATTTATTAGATATGTTCAAAACATACATATTTATCTGTTTATTAATTATAGTGTTTTTTAAATTATATTTATTACACAGAAATTATAACAAGTTATACTCATAAATAATAATTAATAAAAGAAAGAGAAATGGTGAAACTAGGAGCCCTATTTTTTCAATCCTCTTTTGTCACCAAAATCAGAATATTATGATCAGTGTTCAGAAATGCACCCAAATTTTCATCTTCTATTCTCCAATTTCTCCTCTCTAACCTCCGATTTCCTTTTCCCCTTTTCGCTTCAGACCCATTCTCTCGCTTTCCTCACCAGAAATGGGTTCGATTTTCTTTTCTCCTTCAAATGATCGCGCTTCACCGTTTTTCCGCCTTTTGTTTTTTCGGTGAAAAAACTGTTGTGTATTAGGAAATGGTTTTGTGTGGCTTTCATGTTTTGATTGTCGGAGTTAACGTTTGAGTTTCGGTTTGTAGGATGTCAACATCTGCTGTGTGCGAATGCTCTGTTGCATTTTGGCTTTAGTTAGGGCTTTGGTGTGACCGCATTTTATACTAAAGCGTGCTCTTTCAAAATTTAACTCAGGTTTTCAGTGCGCTTTTCTGTTCTTTCACTCATTTAACTCATCTTATTACACTGATTCTGTGACTGTTGTCCATTTCCTCCCTATATATTGCCTGAGGAGCACGAAGCCCCTGTATCGTTTTTTCCTCTTTGAATTTCAAGTCAATTGAAGGCTTTCTTACAGTGTGGATGGCATGGAAAATTGTATGTCTATGCTAGGTTAGGGAGTTTTCTTATCATTTAATTTATTTTCTTATTTGTTATGTGGATTTTGGCTTATGTACTCAGTTTTGTATTATTGAGAAGCTGAGGAGCTAATATTTCAGTGTTCTCTAAACTTCTTCTTTCGATGTTACTGCCAAAAGAATGTTTTGATCTTCTAGCTTAATTTCTCATAAATTGTGTGATTGCGTTTCTCTTTTCAGAAATCTTTGGAATTTAGGGGTGTTTTACATTTTGGGAACCTGTGGAAAAAGTAACTGCTGGCTGATTGTAAATGGCATTGGGTAAAAAAGTGGGTGCGGCCTGTCGGGCAATGGGAATTCTTGGAATTGATGAATCGAAAGTAAAATCAGTGCTAAAGAAACTCCTCAGAGTGTTTGATAAAAACTGGGAACTTATAGAGGCAGAGAACTATAGAGTTCTAGTAGATGCAATATTTGAAGATGACGATAATGTGGTGCGTTTCCCACTTTATGTGTTCTCTCTCTCATACCCACACATGCATGCATGTTTTATTTCTTTTGCGTATACATAAAACTCATGATTCTTTGCCTTCATTTTCAAACAACCAGGAAGATGAGACAGAGTGTGAAGAGGCTCAAATGCATATTGAAAGAGACCGACCTTTAAAAAGGTTGCGATTAAGAGGCCAAGGAAGTCAATCTTTGCACCCTCTGACTTACAGTGCCACCAGCCCTCCATCAAAAAGGCCTAAATTAGAAGATAATGCATCACACGAAGCTTCTTCTGGGAAGAAACCTCAAGACAAACCAGAGTCATCTGATGGGAATCCAAGGATTGAAGCAGGGCTACTTCGACCAGAATATGACATTGTTGATAAGGGAAAGCAACCTGCATCAACCCAAGTTTTGCAAAGAGGAAGGAAACTTACATCTGAAAGAGCGTATCCATCCACACCACCTACTGAACGAATAGTGGAGGCAGGGAGGTTTCTGTTGCCAAACAACGAAGTGCCTCGTACTCATACACTAATCATACCCAAGGATGAGCCTATTGATGAAGTGCCTGATTACGAAATGCCCATGCCCATTGCAGTGATTCTTCCTGGTATTGGATGGACTATTACCCTCATTGTTTTTTCCTTTTATGTAGTGGCATGGCATATTGTTTTCAACTGGCATGTTTGGATTATAGTTTGCAAAACATGGTTTTACTTCGTCGGACAAGCAATTTTTTTCCCACTTCCATTCCGCTCCAAAACATTTTCAATCACAACCTTACCACGGCTGGCAACCATGTTTGTTGTGGTTGAAATTGCGTCTGCACTCACCAAACCTCAATGTCTGGGGTGAGCAAACTGTAACCAAAAGTTGCCCAGTGTTTGCGTGGTAGTATTGTGTATTAGATGGAAATTGTTATCTGACGTAAGTTCTTGAAAAATCTTTATACTACCATTCCTCACCAGAATATAGAAGACAGTGTGCAAATTTTTTATGGTGTTTGCATGATTGCAATTTACATCACATTTGATTTCAATTCAACTGATAAGAGTCAGGCAATGGGCACTTTACATACTCTAACTGGCATAAACAATAATATCCAAGTATTTAATGATGTATGTGCTTCTAGAATCAAAGATGCTTTAATGACATCCGTTGTTTGTGTACACATAGCCAGGGTTCTGGCTTTTGACTAAGTAAAAAAACAGATAGCATATTACATCTGTCTCAAATATATATTTTTTATAATTATGTTGCCATTTTTTAGTTATTTTATTATGTTGACAATTATTAGTTATTTTGTTGCTGTTTTAAGTTATTATGTTGTCATTTTTAAGTTATTATGTTAATTAGAGGTGGTTTAATTATTTTTTTCCTCTCAGAACCATCAAGTGTAAGGGACTCGTCATTGAAGAATTGTGTAACTGGAAAGCATGTTAGCCACGTTGATGTGACATCATCAGAATGTAGAGATGAAGTCAGAGATGAAGATATTACTCCTACCTCAAATATAATATCATCCAAACGCAGAGATGGAGTCAGAGATGAAGATGTTATTCCTAACAAAAATGAAGAAGCCACTTGTAATGTTGAGATCGCATCATCAAACCTTGGAGAGTTAAAATTTTCTTTGATCTGCAGTTTAGCTCTTCAGGGATCACATTTTCGTATGCCTAGTCGAGATCAACTCATAGAAATGATGGAGGATAAATGCCTGCGTTCATATAAGATCGCTGACCCAAATTTCTGTGTCAGGAAACTGTTGAGAGATATATGCGATTGCATGTTAGAATTCAGAAACAATTCTAACAAATGACCCAGAAGAAAGTTGTATAAATGTTGATGGGTCTAAGAATTTTCAAGCACCTGACTCCCCGAGCGTGGTAAGAAATAAAGATTTGGACATGTTTTCTCACGTTTCAAATGAATCCATCTTTTAAGTAACTTGTCAGTAGGCCTTTTTGAAGAGACGAGATTAATTGGTAGTTGAGAATTTTTTTTCTTTTTTCAAGATCCATTCTAACTTGTTATCTGTTATTTTACACACTATATATGTGACCTATTGGTAGTTGAACACGCTTGAGATAGGATATAATACATAAAATTAAAGATAACAATTTTGATTGAGGTAGGATAAAATGTAGATTTTTTTAGTTGCAGGAGTGTAGTATGAATTATAAAACTTAAAAATGGGATTATTGAGAGTTGTACTCGATTGCATGTTGGAATTGAGAATTGATTATTCTGAATTCTCCGAATGATGCTATATTGGTTTCCTAGATGGACCGAACAATAAATTATTTTTCAAGTAATGTCACAAAAGATTCACATAGTTCAGTGATTTTTACATAAGATTAGCCGATATAAGTTCTTTTCAGTGACCTTACCAAAAGAGAATAAAATGTTGAAATTTCTATGGTGAAAGAAATGGAAGTAGTCATCATCATAATATTTTATTATTAATTTTAAAAAAACAAATAATGAGGAAGATGCAAAAGGAGAAGAGAAGAAATTTTGAAGATAATTTTAGAAGTTATTTTACAAACAAATTTAACATCATTATCTATTTTTTTAATAAATATGAATTAATTATCAGTCTTTATATTCAAGAATAAGAGAGTATATCATATCGTTTGACACTTTTTTATATTTCTCTTCCTTCTATCTGTTATGCTTAAAAATAGTATGCCCCTATTAGTTTGCTGGTACTTTTCTTTTGTTTGGGCCTCCTTGAAATCAAAACCAAGAAAAAAAACTATATCCTTTCATTTGTTGCCTCCTTAATACTAATACAGTATAAGCTAACTCACTTCACAACCTCACGGAGTTTGTGGCCTCCATTAAACTACGATCTCATCCAAATTTCTAAATCCAATATGTATAAAAAAAAAAAGGACAAAAAGGCTATTTTTCTTTATCTCAAACAGAATAATAGACCCTATTTATCACATTTTTTTATTCCAAAAAATATGAAACTGCTTAAGTAGTTTTGTGGATTGATCTATGCTTAATTCCAGTTTCTACAAGGAACTATTTCTATATTAGCTTAGAATTTCCAAGAATTGTGCAAACCTTTCTGGAACTGTGACATGTGAAAACTGCTATTGGCATACACAAACAAGCATAATGTTTCACTTCATGCCTTCATATTTATAGCATCAATTAGGCCATTTTTCACCCTTACTACATTAGTTGGCAAGATGATGGATTTGATTGAATGAACGTTAAGTTTTAATTATTATCACTGATTCATTTGAAGTATCTGTTGTTAAGTTTTGTTTGAACTAGATACTAAGTAATAGATTTTTCTGCAATTCCATTTCACATCAACATCATGGTGAGTTTTACTTCAACTAGAGGCAAGGTAAAACAAATAGTTTAGTTAGTCATTTGTAGCATTGTCCATCAATGTCCTATAGCTAACAGCCAATCTGATGGCATTGTTTAACTAATATTCTAACAAACTCCTTTTTATCTTGCACCTATCAGTAAGTTACATCTGCCATAACTACTTTTGATTCCGAGATTCTACATCACTGATGTAGTGACTTTAATTAACTCTCGCACAACAGATCGAAGGAAAAAATTACAAGTGATGATATGTTGTAGTTTTTTGTTCTCATTTGGTTGAACGGAGGAAATTTGACTACCAGAAAGAACTTTGGAGTATCCTTATCATATGTATGCTTGTGACTAGCATTAACATATACTAGTCTGAATGCGAACTGTATGTGGAACTTTGACGAATTATCCACATGAATGTTAAACAATCTCTGCTTTCAAGCTTTCACTTTGATAAAGGTTTGAATTCTAAAAGCTAAAGTAGGATTTAATTTCTGAATAAAAAATGGATGAGGATATGGACGTAGGAATATCTTTTCTGTGCTTTACTTTGGCTAGTGACATACATCTTTTAACGTAAATTACATTCAAATTTTCCTTATTATACCTTTTGATGCGTGTAAGCATGTCAGCATGATATGATCTGTCCCTCAAATGTGACTTGGAATTCATTCGGGAGTATTTTATTTGCGGTGTGGACGTGTGATGATGCTTACTTTTGAAGAAAAAAGGAAAAGGGTAGTGAAATTCTGATCTGGTTACGTAGGAATTGCGTGTAGCTTTTTCATGTCTGAGGAGTGAGGACCGACCTGATTCTTGTACACCATCGTAGAACCATCCTAGGAAACTTTGCCAAATCTTAGAGTAAAACACAAGATAATCACAATGATGCACCCGAACAACTCTTCACAAGATTGTCCTCTAAAAGGTGCTTTGGAGCCTTGAACACACCCCATTGATGTTACATCACTAATAGGAACACCCTTTAATCCATTCACCACTCTGGGACCATTGTGACTGTGGAAAGGTAGAAAAGTAAAGTTTGATGACTGTTCATGATAATGTTTTCCATCCACCACACATCACAAAGTGGCACTTCCTGATTGCATTATGAACACTTAAAAGCCTCACCAATCTTGCTTCCTCCTTCCACTCTACCACTCTTCCATTCCACGCTCTTGAATTTGCATTTGTTTTAGCAGAACAACTAGTTCTTACTTCACACAACACACATCTCAACAAGTTGTCGAAGAATGAAAGTCTCAAGGGTGTATAACTTTCAATGGGATCAGTTCATGAAGTTTCATAGGAAAACAAGACTGACCTCTTCAGTTACACTTGGTAGTGTCCAAAGAAGGGCACCACTTGGGTGTTTCCCTCCATCATGCATCTTCAGGCAAGTTTTTTACAAGTTGAAGAATCGGTTGAAGCAAGCTTTGGTTTGGAAAAGGACCAGTCCACAGTATAGCTATGATTTTCGCAGCTATTCTCTCAACTTCGATGATGGCCTTTCAAATGAACATATGCCACCCCGTTTTTGTTGATGATGATCTATTTTTTTTTGTTTTAATTTTCTCTTCTCTGAGTAATGAATAAATTGATCTGTAAAAGTTTGTTGTTATTCTATATATAGATACAATACTCCGTAAATTGCATAATTGTAAATTGATTCTCCATATGATCCAAATCAATCCAATTATTATTTTTCTTTAGCCATGGTTAAATCTTGCAAGACCTATTGTTTCATCATCTAGCTTTCAAGTTTCATCTTCATTCAGTGTCTTGCATTGTGAAAGTTATGTCAATATTTTCAATGGATCATATAAATGGACATGCTTTTCTTGTGCTGCATATTCTTGTTTCTTACATGGCACATGCTTTGTCTTTCTGTTATGATCCATTTTTAATTTCACTTTCATGTAATGTGGAAGTTAGTAACAGAGGAAAATATCCTAAATCGTCAATAGTTCAATACTTCACTCTTTTTTCTGTACAAAATAATTGCAAAAGGTAAGAGCTTCATAGATTTGTGATAAGATGATACATCTGACATTTTGATGGGAAATATGATCTTAACATCGTTTTCACACAGAATATGGATTGTTAAAAAAGATAGTCACTGGATACAGAATACTTCACCAACCTGTTAAATTATCTGCAACTTGGTAAGTAACTAAATGATCATTTAAACTATGCATATGATGTTTTTGGTGTATGATACATGTATGTAACCAGATGCAGAAAAAAATGATATTATCTGAAAGATAACATCATGCCTGATTTTGTGGGTTTGATCAAAATTAAGGAGGGTTAGGGGACCACAATCTGTGCCACTGATGACGCCTGAATTCTGATTAATTAGATTGAATAATTATGAATATTTTAACGCAACAAAATAGAAAGAGAACTATTGTTTCTAACCTGAAATGATGAAGAAGAATATTATTATAGTGAATGGTGTCAGATCGTACATTTGAGTCATCGATTCATATAAAAAATGGAGGAATGAAATATTCTCTTATCTAATCATATCGTGTCACCTGTAATACATTTCACAAAGAAACTGTACATTATCATTACTTCATCATGTCATTTAGCATTTTCAGTTTCAGTGTGTTAAGATCAAATTCACACATTCACAGTACTTTGAGTTTCTTGACTCGCTGTAAAAAGCTTTTCATTGGCATAGTGAGTGCTTCTTCATTGTTGGAGGATCAATGTTGTTGAACTATAAACAAAATTTGGTGTATTTGATGAATATGATTACTAATTTTGAATATGATTAATAATTTTGAAGGATTGTCATACAAGAAAAATTCTGAAAGATTACTGCATAAAATTATTTATTGTAAGATGGAAATTGAGTGTAACTGTCCCCACATGCCACAAAGAACTCTTGAGGCAAGATGTAGTTTTGCTTAGCAGGGTGTTGCTTTCTTCTCATTCATTCTCATTCTAATTTTTTTTTTTATTATTATTATTATTTATCCTAATTATTCCTTATTTTCACGCTTCTCATAAATTTTTATAAAATGATACACCAAACCTAATATTTAAAACCAATTAAAGAAGCTCTTTTAAAAAAATATTTTTTTTTATACGTAATCAAAGAAAACTTGTTTTGTCCCACATATATATCGTTTTAATGTTTTTTTTTAATTCATATAACACAAAAAGAAGAAGAAAAATAATATTTAACGTAAGAAGCAGAGAAGATAAATATTAACATTAACAATGATAATATTATTTTATTTGAATATATTTTTGTGATTTGTGCTATTTTTTCGATATAATTCAATATTTTTAAAATCGGTAAAAACATAAATATAAGATTTTAATATCATATTAACCAGATTTAATAAAATAATATTTTTATAATATAATAATTATAATAAATTGAATAATATTTTTATAATTTATTAATAATAATATTTTAAAAAAATTAAAAATTATTATTATAATTATTATAAATTATAATAAATATTATAAATATAAAATATATTAGAGAATGTAAGATGAATAATTATTAAAATAAAATAAAAATAAAATAATTATTATTTAACATTGATGTAATTAATATCAAATAAAAAAATTAAAATATCTTATATATTTTATAAAAGATTTATATTAAAAATATTTTGATTTTAATTTTTTTATCAAATCAATTTAATCCAAAAATCCAATCAATTTGATCGATTTTATCTTGATTTTTATTTATTTTGTTTAAGATTAATTAAAATTTGATTATTTAAAAATATTAGTTTTTAGATAAATTATCAATTAAATTAGTTGAACTGATCGATCGTCTAATTTTTAAAACACTAATATAATTTATTTATAACATTAAAAATGTTTTGATTTGTTTTTTTATCATAAAATGTGTTTTCTTATTTCTTATTGTACTTAAAAAAAATAGATCTTGAATTTAAGAGCCTAATACAACAAATTAAAAGGACGAGAGGAATAAAAATTATATAAACTTATATATTATTTATACTATTATGTGTGTTAAAACTTAACCACAGAGTTTAACTTCAATTTCAATCTTAATCTACTCATTATCTATTTCTAATTTCATTTCGACCTCCATTTTCAGTTTTATCTCAACTTTTATTTTTAATTTTTATCTTAATATCAATCTTCAACTCCAATTTTTTTAGTGAGTTATTATATTTTTTCTTAGCATATGAAAGTTTTTATTGTCTTAAATTAGTTTGATCTTAATAATTGGGAAAATGGCTTGAATCTTTAGTTAAAATTTGGATGAGAAATATTCGTGGAAATAACTATTCATGAGTAGGAATTTATGGTTTGATATGGTGAAAGTAATTAACTTTTAAATTTTGATAAAATAGATTCCATTTATTTTTGAAAATGTGTTCAGTATAATTTTCTTTGTTCTCAAAATCAATCACTTCAATGTAATAGAGATAAATTATCTCTATTGATGCAAAAAGTCCAAAAAATAAACTTCGTAACATTATTAATTAAATGTCATTATTAATTCCTTTCCCTTACATTCCAAAAAAAAATGACATTATTAATTAAATATCATTTTTCATGATTGAGATTATATAATTAATGATATTAAAACTTCTTATTTTTTAATAAAAAAATAAATAAACTCTAAGGTTTTATTTTTATTCACATAAGAGAAAAAAAATGTATAACATGCTTTCAATGGTTTACTTGATTTTTATTTGAGATTTTAATTACTTTGTTTTTATTAAATAGTTTCATATAAATTTTAGAAAAAAGTGAGTTATTATTTCAAAGTTTTATGGATGATGCATGTAGTAGATCAATTTCTGATCACTTATATTGGATGAGAATAACATTATTAATTACATGTTATGTTTTATAATTTGGATTCTTAAATTAATTAATGACATTAAAACTACTTTCTTATGAAGCAAAAAAGAGAAAAAATTTCATCACTGACTAAAAAAATCAAAGTTGGGGTACCCATACAGAATAAAATTTTAGTTGTTTATTTGAATTTTTAATTACTTTATTTTAATTAATTATTTTTATTTGTAAGATAAATTTAAAAAGCTTAGACTGTTCACAGCTTGATTTTTCATTAAATAATAATTTAAACTAAATATGCAAATTGGATTTGGTTTACTTTGATTTGATTTAATTTTAATATAATATCTAAATTAAATCAAACCAAAAAATAAGTTCAGTTCGGTTTTGAAATTTTTATTATTATAAAATTATTATTTTTAAATTGTAAAACATAATTTTTTTTAAATGTTAAACATTTTATAATAAAAAATTATAAATAAAAAGAAATATTATATAAAAGTATATTATTATTATTATTATTATACTCAGAATCTTAATTTTTTTTAATTATAAATAAAATAATATCAAACTATAAAACTATTCTCAATAGCCATAAAGATTTTTTAGATTGTTAGATATATTTAGGAAACCTAAATATTTACGGCAAAAGGAAGTTTTGAAACATTCTTCAAATTTTCAAAATAAATATTATATATATATATATATATATATATATTTATTTTTTTTTTTCATTATCTATATATTAGTCTTTCTAGTAATTTTACCTATGCTCCAAAGTTTATAGATATGACTCTGTTCATCTTTATCTTTTTCACATTATTGAGGCCACTTGTGCGACAAAAGAATCTTTTAGTTTTTCTTTTTCTAATAAATTTATATTAAAAATAAAAAATATGTAATTCAGTTATATAAAATTATCTTTTAAAATTAATTCACTAAAATAAAAATTATATTCATATTAAAAATAATACGATACTAAATTTAATCCTACTATTTATATATTATATTATTATCTTATTTTTATTTGATGGAAGATTTTATAAACTTATTTTTTTAGATTAATTAAGAAGCTAAATAATATATTATTCTAATTTTTAATTTTTAAGTAATTTTTTTTATCAATAATTTTAACAAAGTTTTGGTTTTGTATAGATTTTTATAAAATATAATTTAATTTTAGTTTATAGAAAATTCATTTTATTTTTTATTTGAAAAAATCGGAAAAAAATATAATTTTGACACAAAGCTCTTCTCTTCGTCTTATAAAGAATGATTAACTCTCAAAATTAAAAGCAAAATTTGAGTTTGTATATTAATAAGAATTTAGATGGATAATTTTTACACGATAGTTTATTTTTTAGAAAAATTTATATATTTAATAAAATATATATAATCTAGAGTATAATTTTAAAAAATTAAAATTATAAACTTTATAAAAATAGTTCAATAATTTAATTTATATATATATATATATAATTGTTTTTTATTTTTATTTTGATGGTCGAAATTATTTTGATCGATCGTCCAACATATTTATTTTCAATCAATATTAGCTTTTCAAATTTTTTTATGATAGTGAAACTAATTTTTTCTTAATAAAATTAAGAGTGCGTTTAATTAATGTTGATACAATTTTTGTTGTTGTTGAAATTATATATTTTATCAGTGTATACCAAAGTTTAATTTCGTACTAAATATTAGTGAGGATTTTTCATAATTTATAATGATCATCAATTGAAATATTGAAAAAAAAAAGTTCAAATTGAAAATAATTTAAACTATTTTAATCAATAAAAGCTCTTCTTAATAAGATTTTTTTTCCAAAACAAAATATCAACCAATTTATACTTTTAATTATTAAATGTACTTAATATTAAAAATGTAATAACATGCAAATTCAACTTTAAATTTTCACTAAAGAAAAGAAGGGAATAAATTTTTTAGAAGTATAATAATTCAGTTTACAGTTATCCTGAATAGTTGAAATACATCACACATCTAAAGTCATAATTATACTAATGTTTTACACATAATTACATAACACAAAATAACTCTTTCAAATTTAGGAGGTCTCTATTTCATTTCTCAAATCATTGGATCTTATTACCACTTGCAGAATATTTGGAATCTGCTCACGTGCATAACATGATCATAGCAGGATCCCAAAAGATCAAACACAAAGCAAAAACAAGGGCAATCTACCATTTGGTTAAATATGTAGAATAGTGTAACATTGCAACCGACACTTATTCATTCACAAATATCCTAAGACTAGACTCACTGGAGAGTCTAGCATCCTACAATCACAATCACACAATAAGACTGACGCTTTCCGAAAATCTATATGAGATTCAGACCAGTAAGGTAGACACCTGATGAGAAATATTTGGGGTCCCAAACCTTAAATTTTTATGGCTTCAGGCCTATAATATCATTTTTCAACCTTTCATCAGAGCAACAGACATATAGGATTGACGCTATATTGTGTCTCCATCAACTTCCCACCACAGATGTCTTCGTCTATATAACTAAGAACATCTTGGAAGTCTGGATGTCCTATTACGCCTATCCATAATTCCATACACACTATTCTACATAGTACATCAAGTCTATCATTCAACAAATATCATAGTTTTCCTTTGGATCTTATAGCTTATATTCTCACATTACCAGGTCTTAGTGTCCTTCACATTTTATTATTAACTCATATTCAACATAGAATAGTCAAAGGATGCAATAAAACATCAATAAACCAACTGCGGGTGACCTGCTGTTAGTGTAATCAATTGCAACAGGTCTGGTAATCGATTACCAGAGAGAAATTGGATTTCTAATTCCCTCGTCAATAACCGATTACCACATCATTGTAATCGATTACACCCTACAAAGTCAAATTATGCAGATGCAATATTTTAGTAGAACACCGCTAATACAACTCAGAATTTCCAGAATCAAACCAATATTATGCAGTTCACAATGTCCAGCCCAACATTAAAATTCTCAACTTCTATGTAATCACAATTCACTTAAAACGGTACATTCTGAAAGTAATGAGGGGGAGATTGATGAAAATGTGCCTGCATTCCCAAAAGATGATTTTGATGATGATTCAAGTCAACACCATTCAAGATAAATTTAAGGACAAGCTGAATTTATGACGTATGTGATAAAGATGATGATTCAAGCAAGCCCAAGATGATTCCTGAAGACTAGATAGAGTCTTAGAATACTGGATATGGAGGTACAAGTTGATGAAGTAATATTATGCATAAGCCTCCAAAGCACAAGTGTGATAAAATTCATAACATGATATTTTTCACTGTCATAATTAATTATGATGCACCAGAAATGAAAAAATGATTTTCTCTATCATAATTAATTATACTGGTAATATAATCAATTATGGCAATTCAAATTTAAAAAATATATCCGTTTTAAAGAATAAATGTTTTTGAATACATTTTGATTTTCTCTATGATATTATTAATGTCCAACGACCATTTTCTGATGCTATTTTTCTATTTAATTAAGTTTTGATGAAAAATCAAAAACACACAATTATAGAATTCAAAAATACAATTTACATTCAATCAGTTTTGAGAAAAGAATTCTGAGAAAGGCAACAGAGATATTTTACACCTTTTGAGAAAACCCTCTTCTCTACTGCCTTCTGTGCTTTCATTGTTAATCACACTTGTTCTTGGAGATTGACATTCTACAGACTTCTATAATTTGTTGTCTCCATTACCCAGATGTGTCTGTTATTATTTTTATTACATTCATCCTTTTTGCATTGGTTGAAAAGGAGGTGATTTTCATCCCTAGTGTGATTCTAGGGAGGTGTTCATCCCTAGTGGGATTCTAGGGAGGTGTTCATCCCTAGTGGGATTCTAGGGAGGTGTTCATCCTTAGTGGGTTTCTAATGAGGTGATTGTCTTTTTAATTAGTTTACTTTTTTACTGGTTCTTCTGCTGAGTTGATTGTAATTTGTAAACTGAATTTGAAAGATAGTGAATGAGGAATCACTCTTGTGTTAAGAGTTGACTGAAAACTGGATGTAGGGTTGGTTATACCCGAACCAGTATAAATCTCTGTGTGCTCTTCTCTTTCCCTTATCTCTTTCTCTTTTCCTAATTATATTATTGCTTCCACTTTAACAAATTATTGACTCACAAATAAATTTTTAATTTGACATCTATTTTTATTTGTGCATCTATTCACCCCCTTTAGATGCCTTTTGTCTAACACATTCTTTCTCCTTCAAACCAACACAGACCAACCATACAATTTAGAAACTCAATGATACAAAGATATTTATTTCAACCAATCTATTTCAAAATAGTTTATACAACAAGATTTTCCACAAGTGTTCACAATATCATATCACATACAACACTTATATATATATATATATATATATATATATATATATATATATATCACAAACATACTCATTATTCACTTAATTTAATTTTTCATCAATACAATACAGACCAAGTAAAGAAAATCAGCTATTATACTCACTCAACCATATACTCTACTAAATCAGTTTTAAGCACCATCCAACTAGCTTATCAAGACAATACCAACTCTTAATTTATATCTAAAACAACTAAAGTTCATGGTTCACTTCAAATTCTAAAATCTCCACTCACCATCAATGCAAGGATTAACAAAACCTAAAGTTTCAGCACAAGTAAAAATCAAAGAAGTTTCCCTTACCTGTGGGTGATGCTACACATCAACCTAACGCCAACAAAGTCTTAGAAACGCCAAAACACCTAAGGAGTATCGTTCTCCCCCAATTTAGAAAACCCTAAAAATGAGATTGAAGCAAGAAACAAAATTAACCTCGAGAACATGAAATTGGGGAGTGACAGAGTAAGATGAAACCTTTTAATTCCACCAACAATTCCTTAAATTCTCAAAATTCCAAATTTTAACTCGCAAAAACCCTAAAGTTCAAACTTTACTGAAACAAAATTCTAATCGATAGATCTTCTCGCTGTTCTCCGTCGTGAGCACAACGAAAGCTTCGAATTTTTAATTGGGGAAGAATAAGATCTAATCTGCAGGAGAGATGTTGGAGGTGAGGGGGAGGTTTTTTTTTTTTTTTTCACGAAAGAGAAGAGAAATTAGTTTTCTCTTTCTTCCTCTTTTTAATTTCCTTCTTTTAATTAAACTATATTAAAAAATTAAGTTTTTAAATTAAATATTTAAAAATAAAATAATTGAAATATAGTATATTTAAAGTTCTTAAAAAATTAAAAATTTGGTACCCAACCCAAACACTTTTTAGAATTAGCGGTAAAATAGGGATTTTGTTGAACAGCGCACACACAGTGCGCATCTGTTTTCTTTGAAGATTAAAAAAATAAACAAAAATCTGTTTACATTGAATTGTCACACCAATATTTCTTTTTCTCAGTGCACCCATCACAAACCTCACCACCGGATATTACTTAGAATTTCTTCTATCAACACAAAATATGCCATTTAAAAGTCACATATATTCATTTTTCTTTTATTTTTTTACAAATTCAACTCTTTTTATGTTTTACTTTATATATTATATAAATTCTTTTTAATATAATTATTATCAAAATTTTATTTTCTTATTCAATCATAATGTATACATTACTACTAACACTCACAATTTTTACTATATCAGAATATGTTTTATTTTATGCTGTATAATAATAATAATAAAAGAATATTCTTTTAAAAGAAAACAATTCGAATTCTTGAGACGCCGCGTAAGGGTAATATATATATATATATATATATATATATATATATATATATATATATATATTATTTTTTTTATTAACTAAAAAAAGACACATGCAATAGCAATATCGTTAAAGTAGAAAACAACTCAAGATCCAATTCATATAAAAATATTCGAAATTGCATGGGAGTGAATGCAGGTGCAGGAAGAGCAGAGAGTCCACGATATTGAGATTGTCGATCACGCGAGTAGATGGCGCGTGTATGAGGCTTGGGCTACTAGCATAGCATAGCATAGCAATAGCACAGTGAGAAGGCATAGCGCACTCGTTTCGTTGATCACAGTTCACCTGCCGGTGACGGAAATAAAAAACACCCGCCTCTTTCTCTCTCTCTGACCAGAATCTGTTCCATTCATCATCTCTGGTTTCGATTCCAATTCGCTGGGGTAAGAATTTGATACACCGTTTTCGTATTGTGTAGGGGAATTTCGGGGTATCTGATTTCATTATGTTTTGCTTCATTTTCACGTTTTTTGTTGCGTTACTTCACTCCACTTCGCATCGCATTGCCTAACTCCACTTCCTTCTCAATTCTGTTCCTAAGCTGGTTTTCCTACCACCTCTGTTTCTCTCTCTCTCTCTCTCACTCTTTTCTTTTTTTTGGTTATTTTTTATGTTTTTGTAGCTTCTTGTTAATTTAATCGATTTGTATGTGGTATATCAATTTGCATGCCTAGTTGAATGAGTACGGATTCTTTTCACCCTTTTTTTAAGTGTTGTTTGCTGCGTGAAAGTGTTTGATTATCGGTTTATGTTTTTCTTTTTGATGAATTGGATTGGCATCATCCCTCTCTGAAGTCTAAACTTCTTAGAAGCAATAGAGAAAGAAGCTGAAATCGTGTAGGGGTCAAACACTTCATACTCCGGTTATATTTCGTTGAGAGAGGGAATAAATGTTGCTGGTTAGGTGTTACTGTTCTTCTTCTCGTGTTTGGTTTGTCAATCGAAGCTTTAGTCATCATTAAGCATCCTTATCTTTTTACAAATATGTGTTCGAAGGAAAGATGGTTGTGAATATGTGGAAACGATGCTTATGGTCTGTACTTTAGCATATGATAGACTTGTGTGGAATTTTATGTTAAAAAATGAAAGATTGGGGATGAGAAGTTCACTCCGTATTTGATGTTTGTTCACTGTAGTTGGACTGCGTACGTCTTTTGTAGAGTATGTATTGTGTAATTTTAGAGAAAGGTAACAATGCTATGGTTGCATAATGGTCTCAAGAGGTGGTTCCATATAGTGGCCTGTGGGCCATTGGTTTATCTTCTGGTATTTCAGCGCCTGAAATCTCTTCATTGTCTTATTTCTCTAACTGGACAGAACAAACTAAGGTGAGGCAGGAGATAACTTGATTATCAGTTTCTTTTGCTACTGCAAATGAAAATAAATAGCCAACTAACTTATCGATCAAACAAGAATGGTTTTGAATTGGGGATGGAGAGATAGAGAGGAAGTGGTCGTTTGTGAATTCATTCTGAACCTAAATCACAGTGAACTATGAACTATTATAGGCATTAACTTTCTATCTTGTTTTAGAACTTTGAGGTTTGTGACCAACTACAATGATGATTTACATTTAGTATGTTTCTGTTTTTTACTTGTTTTCAGGCTTGGGCATGCTTTTTATCTAGTCTGTCTTTGATGATGAGGTTTTATAGTCTTCAGAAGTTCTTACTAGTGAGTTGCTTTCTTTATTGAGCAACTTTTTATATTACAGACTAGAGTACTTTTTCCTTTCACAGATCTGAAGATTGATGACAAATAGTCTGGTTTGGGTATCAATAACAAAAATCAAGTTGAGTGGTATTTTGCTGGTGAGCATTATAATGGGGGAAAATGCAGGGTTTAAGATTTTATAAATTGACTGAAAACTGATATTTTATCTTTTTAACCAACAATGAAGGAAAATAATGGAAGCACATCCTACTTTCTCCATTGAAAGATCAAAGCAACTCAATAACATGGGGATGTCTGGAGCACTTTCTTCATCTTTGTCTGTCCTTCCAATATCCACAGAAGATATGTATCCCAGGCAGCCTGAATCACAGTTGAATTTTCTTGAACAAGAGCTTATGACAAGACCTTTTACTCATTCAAGTTATTTGAATTCCAATGGAGTAGTTGGGCATATTTTTTCGTCTTCCCCTGGATATTCAACTGATCTTCATCACTCATCTCTTTCACCAGATGAAAAACAGTCTACTAATGCTCATTTTATTTCACAATCATCAACTAACATTGCCCAATTTCCCTTATCATATTCTTCAAATACTGGGCCACCAACTTCAGCAACACCAAGCCATTATTCCAAAGATAATAGTGCTTCCTGGCATACAGATTCCCTGCCAAGCTTTCTGGAATTTCCTGCGAATGGCTCAATTGACGATAATAGAGTAGAAAGTAGTGCTGGCCCTACAATGGCATCCGAGGAGTATTGTAAGCCAAATGATTGGCAGGAATGGGCTGAGCGGCTAATCAGTGATGATGACACTTTGACTTCTAATTGGGATGACCTTCTTACTGACAACATTCAAGATCTTGAGCCAAAGGTGAATTATTGCATAACTCAAATCAATATTAGCTTTCAGAGGAAACTGATACGTAATTTATTCAAGGAATGTGTTTGGATCTCATTTTGTGGGTTTAGGTGCCATTCCAGGTTGCAAAACCACTTTCACAGTTTCCAGGACGTCAACCGCAAGGTCAACAACAACAAATTCCTGCTTCATATGGAGAAAATTGCACTGGAGCTACCCTCTCTTCCTCAGCAAATTCTGCTCCTGCCAAGTCACGAATGCGTTGGACACCAGAGCTTCACGAGGCGTTTGTGGAAGCTGTCAACCAACTTGGGGGGAGTGAAAGTACAATAATCTATTATTCTCTCTTTGGTAAGTCTTTAGCCTTAGTTTGCCAACCTTTTTGCTCATTTTTCTTTTTCCTGTTTTCCTGTCCTTTTTTCTGCAGGAGCTACTCCAAAGGGTGTACTGAAGCTCATGAAAGTTGAAGGACTGACTATATATCATGTGAAAAGCCATTTGCAGGTGTGTGCACTTTGCTTTTAACTCCTTTGATTTGTATGGTAGCATGTGTGTTTTTACTGAAACAGACTTGGCTTGAAATGAAGAAATACAGGACAGCTAGATATAGACCGGAGTCATCTGAAGGTACATAAATTATGTCTAGTATAATATGTAATATTTACCAGCATGCATTAATTATAAATACCTGTTTTGTTTAAGTATTTCTTTGATGCCGGTGTAAAATAAAACCAATCTTTCACTGATTTATTGTAGGATTAAAAGCTCATATCATATAGATCATTCTTGACTGAAAACTAAGTTTTTTTTTACTATGCTTTTCAAATGCAAGAAAATGTTTACTCATTTATTAAATACCTATTAATGCATAATATCTTGTCTTTTAATGGTTATATTAATGCAAATCACCTTGCATGACAAACTATTAAGTCGTGTAAAGCACTTAATATCTTAAACTGGTGTTAATGGTTTAACCTTTTGTCTATAAGATTTTTAGTAAGATATTCACTTGGATTCTTTTCCCATACTGTGGATATATCAGTTGTGAAGTGCATAACTTCAGTATGTTTTAGAATGTAGAAACTTTAGCACGTTTATGAATATCCAGATAAAATTAAGTTTTAAATAACATTTTGGTCTTTATAATAGACTCACTATTTTATCTAATATTAGTTATATAAGCAAACTTTAACTATTTTTACCATATTTAATGAACTTATTTGTAAAATACCCTTCATTTTAATAGAGATATTATTTCGAATGACTCTGGGTTATTCTTGATATCAAGTTCTAATTAAAGATAGTTTAGCAAACAAGTTTATCTTTTAATTGAAATTGGTGTAATTAAATTATGCTAACTAACTTTCTTAATTAGCATAAATTGGTTTTTTTTTTTACTTATATTTGAGATTGGAGAAAGTACGATTATTTTTCGTTTTAATTCTCAACTATTTTTCCTATTTACATTCTTATTAAATGAATGTTTTATTTTAGTCTGAAAAAATCGTGGTCATTAATCAATGACGATGTAGGTAATTATGATTGAATAAAGAGTCTAATGTTTCCTAATGACAAGGTCAATGAAAGTCATCTGATATAAAAGGAACCTACATCAAAAGTTTACAATTGTTTATATATTAGAACCATAAATTAGAGACTTAAAAAATTAATAGGAACACAAATAACATAAAAAGAGTAATTAAGAGCAGGGACAGATCTTGTTTGTCTAGGGTCTTGACCCTCTTAATTTTTGTAATCTATTTATAATTTTGACCCTTTAAAAAATTTTATATTTTCTCATATTTTATTCTCTTATTTATTTGTGTGATATATATTATTTTGTTCTCTTTAATCAAGACCGTCGCTAATCAGGAGGACTAAAATAAAAAGTTGCCTGTATCTTATAGGCATAAAACCTTGTATAATCTAAAATTATTTAGTACATGACAGTAAGGGGATGGAACAATTTTTAACTAATCTAAGCCTCTTGGATATTTCCTACTTCTCTCTCTGTCACTCTATGAACCTCCCTCTGTGTCCAGAAACCTGTGCATGCTCAAGAAACTAAAAATTCGCCTGCTAATTTGTCTGAGAAATTGACCAAGACCCCAGTGATTGTTGTCTTGAGTCAATTCCTTGAAACTAGAGCTATAATCTGTGTGTTGTAAGCTAATAACAGTAGGTTCGTTGACTACTGTTGGCAGGAATTATGGAGAAAAAAGCAAGTTCTATTGAAGAGATGTCATCACTAGATTTAAAAACGTAAGTATACTATTTACGGCTATTTTAAATAACTTCTGTTATGGAGTATTACCATAAATGTTGATACATCAAAATTGATAGACAGAAATTCATTCTTTAACATGACTTTGCTGGTGCAAATGTTACATTCTCAGAAGAATTTAAATTGATTATGTTGAAATATGGAAGTTAGCACTGTTAAGTCTGTTTCTTCAGATGGCAGTTATACTTCAATATCTCACCATTTAACCTGAGAAGAGTACAAATATCAATTAAGGGCAGGCTCAAGAATGAATATAAGGATTAACATAGAAGAGGCTTTGTTACTGTATCATCGAATACTGGGTATGCCAATTATCAGTATTTGGATCAGCAAGTGGCTTAGAATTTTCACTGACCCAGGATTAAGACCACAATAAGGCCAAGATATTGTTCTATGTAAAGTTTTTGGTAATATTTCAGAAACAGTAATTATTATGCTGACTTTACTATTGCATTACTGACAGTGGTATTGAGATCACTGAAGCTCTACGACTACAAATGGAAGTTCAGAAGCGGTTGCATGAACAGCTTGAGGTTTGAACTTCAATCCTCTAGAATTTCTTTCTAACATACATTAAATTAACTGTATTAGAAGGTTGGTTCAAAGGTTTGCTCATCTTGAAACATGATTTGTATTGCAATCAATATTTTTTAAACTATATCGGTTAATGATCATAGGCACGATTCATTAGTCAAGATTGAACCCTGGTCAAAACATTCATATTACACACGTTAAGGGAAGGCTTCTAAGCTCAATATTTTCCGTAAACTCGTGGAGCTCCTAAATTTATAAGTTTACTTAATATTAAAATAATTATAGATAACATATATTAATAAAATATCACAATACTAATAATAATTTAACATTTCAATTACATAGTAAAAATATAGCAAATTACGATATTAAAGTAGCATAGTTTTGTAGAACATTACAACAAGAAAAAGTTAAATTTCACCCAAATCATGCATAAACATAAAACATAAAATTGAAATTAATAAATATAAAAATTTAAAATAATATAAGTATACCACTAATGTAATTGATATGATAATTGGATACTTTTGAACGGAACGAGGAAGAAGAATGGGTGTCGCTGGTTGTTGTTGTCTCGATCCCTTCAAACGGGTTTTGCTGTACAAAGTCGCGAAGAACCGGATCACTGTAGCAGAATCGGGAAGATGAAAAATGCAGAGGAGAACAGACAAGAAAGGATGAAAATCGGAATCCTATAAAGCAAATTTGATTGCGAGAGTAGAATATAATAGAAGAGAAACCCTGAATCTTTGTATTGAAAACAAAAATAAAGTACTCAAAATGCCCATATACTGTGCCGCTGTGGACAAAAAAATTTACCCACTGAAAATCGCCGACTCGTTCATGGACTGGGAGTCTAGCGATTTCGCTAAGCCCACTCAAAATCGAGTTTGCTTATGAGTTAAAAAGGTAAGCATTATGTAAGCACACGTAAACTCATACGTTTTTACGATTTGACATGTGATTTTAATAATCATGGAAGGGATAAACTTAAAATGATGATGCTACTCTTACACCAGTTCAGATAGAATAGAACTTTTGTTGATTCAACTAATGAATTATAATTATATTATTTTAATTGTCTGTATATATATATATATATATATATATATATATATAATATGTCAATTTTGATGTATATCAATGAATATTAAAGATTTTGTAAATAAGATCTATGTATGATTAGACCTTTCTAGTGGTAGATTTTTAAATAAAATTATTCAATAAAAAGTTATGGCATTGTGCAAGAGCTGGTGTCATTTTTTTAAGCAATTTGTGTAACTTATAATTTGTCTCAATTCATAAATGCAATCTTGCCATTTTAGAGATGTTTGGAGGCCAATTTCAAATCTGAGTTAAAAAGAGAAACGCAAGTTCAGGTTGCGGGGGGTAGCTTCTTTATGAGCCTAGAATTGATTTCTCTTTTGGTACACTTTTGCCCTTTCCTTCTCAAAGTGCTCGAAAGCCTTTGAGCTACCTGTGCTATGCGATGCTGAAATTGCACTATCAGCTATCTTTCATACTTCTATTAGCTTTTTCATGCTATCAGGAAACCTTGTCCATAAATATCTTTGTTGGGGAAGATAAAAATGTCTTATTCTATTTAATTTAGTCAGCATGGACCAATAAATTCGTGACCGCCTGACAATCTTCAACATTGCTAATGGTTTACTGTATTAAACAGTACCTCTCAATCAAGTGTACAGGTCTATCAGAGATGTTATATTCATGTATCTCTCTGAGCACTTAAAATAGAAGAACAATAGCACTTACTTTTTCAACTACAGGTCTTCTACATATCTTTTTAGTAAAGTAGCACTGTATAATTTCTGTTGTGTCTCTCATCGTTAATTTCTACTTTTTGCGGGTTTACGTTTACACTCTTTTCCTTTTATGTTCCTTCTTCTAGATTTTTGTTTTTCAGCTTATACTGCATGTGGAAGAGATGACCAAGTTACGCTACCCATTCTGGGTGATTACTAACCAAAAATCAATTTTGATTTTAAGTTTCCAAATTTTATGTGAAAATAAATTTCCAATATTTGGTATCGAAGCAAAAATCGTGTTGCTTCAAACTCATGTTCACTTAACATCAATTCTATAAAATCACATTGATCCAAAATCAGGTTTACGTTTCTAGCATGTTCATGTAGGACATGATATAATGCATTTAGTGTTCTTGACTGTTAGATTGTGGGAAGTTGCACTTAATTAATAGTAGCCTCTAAGTCTGTTCGGAGAATATATCTTATGGGGATCCTTTTATAGACTATATCGATGATATGCAGAAACAGTACACTGCTAGGTACCCTTAAGAAAGCTATTTTCATTCCCTAAATATTAAAATATTCACTGTTTGGATTATTGAAATTTAATATATACAAAAGATTTATTGAACGGAGTATCTTCACCATAAGTAGACCACCAACACATACAACATACAACATACAACATACACTAAAGCTAAGAAAGGGGCTGGCCGTCTTGTCCCTGCATATGCATTTACCTTTTATACAACATCCACATTTTTTTTCGTACAGTTAATTATTTTTTAAAACAAATTTGCCAACTGGTTATCAATATTTAAGGGTTTGGCTGCTTCTTTGGAGTTCAGTTTCGTGGGTTGATTGGAGGACCAAATATCAGAACAATCACTGGTTTTCCAATCCCACTTGCAGGTTTGGTTTGGTACTTTCAACCATGTTTGCAATTGCCATAAGTTCATGTTTTATAGCACATGGGACCTGTGAGAATAAATTTTTACTTGTAATTGAAATCGACTACAAGTGAAATCTGTGCCTTTGTAAGTTAGGTGAAAGAAATTGAAGGGATGTGAATCTTCTTTAGAGAAAGAATTTAATCCTTTTCTATTCGTTGTTCTGTATTTTGATTCCTATTTTTTTAATTGTATTGTATAAGAAGTTGTATTTTACCGGTCATGCTCAATCTTATACCTCTGACTTGTCGAAGATACAAATTGTAGTTCTAAACTTTACAGCACTTTCTCATGAGTGTTGTGTTATGTCGTTTTCATCATAAATGGATCAAAAGAATATGAATTACCAGGCTTATTATGTAGGATATTGGTTTTTATTTTGGCTACGTTGGTAAGAACATTTGTTTCTTTAATCAAGTATGAAACTAATTTCTGTAATTGGCGTATACATTTTGCCCATAGATTTTAGAGTTTAGGTGCTTGTGTTATATTACACACATTGATTATTTAATTGTTTATATTTCGAATAATGGTATCTAACTTGTTTCTCTTATGCTGATCATATAGCTCTTTCATAGTTCTAATATTGTTCTTTTCCTCCCCTTCTTTATTCTGTCAGATTCAAAGAAATCTCCAGCTCCGAATAGAAGAACAAGGAAGGTATCTCCAGATGATGTTTGAGAAGCAATGTAAATCTGGAACTGAAACGTTGAAAGCATCATCATCTACCATTGAGACTCCATCCGGAGTGTCTTCAAATGCCACGAGAGATTTCCCTGCCAAAAATGTTTTGGAAGCATCACAAATGGATCATTGTAGGTCAGGACCTGATCAAGCTAACGGCAGTGCCACAGTTGAGGAAGGCTCACTGGAAAAGGGTGGGAATCCTGATTCTCCTAAAACTCAACATGCTATTGCCAATTGTGATGGTGCTGAAGCCCCAAAACGTCAAAGAACAGAGTAAGCCATATGAATCTGCTGAATCAAAGAACAGAGTAAGCCATATGAATCTGCTGAATCAAAGTGTGACCCTAAGTTATGAGTTATTTCTGTCCTATTGTGGTGAATGAGTATAATGTAGATTTAGCAGACGATGTCGCCTTAGTTGCTTGAAAGGCTTAGGTGAAGTTTTGCTGATAGAAATCCTCCTTGGTAGGTAGGTTGTAAATATGGTATCTCTGTGAGAGTATGTGCAAGCTGTAGTATGGCTATGTCCTTAGAATGCGGAACCCTTCCCTTCCCCAGAAAAATAAAGAAAAATAATGAGTCAAAGTCAACGAGCTTGTAGCTCAACTTCATGATGTGGGAGATTCAATTAATCTCGCTTATCTTTTTCCTCTCTTTTTTGCACCTCTAATGTGAAAAAAAAAGGTAGAAAATAAAAAATTTACTATTAATTTAATCTTTATCAGTACAAACACTTTCATTTTCAGTCTCTAGAATTTTTTTAGTTCCTAGTCATTGTTTATAAATATAAAGATTATAAAAAAAGTGTTTCTGATTATATAATATACGGATTAAATTGGTGGTTAAACCAAATAAAAGTGACGAGTCTATAAATATTGATCATGGCGTTTCTCAACACTTATCATAGGCAAGTTATTGAAGCAAATGTGTACTGTTTAGTTATAAGTAATAGTAGCTTATATAAAAGATATATATATATATATATATATATATATATATATATATATAAAATAATTTCTGAACAATAAATGACTCTAGTATGTATTATGGGAAAAATTAAATTATTAGCAGCCAATGTTTTTCATTGATGCATTTAATTTAATATACTATTGGAGGAAAACCTGACTTAATAAAGCATGGTGGAGTCAAAGCATGAGATGAGTGGGAATCTGAAGGGATGACCAACCTTGCCCCACCACCTCATCAAATATCAAATGTGGTGACTAGTCAATTGTAATATGTGGAATTGCACAATATAGTACCTCTACCTAGTTTAGAAGAATTTAGATGAACAATATATAATTTTTTAATCTTCCAAAGCATCCACATTATTACTAGTTTAAAGCTATAGTCATTAGTTAGAGCGTAATTCCTCGTGACCTTAGTTAGAGCGTAATTCCTCGTGACCTTAGTTCTGATATCAATTGTTAGGATCGACCGCTTACCACTAGACCAAAAGTTATAGTCATTAGTCAGAGCGCAACTATTTTTACTTAAGAGTAACAGTTCAAGTGCCACGATTTGATTGTGACTCAGCTCACCCGACCTCCGTCACAGTGACAATTGATACTACTTACAACATCACCAACATTAATTTATATTCGAATATAATTATAGCATGTTTATTTAGAATAAGTATGTTCACGGTTCATTTTATACAAATTTATATAAGAAAAATAGTCACTTGAACTGATCATAACTTATTTGGTTTACCTTAATTTTAACTTAATATAACCTATTAATCAAACAAAACTATTCTCTCCATTCGGTTTGAATCTATTTTTTTATTATAAAGTTGTTAAATATCTTTTTAAAAATATTATGAGATATTTTTTCACACAAATTTATTAAATATTTTGTAGTGACAAAAATTCTATCATAATTATAAATAAACTACATAATTTTGTAGTTAAAAGTTACAGTATAAATTTAATATGATATTGTAATCTCTCTCTCTATATATATCATAAATAAAATATAATCAAATCATAAAATAATATTCAATTAGTTGTTAATTAATTTTAAATATATAACATTACATTGATATATAACAAGTGATTAGTTGAATTCTTGATTTTTCACTCCGAAATCTTACAGTTTAAGAAAAAGTAAATTAAAAAAAAATTCATCAATTTTCGATATTTTTATCAATTTTTATTTTTTAAATATAAATTTATTATAAATAAAATATAATTAAAATATAAAATAACTTTCGGAAGACATACTCATCTATATAAACATATAATATTATATTAAAATAACAATTATTATTATTACTTTGATTCAATTTTATTTTTTAATATGAAATTTAAAGCAACCTATAACATTTAAGACAAAACATATCTAAAAAAAGTTTTAAAAATCAATTTTTATCCTTTTTTATCGATTTTTTATTATTTTGGTTTAGAAAGATGTAGTAATCCCACAAACTTTAGTTTATAAATTTTAAAACTATAATTTAATTAATGTTGATAGGATAATTCATTTTGTAATGAAACAATTAATATTAAACTCTCTTTATCATTAAAAATCATAATCTCTCATTAACAACTCAATTTAAATATTTAAAAATCATTTTTTATATTAATTACTTTAAAAATTGTTAATATACCTTACCTATCTTACATCGTTGCAAACATTTAATGAAAGAAGAAATAATATTACAATTGATGAGGTAGACAACCGTCATTTATGACTTTATGTTCATATTTATTTTTCTTTGTTGAGAAACGTTAATAATATGCCTTTTAATATATTTTTTAAAACATTTTTTATTTAAGAAAAAAATCATTATAAATTATAAAATTTTGATCCTCTCTTTTACTTAATTAGTGATATTTTAATAAAATTTACCCAACACTTAAAAGTATTGTATTTCAAATAATATGTTAGAACATAAATAGTTAAAACTTATTTCACAAGTTAAACATGGAAATGAAAGATTGAGTTGTACCTTGTACCTAGATTTGAAGTAAAAAATGACATGGTACAATGTTTGTCACAAAACATGGATTCATGCAAATTAAAACCTCAGACAGTTCACAATCAATCACAACCACATGTGCTGATATACAAGAATCAATCAGTGACAAATGTCTCCTAATTAAGTAACACATTTCATTATTTATAACAAGCATTATAGCTAAGGTTCCAACTATAGTAACCAAACTGCCCAAGTCTCATCATGTCCAGAACCACACAGGTTTCTGGTTCTGTTCTCATCTTACACCAATGTTTCCTATGTACCATGATAAGGTGGGGATTTGACACTGCAACCTCCATTTGCAGGACCATTGTTCCTTCTATCCATTAAAAATTTAAGAAAGACAACTTTGAGGGCAAGCAATGTAGAAAGTGAAAAGCATTTACAGGTAAAGTCCGGGAGGTAAATTCTGAGATATTATCGGTTTTAAAATTATTGATGGATTGAAAAAGAAATTGTATTTAAACTATTTTTACGTTATCCCTTAAAATTACTTGAGACTCTTATCAAACATTAATTTATTTTTTGAAAGACGATTTTTATTCATGAATGAATCAGGAGTTTAAAGCGGATAATATATCAATATATCAATGTATTGTTAATAAACTCTTGTTGATATATGTATCTTGTGTTCAAACTCTTGATATTTTATTCTCAACTCACCAACGCATTTCTGGCATCTTAGACTCGAACCACACACACGTACGACTTCTCAACTCCATTTTTGATGGATACTCCTCTCCTAATTCAAACACTTACGGTTGATATCTTATTGTCAAGTCACCACCCAACTCGATTCTTCTACGTTTAAATACCATGTTCTTCTATTTTCCTCTCATCTTCCCTTGAATCTAATTCATTTCACGCAACAAAGTTTGGTTTTCTTGGCCTCTATACATCATACCTCTGATATGAACATAGCTGCTGGCTTAATCACTGGATCTCACTCCCGAAATGAATCCCATTACCTGGAAGATTCTGGTGGCTGATGAGGTATATATGTTGACACCTTTCTTTTGGTTTTGTTGCTTCGATCCAAAATTCGAACATTGCATGATGCTATATGTGTTATATATATATATATGATACACTTCCATTTTTAAATTCTTGACAGAAAATGGTTGCATGTGCATTGGATGAAAGGAAGGTGTAGCGTGCATTTTGTTGATGGATTTTATTTCGGGAGTGAGAGCCAGTGATTATGCCATTGCAGCTCTTGATGCAAAAGCCTCTGCTACAAAGGGACTTCAATTCAAAGGTAAGTGCAAATGCTTGGAATTTCTTTGTGTGCGTGCTGGGTGAATGGATTTTTGGAATGTAGAAGGAAGACATAGAAGCAGAGCAGAAAAAATGGAAAATAATATGAAAGATAAGAATATGAAAAAAGTGGCATGCAATAGATAATGAGAAGAAAAATGGATGGTTAAGTGAGATGAAAGAGAGAAAAAGAAAAATCTATTATTTTAAAGTAATATTAGTTAATCATATTTTCTTAACTATATTTTTCAATATAATAATATATGATATATGTTAAAATAATAAATAAGATTGATAAAAATGACATGATACAAATAAGACATTAGTTTCCTTAAGAATGAATTTACTGATTGATGGAACACTTGACTTGGTCAAAAAGAAATTTAATTGGTGGGAAGAAAAAGATTAATAATCAATAATAATAAGCATCATTTTAACCTTTTTCATGTTTAATATGACACTTGATCTACTATAATAATAATCTCCTACTTAAATGCCTAATATCTAACTTACATATAATTAATTATTGCTCACAATTCATTATCTCTACCATACTTGTAGATTATGTCCATCCTGTCATGTCCAAATGAAAATTATCCCATACTTTATTTCTTAATCATTAAATTATCTTAAGAGTAACTATTAAGCCTTAAGTGCTGGTTCAATCTTACATATTCAAGACAAATTGTTCAGACTTAACATAAGTAATTAGGTTAACAAATATCTTTTATAAAGTTGTTAATTTAAAAATTAATATGATTTAGCTCAACCATTTTTATTCTTTCCATCTATTGTTTTTATTGTTCATGGTTAGATAAAAAAGTGATTAGTTTCATGACATTCTAAATCATTTTAAATCTTTTTTTCATTTTTTCACACGCAAAAAGCTAATATAATTTTATTCCTAAACCATCAAGAATATATTTATAGATTAATTGTTTTGAAACTCTAGGTCAATATTTTTAAAAATATTTGGGAAACATTAATATGAAAATGTATTTTAAAACAAATAATCTAAAATATATTTTGGATTGTTTTTTCTAAAAATATATTCTACATTATCCAATCCGAAAATACATAAAAATCACCCACAAATTTTTATAATAAGAGTGAGACTTGAAACGGATATGGAAGTATAGGGAGTTACTGCGACGAGGAAGATGAAAGAAGAAAATGAGAGAAAAGATTAAGGTTTAGGGTTAAGAAAAATACGCAAGGGCATTTTTATCATTTCACCTATTTCATGGGGGGTGTAGGAAGAAACTTGTTTATTGAATCTTTGTATTACGTAGAGTTGGGCTTTGAGTTTGAGCCCACAACTATTGAAATTCGTTCACTCGTAATGGGTTTAAATACTTTACTAATAATATATGCATTACTTTTTAAAATAAAATAATAATAATATTCCTCTTTTTTTATAATATACTATATTTTTAAATATATGATATTAGGCCTTATCTATCCCTAGAGAAACACTTTAATAAACATATAACATTAAAAATTTTATATAAAAAATTTATAATTGTGTGTTTTTAAATACTGAACAAATATTATAAATAGAAAAAAAAACTAACTATTTCTTTAAAACTCAGATTTATAGGTGAATCATCAATGCCGCGTGTCATTAAAAACCTTTATAAATTCATGGTAAAAATTGGTATTAATTTAATTTTAGTTTGTTTTTAAAGAATCATATAGTTATGTAAAAAATTATATTAAATTAGAATAAAGTATACTACTTATTAAATTATTTTATACTATAATAATAACTAAAAACAATTTTGTTTCAAAATTTACATATAAATGTGTTTTTATAATAATATCAAAATGGATTTTATTTTATTTGATAACCAGGATAGAAAATTCACAAAAATAAGTTAGGTAAGTCTAAATGGAAATGTGGTATATTTATGAATTGATATGTTTTATAAAATAAAATTATATTAAAAAAATTAAATTTTTTTATTAAAATATATACATGTATTTTAATTTTTATATTAAATCATTATAAACAAGAGTGTGTGTGCGTGTTTCAATAACATATTAATATAATAAGGAGTTTTGTGCTTTACTAATTTAAGATTTATATTCATAATTCACTCATTGGCTGTGAAAAAAATGTGACTAATCATGATAAATTAAAATTAATGAAGCTAACTTTAAATTTAAATATATAATGATATGACATATAAATTATATATATTTTAATAAAATAAAATAATTTTATTTTTAAATAGTTATTATTTTATTAAATGAACGGACTTACAAATTTAGAAACTATATATAATAGATTTATTGACTAAAAAGATAAAATTAAAAATAACTTACTTAAATTAAATAACATCTTTTATGACTTAATATATTTTAAAAAAATAGTCAATTTATTGAATTAACTTGTCCTAGTTATAAAAGTAAAATAGTTTAAGCCATCTAAAGGTTAATTAAAACTTAATGAATCATATACACTGGTTAATTCAAAATAACAAATATGAGTAATTTAAAAAAATGGATATATTTTAGTATTCAGCTATGGATGTTGATTTATTGAAACCATTTTATTTATATATAGATAGATTGTGAAACCACAAGCAACATATGGTTCAAGCATCAATTTTAAATAGATTTTTTTTTTTAACTTTTGGAACACCGAAAATGAAATAATAACCACAAAAACTTTAGTTTTATTGTTAACTCAAAATATTGTATAAGGGTTACTTCCTAAAATAAATGTAATTAAGAGTTGAGTTTGTTGGATAGTTTTAAGAAAGACAGCATAAGAAACAACTCATAAATGAATATACGAGCTTATTATAAGATAATATTATTTTTAACTCAAAATATGTCTTTTTTAATTTTATTTGAATATTGTTTAATTCTTATATTGATTAATTTGAACTTTAATCATCTCTTCTTCTTTTTTTAATTGAAAGTTACTTCGTATTAATATATTTCTATTTAATAAAAATATCTCTTAACAATAAGGATATTACGGAGACTCTTACTAGTATCACAATTTATTAGAACAATACGTATTTACCTAAATCTTTTATCAATAACTCTCGATACAAGAACCATAATAATATAGGATATATCACCTAGTCTATTATATTGTATTTGATTAAACTAATTACAAAAGCCTGATTCAACTATTAGATATTTGCAAAGATAGTAACACCATGGAGATATTTACAAATTCACTAATAAATACACAAATGAATCATGCAAAAGAATATAATAGTAATTTCAACCTAAAACCTTAAAGTTTTGCACTGAAGATGATGTCACATTTTCCCCCTAATATTGATGAATATCTCCCTAATATTTTCCCCTCAAAAATACTTGACATATTTTCTATTATATCATTTATTCATGATTACTCTAGAAAATTGTGGGTATACTGATGTAAAATAAAGTAAGGTACATAATTTTAAGCAATAAAGTAAGTAAATCCAAGAAAAATTTTCACTGTACATTAAGATAGTTGTCTATTTAGATGTGAAGGTTCATTTACAAGTATTATGGAGGGAGAGAAGATGAAATGAAACTAGAAAAAAATTAAAGACAAGGACTGGAAAAATGGACCAACCCCTTGGATAAATAAATTGAGTGAAGAAATAAAGAAAAAAAGAAGAGAGAAAACAAGTATGGTGGTAGTGGAGTGTTGGCACGCCACTAGGGGATGAACCACCTTAGATAATTGGTGGTTACTTGAATAAAGGTTCAAGATAAGACACTCAAAGAGATAAAACACTCTAAGAAACCTCACAAACTTGTCATAAATGTTTAACCTAATTATATGAGGTCTATTTATAGGCTCTCTTTTTTTGGAGGGGGGATGACCTAGATGAAATTACAAAAATGAGACATAAACTTAACCTAAACCTAAAGGCTAGAGTCCACATTGTCCAAATATGTTAAATTCGTCCTAGCTCACCAAAAATACCTCTAAAGGTGTGGAGAACATAAAAAAAGAGATGTACTTCCATTTGGGTTATCTCAAACCTACAAATCTCGCATCCTAAGTTTTTTCCTCTCCAAAAAGGGGTGTAGGACATGAAAAACAAGTGTTCTACACCTTTGGATTGCCCATGCATGTATCCTATGGATCCAAAGTTTCTTTTCCACCAAAAAGAGGTGGTATTCTTCAAAATGGAGGTGCAAAAAGTAACCTACAAAAGAAAAGCAAAAATAAGTGAAAAACTTAGAAAAAGAAAATACTAAGTAAATTTAAAATGGAAGGTGAAGAGGAGATCTCCCTTCTAGTCATGCTTCAAGTAATAATCTTAAGGATGACATCTCCCACCTCCGGGGCAACTAGGAACTCATTTTATACCTTCATCAAGACAAAGTCAAATGTATTTCTATAGTCTAAAGCATGTGCTCAAGTGTTGGAATAAGAGATTTGGTTTCTTTATTGTTAACCTAATTACAGTAGATTGAATGCAGACTATTATATCTATCACAATAGGAGTTTAAGGAGAATGATTTTATCATTTTATTGTCCTATGTCAATGACATGTTGATGAGTTCTAACAAAGCTCGAATTTAAAGATAAAAATTCACCAAGACAATAAAGATAGAAAGTTTTGGTTTTCTTAAAAAAATTACTTACTAAAAGTCTTACGGTGTTTTAAAAATATTATAAGCAAAATTTTACCTCACTTCCTATCAATAGTAAGTTATCCTCGTATATGAATCTTAACAATGAAGCATGAATTATGAAAATATCTCGAGTATTAATCATGAAAAGTTTTTGTATATCATGATTTGTACAATACTAGACTTCATAATCAGTGAAAGTGGTTAGTAGATTTATGACAAAACCAGGTGGTGAGTATTGAAGTGTTATTAAAAGGATCTTTAGATACATCAAAGGAACCTTAAATGTTATATTATGTTTTAGATTATCAAAACTAGTTATCAAAGACTATGCTGATTCAAATTTTGTAGATGATCTTGATAAGAGAATATCTATTATTGGTTAAGTGTTTACATGTGTAGGAGGAACAATAAGTTTGTTATAGAATGTTATAGTTTTGTCTATTGTTAAAGTTGAGTACATGACATTTACCAAGCATACAAAGAAGTTGGATTCAAAGGTTGATTGAGGAACTCATACTTACAATTGCATTGAATCTTACATTTTATTCTAGGACAAAGCGTATAGTTATATGATACCAAGTAGTAGAAGAAGGTAGACAAAAAATAATTTCTCCTTTAAAGTTTTCTTAGTAGTTGTATTTTCTTCAGAAAGGGTGTTTGATTCTTCCTTGGATTTAAAGATAAAGGTATTATAATTTTCTTGATGTAAGTGAATTTCATTATTATCCATTATTAATTTAAAAAAAAAATTAATGTGTATTTTTGAAAGGATAACACCAAGAAGATATTTATCGATAAGTACATAAATCAATTATATAAAAGAATATGACACAACCTTCAACATAAAATCTTAAGAAATTTGTGTGTCATTTTCATTTGTATATTTCTCAACTTTCCCATTTATGAAACTCTTAACTCACCCTTAACTTCAAGTACCTCCCTTCATGTGTGAGTCCATTCACATTAATATACTTAACATGTAATGGAAACACCTCTTAACTAGGAGTATCTGAGTAATGATCCTTACTATCATTTACCAAAGTAGGACACATTTTCCTAAAACTCTTATTAGGAAAAAATTTGATACAAAGATCCATAATGTTATAATAGATCGTGTATTCTATATCGTACTCGACTAAGTCACCAAGAAAAACTATCAACTCTCATATCATTGTTGGATATTCATAAGTAATACACACGAGACAATCATAAAAAATCCAATAACACCACTTTCAACTTTAAAACTTAAAAGTTTTGTCAATTCCTTTTACATAATTGACTCTTGTGTTTCATTCATGATGTGTTCTTGATATGACGTCCTAAAAAAAATATCTAATAGAGATTGACTTAGAGAACATAGATAGACAATATCATCTTAAAGATGAAAATGATAAACAATATCATCTATATTTATTAAAAGTTTAACTGATATACACTACACGTCGGTTATAGCTGAGACGACGTAGAAAGTACTTTCCACGTCGGTTCCCAGATGAACCGACGTAGAAAGTACTTTCCACATCGGTTCCCAGATGAACCGACGTAGAAAGTACTTTCCACATCGGTTCCCAGATGAATCGACATTGAAAGTTGAATATTAAACACATTTTACGTCGGTTTTTAGTCAACCAACGTAGAAAGTACTTTCCACGTCGATTCTCATATGAACCGACGTGGAAAGTCTTTTTTATTTTATTTTTTTTCACCCAAAAATTCACTTAAATTTGAAAATTGTCATTGGTAGGATTTGAACTCAGGATTTTAGAATTGAAAACTATTACTCTAACCACTAAACTATTATAATTTTCTGATAATAACTTTCAAATAAATTATATTTATATACAAGTAAATATATATCTATGTAAATATATATTTATTTGTATATATTTTCTGGAAAGTATTTTTATTTTTTTTTCAGTCAAAAATTCACTTAAGTTAATGAATTGTCACTGACAACATTTGAACCCAGTATTTTAAAGTTGAAAGTTAATATCTCAACCACTAAACTACTACAATTTTTTGATAATAACTTATAAATAAATTATATTGGTATTTTTCGATCGAGGGTGAAAGTGAGATTGACTCTTGCTCGAGTGAAAATATGTTAAAGCTCACGAAAATTCACTCACTCAAGCCTCGCTTGAGCGAAAATTGGTATTTTTCGCTTGAGAAGCGAATGACACGTTTCCCAAATTTATTTTATATCATTATATAAATAAAATTATAAAGATTATATTACATCATTAAATTACAAACTCATATAAAGATATCTCGCTCACAAATTTAGCATCAAATTTTGAAAACTCACTCGACACACACTTTCAATTTCGAGTGTGCCCTCACATCCAACATATAAATATATAACTATATAAATATATTTGTATTTATATATTTACACGGATATATATTTATTTGTATATAAATATAATTTATTTGTAAGTTATTATCGAGAAAATTCTAGTAGTTTAGTGGTTAGAGTATCATCCTCTATATAATATAAAGAGAAGGGAGACTTAAATAAAGGGGATAAAGGGGTTGTAAATAAATAAAAATTATTAATTTAAAAAAGCATACTTTCAACGTCGATGTTGAAAGCTTTATTTGTAGTAGTGATAATAAATATTTTTTATACCAATTAATTTTTAGTTAGGGTAGAAATTATTTTTTACATTTATAAATGCTAAAATATTATTTTTATTTAAAAATATATACTATTTTTAATATTAGTTATTTACATTATAAAATATATTATTTGAAAATTTTTAATGTATATTTTGAGAAAAAAATCTAATTATTTTAAAAATAAGTTCATCTTCACCGATTATTTTCTTAAAATTAAATAATGAAAATAAATTATTGTTTTAAATATTATATTTAAATAATAAAAATAATATATATATATATATATATATATATATATATATATATATATAACTCTAGTTTTTTAAATAAATGATCTCTTATATTAGTTAGGAAGTCTCATTTTCTTTGAGTGAAGAGTATTTTTTATGAAACTTTTGTGAATAGTATTTCCCATTCCTCCAAACCATGTATGCAACAAATTTATCATACCCCACATATTTTCTATTTCGAGGAGTTTAAAAAGTATTTATTTTTTCTAATAAAAATACCTTTATATAGTTTAATGTGGTTGTTTGGAGGAAAGTGGAAGCAAGAGAATATCTTAGTTAAAAGTATCTTTCGTTTATGGGCAGTAGCAACAACAAACAAGAAATAAGATTTTATGTTTTATCAGCAGCAAGTTGAAATAAAAATTACAAACTGAAGGGAATTTTCTCAGGAAAGTGTGAAATTATTAAAAGAAAACGAAAAGGACGTAAGTAGTTTTGTTCATATAAAATAAGTTATGAATAAAAGATGCCAAAATTATGATGTGCCAACTTAAAACTGACGTTTATAAGCCAACAATTTGATACAAAATGGTGCAAATGCAAAGAATTGTTAACAAAAAACATGCTTGTCCTTTATATTACCAGATCTATTGCATAAGACATTGAGAGTAATGTTTCCATCGAGAAATATGTAATTGGACAGAAAAATTAAGAAACCATTTATAAATATATACACACTTTCTAGTCACAGAAAATCTAGTAATATGAGATCAACAATCAACATATATGTTGTAGATGCAATGTAGGAAGACAATTTGATTTACCAAAGAACCTAGAAAAACAGTGTGTTTCCCGACAGTGTTGCAGGTGGTGCACCCAAAATTTCATCATCATGAGTAAGATTTTCAGTTTGTGTTTCGTTTTAATAATAATTAGTATGCTATGAACCACACACAACGCAAAAGAGACGTTTTTCCGAATTACCTATACACCTCCTTCTTTATTTTGTTTATGCATATATATCTAAATAGGAGAAAATTTAGTATATTATTTTTCTCATGTATAAAAATAAAATAAGATAAGAATAATATTTTATTATGTTCTCTATATTTATAAGATATCTAGTTGAATCTTATTAAATACTCTATCCATTTATATATTATAATATTATTGTGTTTTTACGATATATGGAATTTTATTATACTAAAGAGAATTTTTTTATTATTTTCTCTTGTTTCGGAAAAGTTTGTTTATCATATCACTCGTTTCGAGAACTATTCTTATTTTATATATTTATTATTTATTTATTTAACTGTTTCTTGACAAGTAATGTATTATCTCGTGTGACATGTTGTAATCACCTGTGTTTAATTACATAATTATAACTAAATGAGTGAAAAACAATGAATCACTTGAACAATTTGTGTAAAGGGAGAAGAGTTTTACGTTACGTTGAAGACAATAGTTTCTACTTGCATGGGCATGCATGCATGCAGAAGTAGCATGTAACAGTGAGCAAGTGAAGTTATCATCATGAAGCAAATGCAGTAATTGTCAACTCAAAATCAAATCCACGACTTGCCAACTCTAGGGGTGATGGCTACATTCAAGTAGTGCTTATCCTTCTTCCTTTATCATCACTCTTAACCTTCCACTTCTTATATTAACAATACCCTTTTGCTCTCCAATCCACGCTTGCTAGTTGCGATGGCCATGAATGCAGCCTCAGCCACTGGTTCTCACTCCCGAAATGGATACCGTTTCTCGGATCAGGTATTCACTTTGCTTATTTAATTCCCCTCACATCTTATTTTACTTGCTTCTCCACATATAATTGTTTTGATACTCAACATTAGGATATGTATACTTTTTTAACAATGGAGTATGAGTGCAGAGGTTAATTCTGTTGTCTTTTTTGCAGGAAAATGGAGACTACAATCAACACAGCGATGGTCAAGCTTTCTATGAGACCGGAAGTGGTGAACTTCTTCTTTTTTCTATTAATTTAACTTTTGAAATAGAAACAATTTCTGCTGCTTAGTTGCTAATTATGTTCCATCATAATCTTTCTGTTAATTTATGCACACTTTTTCTGGTGTTATGTTCTGCAGAGGATTTTGAAGGGCAGAAAGCATTCCACAAAAATGCAGAGAAACGTAAAGAGAAGAGAAGTTTAATGAGCAATGACCAAGAAAAAGATGACTATCTGTGAGAGTTTGTCTTCTCTCACATACACCATTAATTAAATAAAGAACTCAAAATCTACGTAGACTTAAATTTATATATACTATTAGTATAAAATGTTATCCAATTTATTAATGTAATATGAAACTACATTTTTCTATGTTTAGTTTTTATTCAATGTAGGAATAAAAATCTTTACATTGTCAATTAAACAGAAATCACTCATGTAAACACACCATGATTACAAAACAGTATAAAAAACCTTTCCCCTGTAAATGTGTTCTTCTAAGTAAATTCCTTTTTTCACCTCTTGTTGTTGTAACCACAATAATGAGTAATACTTGGGAGGTGTTGTACCTTGCAGATTGGCTGAGGCAAGGCAACCATTGTGGCGCAAGGTTCCAATAGCTTCAAGCCTAATCAACCCATATCGCATAGTTATAATCTTGCGTCTAGTTATCCTAGTTTTCTTCTTCCACTTGCGCATCACAACTCCAGTGCATGATGCACTTGCCTTGTGGATAATCTCTGTAGTCTGTGAAATCTGGCTTGCTTTATCTTGGATAGTTGACCAACTCCCCAAATGGTTCCCTATTACTCGAGAAACTTACCTTGAACGTTTGTCCTTAAGGTTTGAGGGTGAAGAGGTGCCAAACCTTCTAGCCCCGGTTGATATCTTTGTAACCACTGCAGACCCTTTGAAGGAACCACCTATTATAACCGCAAACACAGTTTTATCAGTCTTGTCTGTTGATTACCCTGTTGAGAAGGTTAGCTGCTATGTCTCAGATGACAGTGCTTCTATGCTTCTCTTTGATACCTTGTCAGAAACGGCAGAGTTTGCTAGAATATGGGTTCCTTTTTGTAACAAGTATAATATAGAGCCAAGGGCACCTGAGTTTTATTTCTCTCAGAAACTTGATTACTTGAATGATAAGGTGCACCCCACATTTGTTAAGGATCGCAGGGCTATGAAGGTGAGGACTATATAAATAAACCGTGAAAGTTGCTTCTTTTTTTTTTTTTAATGTTGTTCTACTGTCCATGTGACACTTGAGCCACTTTCCTTGGTACTTTTGCAGAGAGAATATGAAGAATTCAAGGTGAAAATTAATGTACTGGTCGCAAAGGCTCAGAAAAAACCAGAAGAAGGGTGGGTGATGCAAGACGGTAACCCATGGCCTGGGAACAACATGGATGATCATCCAGGAATGATTCAGGTTTGGCAATTGCATTCTTCAGTTGTTTCTTGTTTGATGTGCATTTGAATTTTGTGTCAATAACAAATGTTCATTTTTATTGATTTAGGTCCTCTAAATATAAAATGGTAATTATCAGTCTGAAAAGTTATTGTCTTTCTTCAGAAGTTTGGATACTCAACAAAACAAAAACTTAAGAAATAAATCCATGGACTTGTCTTTGCAGGTATGTCTAGGAAGTGCTGGTGCACTGGACAAGGATGGCAAGGAACTGCCAAGGCTTGTGTATGTTTCGAGGGAAAAACGTCCTGGATATCAACACCACTGGAAAGCTGGTGCCATGAATGCTCTGGTAAGTAGCTTAAAGCCTAAAACTTAAATATATATTTTAATTCAATCCATTTATAAGAACATGATATCAGCAAAACTGTTTATAATCTTTGCAATGTTATATTTCCTCAAAAGGTTCGAGTTTCTGCTGTGCTCAGCAATGCACCTTTTGCATTAAATCTGGATTGTGACCAATACATCAATAATAGCAAGGTTCTTAGGGAGTCTATGTGCTTTTTAATGGACCCCCAACTCGGAAAGAAGTTCTGTTATGTCCAATTTCCAAAAAGGTTTGATGGCATCGATTGCAATGACAGATATGCTAATCACAATACTGTGTTCTTTGATGTAAGGAATATTTTTCTAAACTTTGAAATAAATTGCAATGTCATAATTCATCCTTACTCCTTCCGTGAATTTTGCTTTGTTTGTATCATAGATCAACATGAAATGCCTTGATGGGATTCAAGGTCCTGTGTATGTTGGTACTGGATGTGTGTTCAACAGACGAGCATTATATGGCTATGATCCATATTCTGTCAAAAGTCCAAAAATGAAGAGCTGCTGCTGCTGGCCTTCATCCTGCAGCCATTGTTCTAGTGACTTCGAGTCTTCATCTGATGACGAGACTGGTCAAGAGCTTGAAGACTTTGACGAGGAAGAGGAAGAGGAATTATCCTTCATGTCCCTGAAAAGTTTAGAGAAACGATTTGGACAATCACCGGTTTTCATTGCTTCTGCTTTGATGGAAGATGGTGGATTTCCCAAAGGTACCAACACCCGAGTACTGATTAAGGAAGCAATTCATGTTATAAGCTGTGACTATGAAGAGAAAACTGAATGGGGAAAAGAGGTAACCCAGTTATTACAAATGAGCTATTTCCCTTTTGCATTCTGCACCTAGAAGTCCTTGAAATGGGAAAGAAAAATAGATTTGTAGTTACAGCACGCATCAAAAAACAAGAATTCCATTTTATAATTAGACATTTATTTCCCTTATGAAAAAAGTTACTTAGACTTTCATGATTGCCAATCTTGAAATTTTTTATTTTTCTGCAGATTGGGTGGCTTTATGGCTCAGTCACAGAAGACATCTTAACTGGGTTTAACATGCATTGTAGAGGATGGAAATCAGTGTACTGCATGCCAAAGAAAGCAGCTTTTAAGGGATCTGCTCCTATAAATCTATCAGATCGATTACACCAGGTTCTGAAATGGGCTTCGGGTTCTACTGAGATTTTCTTTAGTGGCTATTGCCCTTTGTGGTATGGCTATAGCGGAAAATTGAAATGGCTGCAGAGGCTGGCCTACACCAATTCCATTGTCTATCCATTCACTTCCATCCCCTTGCTGATCTACTGTACAATTCCAGCTGTCTGTCTCCTGACTGGAAAGTTCATCATTCCCACTGTAGGTGCACAATAATCAATTATTATATTCAATTAATTTGAATACCCTATGACTTTGATTTCCTCGTTAACATTACATGAAATTCTATAGCAGGGCACACTCTCCATTATTGGTTAGAACTTTCTGGAAATTACAAATTCATGAGCATAGGAAGTGAGACTCACTAAATTTTGTTTCAAAAAATTATTCAATAAAAGAGTGTTCAAAAGAATGTGTGTAGAAATATTATTGCTAGCACTCTTCTTAACATTATATACTAGCATAAAATGATCACTCTAACTCCCGGAGAAAAAAAATTAAATGATTTTGGCTAGTGAACAACCATGGTGTTGAATATTAAATGGAAAAATTCTCTTCTCTGGAAGTTAATAATATTAAATGATTGACTAAAGTTCCCTTTTGCAGCTGTCAAACCTTGCTTGCATTTGGTTAATGGCCTTATTTATCTCCATCATCTTCACCTGTGTGCTAGAGCTTCGTTGGAGTGGGGTCAGCATTCAGGACTGGTGGCGCAATGAGCAATTCTGGGTCATTGGGGGTGTATCTGCTCATCTTTTTGCTGTATTTCAAGGTCTCCTTAAAGTTGCTGGGGTAAACACTAATTTCAATGTGAGAGCAAAATCAGCACTTGACACTTCATTTGGACAGCTCTATCACTTCAAGTGGACTACTCTTCTCATCCCACCAACAAGTCTTGTAATCTTAAATATGGTGGGAATTGTGGCGGGAATCTCTGATGCCATTAACAATGGCTATGACTCATGGGGACCTTTCTTTGGGAAGCTTTTCTTCTCCTTGTGGGTCATTGTGCACTTGTATCCTTTCCTCAAAGGACTAATGGGAAAGCAAAACAGAACCCCTGCCATTGTAGTACTCTGGTCAATACTCGTAGCAATAATTTTCTCAATGATTTGGGTGCGAATTGATATTTTCTTGCCCAAACAGACAGGTCCAGCACTAAGACAGTGTGGGATAAGATGCTAAGGGGGTGTGCAAATTGATATCTTTCTTCCCATTTCAACTGAACTCGATTCTTCATGCTGCAGTATTTACTTTTATGAGAAAGTGAACCACTAGTTGTGTTATGAGTGCAATAGTGCAACGGGTTGCATATCCTTTATCGGTTTATGGTGCAAGTTTCATCGGGTTAAAAACTAAAGAATGTGTATAAAATATCATATATTTGTCATCATGGAAACACGAAATACGATTTCACCAAGAGACTGGACAGACATCATTGTTATTACTCATTATAAGTTGCAACTAACATGATGAACATTAAAGCCAAGCACAAATTATAATAGAAAAGTAAACCCTTCACACTCTATCACATTTATAAAAGAATAAATAAAATACATTCCCTGCACAATTCACTCCCTCACAGAAACCACCAAACTATTGCATGCTTGTCTAAAATACACGAGGGACATATGAAGCAGCTCCTCTATTCAAAGCTTTCTCTAATCTTGTCTCAAAAGGGGTTGAGTGCCAATTCACTCTCTTATCCTGCACAACCACACCAGTGTATGTCCAAATCAGAAAAATTCGCCCTCAACTAATGAGTAATAACATCTCTTAAAAATTCATCTCATCTTTACCTCTCTGTACTTGCTTGTTGAGTTCGGAATTCCTTTAAAGGAAGAGGCTGAGCCAGGACCTTCAGCAGAGCCTGCAACATTCCAGTAGGTCCCAACAGTGCCAATAATAGGCATCTCATCTGGACTCCTACTAGGTGACTTCCTCGGAGAAGAAGTAGCCGAAAATTGTTTGATCTCTTCCAATGTCAATGCACCTAAAATTGGCCTATCTTCATGACTTAACACAGAATATGGACTTTGTGGGGTGCTCCTCTCAGGGGTACCACCAAATAAAGCCACTGAGCCAGCCTTTTTAACAGGTGTAGTTTCTGGTAAGACCAACCAATTTGACAGGCTGGCATCAACTGGGATCTCTTGGTTCAACTTCTTTGATGTGTCACTTTCTGATTTCAAGCTGAAAGGTGATTCTTTGACACCATTCCCAAACTCGTTCTCTTTCTGAGGCCTTACTGGTGTCTTCTTAGCCTTAACAACTTTCCACTGAGTGAGATTCTCCACTGGGTTCAGTACAGGATGAACATAAACACTTCTGTCTCTAGCATTGGGGTTGGAATCAATTGCCTTCACATCAACCTCTTCAACAAACACATGATCAGCAGCAGTAGTTGCAACTATGCCATCTTCTCCAAAGTCCGCACCCAATTCTTTGCACTCTTCTCTGATGACATCATCATCTTCATCACTAAGATCACTTTCCCCATAATCAATTTCTTCCTCCTCGTCATCACTGTCCCGGCAATTCTGGTACCTATGGTTGGGAGGGTAAGACCCCGTTGAAGTCACAGAACTATTATCTTCAGAGGAAGATGACTTTGATTGAACCAAAGCTTCCTCGTTTCCACCCTCCTCACTCTTCCTCGCTCCAACTTCATCCACCAAAGTAGGTTCATAGGTCTTCACATTGGAATCAAACGTCACTTTCTTTCTGCTATTTACACTTAGTTGCTCCTCACTTTTCTCCCTGCATCAACCCCAGAGAGGTATCAAACAACATTTATCTCAATCAAAAGCTTCCAAAAGTAGAATGTAGCCAACGAATTACTTACTGGAGTTGGGGTATAGGATTAACAGCAATTTTGGAGCAATCCTGAACCAAAGAGACACCAGGTTGCTCTTGCTTGCCATTGCTACTACCATTTCTCTGAAAAATACATAAAAAAGAAATCACTTAGCTCTGTTCATTGCTAAGAAAAACAAGAAAAATGGGTTACGGCAATGAAAGAAAATATCACATTTTTATCAAAAACGGGAAAGACAAGAAACTGAAAAAGAGAATCTTGGGGTTGTTGTTCAGAAGGGATGAGGGGATTGAAAAGTTACTTACAAGAACGTTGCGCTTGTTCTTCGAGTGTTTGGAGGAACCAAAACAACCAAAAAAGCAACCCATTCAGAGGAAGAAGGTTTGTAAGAAGGGTAGTAGGGTGGTGATGAGTGGGAGTAGAGGCATCAAATACATGTAAGTTTGTGTAAGAGAAAGAAGAAGAAGAAAAAGGAAAGGGGAAGAGCGTGTTGGGGCCTGAGAAACGGTCAACAAACCTGAAACTCTCTTTTCCCTTTCATCAAAAATTGCATATTTTATTTGAAAAAGTGGAAACTGACCGTTATACATACATTATGAGAGCGATTTCCACCCTGTAAATTGCAGTTTCCTTCTTTCATTTCCTTTGTTTTTATTAATAACTTCTCTGAAAAGGAAATTTAATGGAATTAATTATTGACCATTTTTCGTTTATTTGTTTTTGATTCTGCCCATTACACGGAATTTGTCTTGTCTTGTCTTTTCCATTACAAAACTGTCGTCTTCACCTCTTCAATGGCATTCGTTTTCGGAATATGAATTGTGTTAAATGCTTAATAATCTTCTCACTCATTGTTATTGCATCAGATATTCAAACTAATTTGAAATTTCTTTCTTCAATATTACACACAAATAATGATGACCCAAATTGTTTATTTCGTGATCAAAATCTTTATTCGCTTACAATAATAGTTTTGAGATATTTTAGGGCACAAATCACTATCGGTAATTTAATGATAAAATTTCTTTTTTAAATCCGCAAGCAATGATTAGATTGGTTTTGATAGATAAGAAAATTCAAATTAAGGATTTTGTTTTATACACTCCTTTATTTTTGTTTCTAAGTGTAGTTTAAAGTTATTTTAAAGAAATAAAAAATTAATAATTTTTTTCTGAATTTGCCAATTTTGTATTAGTTATGGATAACTTCTTTTTATTCTCAGTATTTATTTTATTTTATTTTTGTTTTGGTTAATATCTTATTATTTACTAGCATCTACTAAATGAGACTAGTACATTAAAAGAAAAACATATGAGAAAGTAAATGATAAGTCCTTTTTTTTTCTTTGAATCTTCAATGAAATTTTACATTTGACTTTTAATCCTTAATATTTTTTCTTATTTTGGTTCCTAAAAAAAATATTTATATTTTTTCTCCTTTGTTTTTACATCTTTTTGTATAATGAGATACCGTAATCTTACCAATACATATATTAAAACTATATCATATTTTCAAATCAAATTAGTAAGTTGGATTTAAATTAAGTTAAATATTTTTATTTTATTTGTTATGTTCTATAAATATGATATAAAATTACACTTTTGTTTTACTTAGAGTTTGGGTAGTGCACCTAGGTATATTATAGGTATTTGTTGTTAAAAATGTGAATTTTAAAGTGAGAGAAAAAAAAATTATGTGTGATATTTGGTTGTGGGAAACCTCTGTAAGATAATAGATGATTGGCCAAACTTTGTTACAAATGGATTGCATGTTTTGTTTGGTATCAAGTTAAACATGAATTTTTATCCACATGGAAGTTAAAATTGTATTAAATAGCCTTCTTTTTTCCATATCAGAAACATGGATATGCTTAATAACAATCCAAATAGTTAAAATTCCACAGAACAAAGAAAGTGACTATCTTAAGAGTGAAAAAAGAATTTCTCCTTTCATGTATGAACTGTTCAAATAGGTGCCTTAAATCAAAGCACAAAATTAAAATTGAGTAAACATATAAATGTCAATGATATAAACGTTGATTATTCGTCTGATTTTGATTTGGTTTCCTTGGAGTTGAGTAATTTCTCACGCAAGGAAGATGTTAGAGCCAATTCATTTTTTGTATCAGTTGTTTCTTCAGTATTCTCAAATTGCAAAGTGCTGATAGAAGGTGAATTTGAAGTTTCTGTACTATCAGCACAAACATCCTTCAGTAATGATCCCTCTTCAGGGCTAAATACTATGTCTGGTGAAGCTGCTTCTGCATCAACATAAACTTCTGGTTCGTGTTTGGCAACTTCATCTCTCTCTGCATCCAATGCATCTACATTATTCTGTGAAGAATTTCTATCATCTTCCAAGGAAAAATCAGTGCCATGTGCGGATTGAATGATTTGGTCCTCATGCTCATGTGACTCCTCTGTGATGGCAACTACAGGCTCCTCTGGATGAAAACTTGCGTTCTCAATCTCCAACAGCTTTTGAATTGTTTTAGTAGCAGCATCTATTGCCCAATCATCATCATCTACATCTCTAAAAAAGAACCCCAGAACACCATAAGGAGATATCTCTTTATTAGGCAAAACTTGGTTGCCTTTAATATCATGACAAACTCTTGACCATTATGGAGAAAACACACACGCACACACATGTATATATATATATATATGTGTGTGTGTGTGTGTGTGTGTGTCAATATTATAAAGATGGGAATAATTGCAAACTATGTGATCATGAAGGGAGTTTCTTTATGAAGAACAAAAAAAGAGAAAAAGAATGGAACAAATAATGTGAATTCAGATGAACCATGGCTTGAGGCAAGTGTAATCATACAAGAGGATATAAAGAGACTAATGTAGTTATGAATGTGCATTTTGTTAAAGAAATATGTGGCATGTATGGTTAGATAGTTTTGGGTTCAGAGCTATAATTAATAACGAAAACTAAATTTCTCAAGCACTACAAAGAAGAATGCATTACTTGAAAGGGTCTAGTCCAGCTGAATTGAAGGTTGATTTCATGAGAGTGAGAAGGAGCAAAGGATTGTTGGAGAAATATCCTCCATACATTCCAATTTCCACCAAGAATTGCACGTCCAAAAGAAACTGCTCAATGAAAAAGAAAATGGATTTGTATTTGGGTTAATATAGTAGTGTCATGATAAGATTTACTCTGACTGCTTTAAAGAGACCCTTGTTACTGGAGGTTATGAAAGAAAATGTTTCAAGAATTTTCACTATTTAAAAGTTAAACACGCTTATGAAGAAACCAGACTAAAATTATCAACCTTTCATAGGAACTAGCTGACCGGTTTTAGAAGGAGTTTTGCAGTAAATAGGAATAGCAGCCACATTAGTACAAAATTGCAAATTAGCGGCGATGATGTTTTTACTCATTCAGCATAGACCTACAAAGAATGAAGAGAAGGGAAGGAAGTAAAAACCTGTTTGGCTTCATCAGTTTGTGAGCTCGCATTCTCTTCTGTAGTTGCAAGGATTTCTTTGTTTTTGGAAACCCAAATAAACATAAACCCCATTAATTCTCTTAGTAATCCCATCAACCAATTCACTTCAAACACACCATCTTCCTCGAGTTGTTCTATTTTCCTCAATTCTAGAAATAAAACCTGTCCAGGACAGTGACAATCAGAATCTTGCATAAACATATTGAGATGCAAAAATAGATAAGAAATATAGTACCTTCTTTTATGACAATTTCAAAAACTAAGAAGTGCATCAAAGTAAGATACCTGAAATATACCAGAGGGCATTGGATTGTGGATGTTACTAGCTTCAAACTGGCCATTGCAATGACTATCTGAAAATATTTCATGCCTATGGTAAGTAGATAATACTCTGAGAATTAATTGCTGGCAGAACACGTTTCTCAACTTATTGGAACGCTCTTCAATAAACAATAGGAAATCATCAAATCCTTTCTGCTGATGAACAATTGAATGGTTTTCCAAAACTTGTAATTCCGCGTGATCAGTGCAGCTCAAGATATTTTTGACCATGATAGGGAGAAACTGCACTAACGTAGACAAATTGGCCAAAATAGAAACCTGTTGTGGTAGTGACTCAGCTAACTGCATTCTTGGACTAGCTTGTTCAGTTGAACATGTTTCATAAGTAAGGGCTCTTTCAAGTATGGTAATATATTCTGTGAAGAGGTTAGTGATTCCACTAATGACTAAACACCCCATTTGAAGGGAAACTAAGGGAGAAACATCTTCTACTATGGCCTGGTTATAAACAAATAGTAACAAATTAAATAATAATAATAATGATAAAGATAATCTCCTATTTTTTTCTTGCAATGGTTGTCTCTTATAATGCAAGCCGAAAAGAAAAAGAAAAGTGGGTAAATGATAAGTTGTCTTTAATTTATACAATTTGCTTTAGATTATAGAGCAATCTAATAATATATAGAACAAACCTGCAATAATGTGAGAACCTTTCGGCCACTAGTAGTTAGCAAGCAATAGTCATGTTCCCCAGCAGCTAGAGTTGAAGATCCAGCCCCAATAAACACTCCAGACACAAGATACTTCTCTAAAATCCAAGGATCGCTTGCTGAGAAGATTCCTATCACTTTCTTAAAATGGTTTATCTGTGTGTTTAAAATCTCTTCCATGCAGGGACAGAGATGCTTCATTAAGTATGGCCGCAACATTAATTTCTGATTTTCTAACAAAGAACAAAACATGACAGCAAACTTGACTGCTTTTATGGCAGTAGACAATCCTCCACTTATTGCTGAGGTGCCTTTAATGTATTTATCAAAACAAATGATAAATGACTTTGTTTCTTCGTAAGCCCACAGCATGAGTTCTGATGTATATGGAGATGTCTCTCCACACAACATCACAAAGCTCCTTGCTGCTTGTGAAATGATTGAGAACACAAACCTTGCAAGTTCCCTTATATATATCTCACTTGAAGATAATTTTGCCCACTGTAAATTATCTGTTCCAGTCACAATACGCATATGGTAATGTTTAAGCAATAGATCAACAGCAAGTTGACTATCACCAAGTCTGCAAAGTGTAGTTAGTGCCCTTTGAAGTTCTGGTCCTGCTGTTCTTTTCTTCTCAGCTATTTGTGCCAACTGTTGTATAAGCATGGACTTTTTCTCAGAAATTGCAGATTCATACAACATTATCTCACTATGGGAACAATCTTGCAATAGAAGGCTTTGATAATGTTGATATGCAGATTCTAGAAAGTGCAGGGCTTCATCTATCTTGTTTTCTGACATGAGAATATCCAAATTCTCTAAACATTCATTGATATGAGCCTCCAATTCTCTGGGGGAAGATGGGACAATATTTATATGATCTTCGAAGGTTATATCTATGGACAATATCTTAGGATATATCCGATCTATAAGATCCTTTACTTGTATTTGATGAGATACAAAATGGTTTTCCAGTTGCACAAGCTCATTTTCCACTTCTCTAGCTTCCTTCAATATTCTAAACATGAGAGCATAACACCATCACCACCACCTCGATATTATTTCGCATTTCTATAGAATCATTATTTTACATAAATTATCCTTATTGTTGGAAGTCAACTTTTTACACTCTACTCTTTATTTCTACCATCACCTAATATATTATTCATGATAAACATTAAAAGGAAAAAGTTGGAGACTTGAATCACCTAAGGAAAGTGGAATATTTAGCAAACATGTTTCTCTGTAAATCTTCATTAGCTGCTTCCTTTAGCTCCAGAAGTTCATCACACAGATGCTTGATGCCCTAACATCAATAGTCAATCACCAGTAAGCCAAACTAAATCCGAAAGAAACCTACATCTTCCATTCTTTTAGACCATTGTTCCAGTAAAAAATGTTGACCGAATAATTATGAAAGTTATTTTTCCAAAAATAAAAAATGAAGAAATAATATAAGAAAGTACTCTTCCAGTCATGGATTCAATTTCAAGGTCGGGGTCAGGATCAGTGGCAGACGGCGACGCGGCGGAAACGACGTGGGAGGTGGGCTCTGACGAGTTTTGAGATTCCGGCTGTGAGTGGTCTCGGAATCGAAACCTAGGGTGAGATTCCATTTCCATGCAAAAAGTAATTAAAACGATTTTCACGATGCTATTAACTTGATCGTAAAATGAAAGCGAAGAATTTATTGAATTATATAGCTTTGTGTGTTTTGTCGTTTAGGCTTCGATAATTCCGATTCAAACTCTGTTCTTGGTCCTTCGTATCGTCGTTAAGCACTACTATGTGTTCGTAAAAATCAAACTTTTTTGCTGGATTCATTGTTATCTTCAAATTCAACAAACAAACAAACAAACCTTTACTTGCTGCCTTAGCCAGCTGAGCCTCTCCTTTTGTCCTTTGTTCTATATACCATTTTGTATTTTACTTGCATCAATATCACTGCATCATTCAAATTCATTTTTATGCAGTTAAAACATGCAATACACAACTATATATATATATATATATATATATATATATATATATATATATATATATATGAGAGAGAGAGAGAGAGAGAGAGAGAGAGAGAGAGAGAATCTGCTAAAATAACAAGAGAATGGGAAAGTTGCAGCATTGAGGAAAAGTTCGGGGAACCTCGGAAGAAGGTATGAAATTCAAAGTTGGAACTTTAGAATTGTTTTCAAAAGTGGACTTGAACTCGAGAGCCTGATACACACACAACTTACTAGCTGCAAAAATGGGAACCTAAACTTTATCACCATTGAAATGCTTTGAGCATATATTCTCTATACACTTTAATCCTGTGAATAAAATTTTACGTACATATCCTACCGGAGTTAAAAAACACGAAAAAAAAATGTTAATATATACAAATAAGAACTGGGAAACACCACTTTCAAAAGTGGGGGAAAGTATTACTCCACAGTTAAAGCCTTAGGTGTGATATTCCAATTATAATTTATCCATGAGAATCGTTTGTTGACTTGTCTTCTGGTTCATGTCGTACATTTTCTTTTCAGGTGAAGTGTGGAAGAAAGATAGTACAGAAAGAGACACTAGACCAAATCTGATAAAAGTTGATTATATAATCATGACTTATATTCCATTTTAATAGTGTTAATTCAACTCATCATTCACAGTAAGTGCATAAGATCTTGTCAACCATCATAATCTAAGCACCTTCAATGACCTTAAAATAAATTATCTCATAAAACACCTCCAACTTTGGACACTTAGATTTCGATTATATTGCTCACTAATCAAACAATTAAAAAATCTTTTTCATACTCGTGACTGTGTAAAGGTGGTGTTTGTATTATCAAATATAGAAAAGACAAACGCTTTTGGATAGAAAAATCGTGCATGATCCTCGTACTTCCGTGACTAAACAGGAATTAATATCATAAGTGGTTTAAATAAACTGAATCAATGGATATACTTCATGAATTCACCAATAGTAATAATGGTGTACAAAAAGATTTAGATGTAATAATTTTAAGAAGAAATAGCAATGTCTAAATATGCTATGTCCAAATCTTAACTCAAATCAAATCATTAAATAAGAAACAAGACTCTATTTTTTATTTTATTTTCTATTTTCTTTTTATTACTTTCTGGATTGAAATCTAAAGAAGACATGTGAAAATTATAGATGAATACATCAAGCGTGAATCATTGCAATTGCATCACAAAACTGCTTGGAGAGTTTGTCATCTTTTTTTGTTTTGTTTGTTACCATAATTTCTCTTGGACTAGCTCTCTCCACAGCATGATCAATGCATCTCTCAGCTATCCTGAGACAGAAGGATTCAGAGGAAAATTCCTTGCTATTTAATCTCTAAAGAAACATGCTTGCTCTTTTGCTTCTACCAGAAGAACAACCTGTAAGAATGAGTCATCTGAAAGGTTCCACAGGTTCAGATTCTTCAAGAAAATGTGCTGCTTGAAAACATTCTGCAGCTTCAACTAATGATGATGCTTTAACCTCAGCCTTGTGAAGAAGACCAAGGTTATACCAAGCAGAAGCATTGAATCTGTCGTGCCGCAGTGCGTCCATCAGAAAGCTTTTAACTGCTGGATTTGAGTGATTACAACATCGTTTAAGAACTACGGCAGAGGAGACTAAGCTAAGGACATGGCCAGGATCAATGTCCAAAGCATCAGCAAAAGATTTTAGAGCCTCTTTGTAATGGCCCTTTGCTTCGTACATTATGCCTGTGGAATTTAACAAACAAACAACCCACAAGTCTGAGAAGTAATTATAAAGGAATTTTCAATGTTGATTCTCAATTTTATCAATGTCTCTATAATTGTGAAGTCTGATTCAACTTCATCTGCTGAAAGACAGAAAAAATAAGCATTCATCTATGTATCATGTTACATATGTTTTGATTACTGAAGCTGTCATAGAATGTACTTTGGGAAATATATTTAATTATGCACATTGACATAGGTTAGCTTGATGTCATAATCAATTTGGAGTATGTTAGATCTATTTCATAATTTTTTTTTTTATTGAACTAAAACATCCAATATCTGATCTCTTGGCACCTAAATGCAACAATATATTGTATATCTGCAAATAATTATTACTCTAAATAAACAATATTCTCTATATCACATAATATCTGGCAGTTATTTTCCAGTTATTAAAACTCTTGGCGTCCTTCCTTTCTGTCACGGAAGAAAATTAAAATGGAAAGAAAATGAAACTAAGAAATAAAATCAGATATATTACCTATTGCATGGCATCTAGATGCAGAGAGTGGTTTGATGGCCTTGGATTTTGAAAGGCACACCTCTGCATCATGCCACTGTGAAAGACTGATATATACATAAGCAATATCATGCCATATTTCCACTTCCAAGTTCCTAGAACGATCTCTATTGTCCTGTCGTGTGGTAGGGAAAAAAGGTAAGAGGCTATAAGCAATTTTCTCTAATTGCACAAGTAAAATTAAAAAGAAAAAAAGGAAAGGAAAGGAAAAACGCAAAGACAAAGAATACAAATAAAACGCATCCAGATGCTATGATGTTTATCTTGGGGAAAGAATTTCCATATACAAGTAGTAGCCATTTTAAATTTAACGTAATGACATGGCGTATGTCTAATCCTGTTGCACTACATGAACATCATCAACTTCAATTCATTCATAAAAAATGCTTCAACATTTAAACTGAGTATCATGCAGGTACAACCAACAATACATTTATTTTTTGTTTTGAAAAACATAACATCCATATAAATTGCACACATGACATGAATGGTAGACCTAGAGAGCAACCATCTAACTAGGAGCATATTCCTTCACCAAATAGTTTGACGATCTGCAGAAGACCATAAACAAAAATTAAAATAAAAGATGAATTCAGCACTAACATCTTCAACAAATCCTCAAACTTGATTTCTTTAAGGAAATGCTAAGGTATGTGTTTTTCAGTGATATGGTATACAGTATGTGTTAAAAATGTGTTTATACCAAATACAGTTTATCAAACTAATGCCCTAACTAATAAATGCCAGCTCTTGTAAAAGCTTGAATCGGTAGAAAATGGGGTTTTAGTATCTTATAAATCCTAGTAGTTGCCAAGTAAGAGTTGAATACTTCTTCAGGCACAATGTGGGGACTGTTCGAGTTCCAAAAGATGAGGTAGTGATACAATAGAATGATACATGGTAGATTTGAAAATATGACACCTTCAAGAATGTAGAATCCATATAAACCTAAGACCTAAGGGACGCTATTTTAATCAAATGAATTCCTCATTCGAGGATGTAAGTAATATCTGAAATAAAGGTAAAAATAAATAAGAAAAACACTATTTCGGTAAAAGAAAAAGAAAAAACTGCATAATCAGAATGTTGTTTCTATTGTTTTTGAATAAGAAGGCTCAACTGAAGGGAAATCTCACAGACTCGAAACAGTGAAAATACTTAGCACAAAACTTCCTAATAAAGGCATAATGATTACTGACTCTCATAAAGATAGGAACCAAGCAGTAACTCTGCCCTTAAAAGCTATACCATGCTTCAAAAAGCTTCAGTGTTGTCATCAATACATGCAAAATTCTTCTGAGAAACTCTATGCATTCTACCTTCCACTTTTTCATTAAATGCTCCATCTCAAACCAAATCAAATGATGTCTAAGTCCTCACTATTACTGTTCCTATCCATATTCTCACTTTCTAAGATACACATCAGCAGGACACTTCCTTTGTTCTTAACTACAAACCCATGATCACAAGTTTGTTGAAAAATCTTATAAATTCTAAAAGTTGATGGGAAACTACACCAATCCAATTCTAACAGTAGAAAATAATAAGAGGCCAATGATTCAGAAGTATTCTATCAGCATAAATTATTACAATTTACAACTAACAAACCTTATATAGCTTCTTTCCAGAACAAGAACCAAAACCTTTGCTCTGAATTTGAAGAACAGCAAGAAGCTGAGTATATGTTCCAATGGCATTTCTTAACTTGCCCTGTGCAATTTGAAGTTTAGCTTTTGTTCGCAACAAATCACCCTGATCCCATTTTCCAGTTTGATCCAAAGCAGAGTCGATAACAGTTTCAGCATCCAAGAACTGTTTTTGAGCAGACAATATCCGGGCTAATAACAACCATCCTTTAACATTAGAGCCACCTTCCAGTTTTATAAAGCAATTCGCATAATAAAGTGCAGAATCCAATTTCCTGTGTTCTGCATATTCTAGACTGAGATGGTATAGTACAAGGGGGTTTCTCGCCTTGGCAGATGTTTCTAGGGCATGAAGTGCCTCAGACTGTCTATTAAACCTCTCAGAATCAGAAATGGCCAATTTCGACTGTGCTGAAAGTGAGACACCAAGAAAGAAATTGGCATGATTTTCTAGATGATTACATCTACCATCCAAGTTCTGAAGCACTCGCTTCGCAAAGCTTACTCCTTCTTCTGCAAGAGAAGAGTTCTCACAACAAATCTTAGAAGCCATTAACAAACCAGGAACATGGTGTTGGTCCTCTCTACTACTCAACAACTTTCTGAGAAGATCCAGTGCTACCAGATCCTTACCTGCTCCAGAATAACAAAGGGCTAGAGCATAGTACCTTTCACTTCTATGAATAGTCCGTGGAAGCAATTCTTCCAATTGATTGGCTAAAGCTGTCAAATCTCCAGAAACTGACAGAGCAAATGAAAGGTGGTCTAAAATTGAAGGATCCCATTCAATTCTATTTAGAGTGGCTTTTCTTAACAAAATCAGTAAAAGAAGTATAGCCTCTTCTATGTTGTTTCTAGGTACAAATGACCCATCCATTTGGGAACGGAGATTAGGGGGTGTGGCTTCTCCTCCACTGTAAAGAAGAAAAACAACAAATTCTTTCTGAATCTTTGCTATAGTCTCTGCATCAAGATTCCATTGATGAAGTAGTGCTCGTCGGTAAGACAAAATAGCTTCACGTGGACAATCAGCAAGTTTCCATAATTCTGGAAGCAGTTCAACTGCTTTATTCAGGGTCTCCTGCAATTTACATTCAGCACTGAAGTTATCAGGCAAGCCTTCGGGCAATGAAGACTCCACTATATCTAGAATAACTTTGCAAGATTGAGCAGCCTCTGCAAGAATGATTGGAAAGATACATTAGAATATGATTTGGCTTCTGATAGAGCTTATCAATTTCATAGTTTTTAAAATTACCCCTTCAGAAAAATTCATCCTTTCATCAGACAATTTCTGCCAAAATGTAAATATTATGGTTAATGGACTCTCAAGGTAATGTAGTTCTCAAGTAAAAAATATCGTGTATAACACAATTATCAGGTAAAGTAACACAGTATATCAGGGGAGTATGTTATGCTGATTAAAAAGGTTTTACTATTGTGCAGATTAATATGTAAAAGATACCCACAAGTCCCTTGAAGTAAAAAAGATGAAAGAAAGTCTATGAAGGATGAATCACACAACCACCAGTACCTTTAAACTTTTCAAGAATCTGCAAAGATTTTGCTTTCAGGAAGATAGATTCCAATAGTAAGCCAACAGAATGTATAGACATTTGTGGTTCACCATGATTTTGAGAATGTCTCTTGCGGCGTTCTCTGCTTCTGGAAAGGGCAAGCTTGATCTTAGGAGTCACAACACCTATGTCTATTCCCTCAAAGACATGTAAAGCAGCTACTATATTTCCTTTCTGATATTCATATCTTCCTAGCAGAGCTCTAGCTTCCTGCACATTACAGACATATTTTGCTTTAAATAATCATGGTAACCATAATCATTATTTTTAAACACAAAGAAACACACATGGACAGAACCATTCACACACAATTGCAGAATTAATTAACTCAACGTAAATCCTAAAGTCCCAAAAAATTGTATTGATTAAACTCAATAAATGGACCATCAAACAAACTACTTACAGTAGTCATGGTTTCACATAAATCTAGAAAATTAGAAACCAATCCCTGGGTCCTATATTTAATTAGGATAACAAAAGATAGATTCTAACTTTCCAGCACAACTACAAGTAGTTTACACATCTACTAATAACCCATCAAGAATAAACCAATCTGCCTGCAATCGTAACAATTTTCACACACATGTATACCCACAGTCAAACTCTCTCGAGTTCCTAGCGTGAATAACAACGAATAAATCATATCTGGTTATTCAGTATAACAACCAAAGATAAGGTGATTTGATGATATCAACCTCATAGTTCAAGACACCACTCTCGCGTAAGGATGACTCAGCTTCTTCTATGTTCCCAGTGTCCGGCTTCTTATCAATGTGTTCAGCTAAGCAAGAGTGTTCACTAGCTGAAAAGTCCTTGGTTGCACTTGCAAGAGATCCAGATGAAGGAAACACTTCGTCAGCTCCTCCCAACGACTCCCCTGACCGTAGACACTTCATTATTGTCCTGCAAACTTCTCCTGGCTTCACCTTCCCTCCTTTCTCTAATCCTGCTTCCCATACTGCAACTCTTCACTCAAAATTCTGCAAACCAGCAATGTCACACATAATTCAAAACTCAGACATCACTAAACAACCATTTCAGAACTCAAGGCTATAATATGCAATGGAATCGAAATCCCATAACAGGAAAACAAACATTACAGGAAATTATAAAGTAATTAGAAAACAAGTACAATCCTTTAAGTCAACAACCACAAACCCCACCACTAAAAAGTAAAATTCGATTCAAACCCATTCAGATTCCCTCATCTTCGTTCCGTTGTATTGGCGCAAACCCCTTTAAACTTTTTAAAACCACATGCCAAATAAAACTGAAGAAAAAGGAAAGCAGAACCGACATCACGAAATTGAAACCGACCCACAGTGACTCAGCACCTACAAAATTCAGAACAAGCGGAAAAAAGGCAAAACATTTCCATACACAAAAAAAAATGCTAGTGAGGAAAGCTTAGGAAAAGGTTTGAATTTGAGCCGTAGAAACCAGTATAGTACACAAGAGTAAAGCTCTCACCGTTTGAATTTGCAGAAAGATAAGCATAGCGTGCAAACAGCGACACCCATTACTGAATTTGAGCAATCAAATCAAAGGCACCTTTGAATCAACGAAAGCAAAAAAGTAAAGCATCCAATAGAACCTTTGGTTGTTTTGTTTTTCTATTGCTGCTTCTTCTTCTTTTCTTCTCCTTTTTTAGGTGTGTGATGATATTTACAGGAAGTGAAATTGAAGTGGAAACAGAAGAGAATTAGAATGGAATTGGAACAGAAGAGGAAGGAAGAAGATCTGACAACAACAACAATAAGAGGAAGTAGAAAGAAGAGGGTATGTATGGTATGGGTGGGTGTGGTTAATGTCACTGTTTGTGTTGTGGGACCCAGTGAATGTTTTATTACCGGTGTAATAGCAGAGAGAGAGGACAACTATGTACACTGCAGTTATTTACGTTAACTATTTAAAAATAAGACGTGTCCAATTAACAGAAATTGTTGTTGAGGAGTTAGATTTAACATCTTTTTTAAAATATTAATAAAACACTTTTTTTTTAAATAATGATTTTTTCTCATTTTATAAATATGTTCCTCATTTAAATAATTTTATTTTTTAATAAATATAATATTTTTATTTTTTATAAATACAAATATGGAATAAATCAAGAATAATTAATTAATATTTCACTTAAAACGGAATAATGTTAATTGAGATTTGTTTTTTAAATTAAGATTGTAGTCATTTCAGATTATTTAAAATCTATTAAAAGATACAAGTTTTGAATTATCAGTTTTTTTTTTAATAAATGTTGATCAACTGTAGAAGGTGTTGAAATTAATATCCTTCAATATTTTATTTGTATTTTTTAAGGATAAAACTTAAAATAGTATTTTGAATTCACGTTAATGATAAAAATGGACACAAATACGATATAATATAAATAACCTTAAAATTATAATTTATGTTGAGCTTTTTATTTGAAAATATATATTTAAATTCTAAAATAAAACTTAAAAAATATGTTTAAATGTTAAAGGAAAAATATTAAAATAATTATAAGATATGATTTTGATATTTTAAAATATTTATGTAAATGTAAGTCGTGATGTTAACTGTTTTTTGATATGCACAACTGCTTTATACAAGTAAGATTATTTAAATACTTTTTTTATTGACAAACGTATTTAATCAGTAAAAATAAAGAAAAAATATTTTAAAATTCTAATATTGGAGTGAATTTGAATATAAATTTATTAAATATAAAAAGATTCATTTAAACGACGTTGGTGGTTGCCACGTGTGATAGATTTGAATGTGTTGCGCTGGTTTTCATTGAACTGTCATCAACTACTTCTACCATCTCATATTCATGCATCACTATATGCACCTTCCATCACACTATATATATATATATATATATATATATATATATATATATATATATATATATATATATATATATGAAAATTTAAGTTGATGGTGAATGAAACCGGGAATTATGTTATTTTAAAATAACCTGAATTTTTTTATTTAATTTATTAAATAGGAATAAATAAAAAATCGAACAAGTAAAATTTTAAAAATTAATTAAATTTTTAAATTGAATTGATTTTGATGAAATAAAATTCAGAATCAAATTTTTTAATATCATTTTTTATAAAATATATAATATTTTTTATGTTTTATCTTATATTATTAGATTAATTTTACATAATAATTATTTTATTATATTTTTATTTTATTTTAATAATTATTCATCTTTTTATCTCTAATATATTTTATATTTGTTATTTTTATTATAATTTATAATAAATTTTATTTTTTTAATTTTAAAAATATTATTATTAATAAATTTATTATATATTTATTATATTATAAAAATATCAAGAATCTTATTCCTAAACAAATCATTTAAAAAAAAACACAAATAAATAGAGACTTTAACTCTTAATATATGTGAATTTTGAAATTGGTCACGTGATATATGTGTGTTAGTCATAATAAAATATATAAGTTCACAACCTCTTACGCACCCATTACCTCACTTTACCATAAAAAGAATTCCGACAAAATTAGCTAAATCACAAGTTATAAACTAGAAAAAAATAATAATATAATACACATATCACACTTCCTTTGTTACTAGGTATGTTCCAACTACTAATTACAATTAATCTCGGAGAAGATATATTTTTCTAACATGATTTGTCAGAAAATAATAGACTAAGTAAAATTATGGTTAAGTTAATCAACCCATAATATATAATTTATCATCTAAATATATTAATAATTAGTAATAAAGTGTGAGATAGAGTTAACGGGTGGAGCAACAAGGTGTCATAATTATTAGGCCATGTCACACACTAGACCTAGAAACATAGGGTACCCATAACTCTTCATTCAAGAAGATTCATGCACATTGACCAAAAAGGAAGAAAGAATAAAATGAGAAAGAAGACGAAAATTGAGTTTACTTATTTGTAAACTTGTTTAAATATATAATTACTTAAGTGTTGAATAAATTTTTTTCTAATAAATATTTAAAATACTTTAAACCTTTTTTTATAAATATAGACATATTTAATTTTAATTACTAATAAGATTTTGTTATTTTTAAACTTCTGATGTTTTTGTTTTTATTTTTAAACATTTTTACCATTAACTATAAATAGTTTACATGCAATCTAAAATATTTAAATCAAAATACTTTTAAAAGTTGGGTAAATAATTCAATTACGTGATATATTTATTATTTTTTACAAATGAGATAAAAAATTATTATTTAATTAAATTTTAAATATATTATAAATAGCTATTTATATATATAGTTTGTTACGTAGTCATTATTTTTTTCACAAAAATCATATGTATTTACCATCTTAATGTAAGAATTATTAGTAGCAAAGTATATTTCATAAGTAAAATTGCTTTTTATATTACAATTTTATTTCATGAGTAATGAATATTAGTTTTGCATTGCATATAAATCTTAATGTTATAATAAGCTATTTGAAAAATATAAAACACATTTAATAATTTAATCTTTAAAAATAAAATAACTATTGCTGAAAAATTAAAAAAATAAATTATATTACAATAAATTAAAACAATATCAAAGGTAATAAACCATTATTAATATTATAAATTAAAAATTATAAAAGTAAAATATATTTAATCTTCTTATTTTTATAAAATAATAAATTTTACACTTAATTGAACTACATTCTTAAAAATAGTTTAATTATCTTAAATTTAACTATTGTTGTATTATTTTTAATTATTCTAATTAATACTTTCATTAATAAACTAACTATAATTATTGATATAAAGTTAAAAACACTAGAAAATATCTGAGACCAAAAATAACAACAAATTGTAAAACTAAATAAAATACAATCATATTTACATATACTTAAAACATTAAGTTTAAATTTGCTTTTACGTTTAATTATATAATTCAACTAAAAATAAAAAAACACAACATGTGCAGATTTTTATGTGACTAAGTTTAGGTGAGAATAGAGGTGTGCATGATGCTTTGTCCTTTTTAAGCAAAATACCTATCACCATCTCTATTTCTCGTACGATAACAACCTTTTCAAAACATATTCTTACACGAAGATTTGTTGTCTAGTATCAATCATCTACTCATACCAATTAATAAAAAAAAAAAAAAAAGATAAGCTAAGGAAAGATAAGAGTAGATAAATACATCAAAGAACGTTTTGTCAAACTTAATATAAATGGTTTATGCTGAGGTTGGTCCATGTACAATTCTCTAATACCAAAACCCACATCTCAATCATAAGCAATCCATATAGGATAACCATTACAAGTTATATTCATCATTTTAATTCAATCAAACATGTTAGTTTAATCAAATTTTTTTCTCAACGATTTAAATTTCACGAAATGGTGTGTAGTAATTAGTCCTAAAAATATTAGAGTGTAAAACCAGTTTATTATTTCTTTAATATAATGTACATTGTACACATATAACTTCTTAAAAATGGAAGATATTCATAATTAACAATGAAAAAGTTATAAGTGTCTTAAGCAAGACATACATGTAAAAAGCAACAATATTTTAATACAATTAAAAAAAAAAACTACTAATCATCTTCTTTCTAATTCAAGTCTCCATCTCATCGTTTTATCTCTATTTTTAGATTTTTGAAAATTAAAACTTCGAAAGTAATTCTTTAATATCGTCTTTTTAGAGAACCCTTTTAGAATTATTGGATAACATTATTATCTCATCCATGATTCAACCTTTATAGATTACAATTGTTACAAAAAAAATAGTCATATAAAATCTTATCAACATTATTTAATTCAATGTAAAATTTCAATATTGAAAAATTGGAAGTTTAAAGTTATAATATTTTGATTTTTTTTTAATTAGTAAAAATTAGGTTTCGAATCATTGGTGCTAATAATTCAAGATCCAATTAGTTTCATATAAACTAAATCTAAACTTTGATGTTATTATTATATTTTAAAAATTATCCATTAAAAACACAATTTTTTTTTCATTATAATAAAATATTTCCCAACGGAAAAAGAGGAATAATCTCTTTCTGAAGTTTGAAAACACCAAATAGATTAATATTCCTTTCAACTTGAAATTTACTTACTATTCTTATCAATCCAAGTTGATCCTTTATTAAAATTTTAACCAAATTATATATTCTTTAATTAGTAAAAAAAAGAGTTGACTTCCAAAATCACTATGCGCAAAGTCTATGTTTTAAATACTAATATGAAAATTTTAATACTGTTAAGAAATTGACTATCAATATCATACACCGTAAGTCAAAATTCTCATACAGGTAATGCTTCAAATTTAAGCTCTATTTTTTAATCTGATGGTACCAACCATCAACATGTTAATTTATGTTTTAAGAAGCATTCAGATTGTTTCAGAAATTATGCTATGTTTAAAACAAGTTTATCATATTATTATCAGAAAACTATATATATATATATATATATATATATATATATATATATATATATATATATATATATATACATACATATATATATATATATATATACCCGGTGGAATGTAATGCCTATGGGTTTAAAAAATGCGCTTTCAGAATTTCAAAAAATAATGAATGATATATTAAATCCTTACTCAAAATTTATCATTGTTTACAGTGATGATGTATTAATATTCTCTGAATCAATAGAACAACATAAAAAACATCTAAGAATATTTAAAAATATCATAAAAACCAATGGAATGGTTTTATCCCAAAAGAAAATAAAATTAGTCCAAACCCAGATTAGGTTTTTAGGTCATGACATAAAGCAAGGAACTATAACTCCTATTAAAAGAAGTATCGAATTTGCCGAAAAATTTCCTAATGAAATAAAAGATAAATTACAATTACAAATATTTTTAGGATGTTTAAATTATGTATCAGAATTTATACCTAATATTCGAATATTATGTAAACTTCTTTTTAATAGACTAAGAAAAAATCTTAAACCTTGGACCCAAGAAATGACTAAAATAGTAATAGAAGTAAAAAATTTAGTCAAGACTCTACCATGTCTAGGAATACCCAATCCAGCAGATAGAAACAGATGCCGACCAAGGTCTAAGATGTACGGGAACACCACAGGGTTTACTGCCAATTTCTGGACTTATAACCTAAACCGGCTTACCAACGCTCTTCTACTCTCAAAGACTCTTAGACAAGGTTTGATTAATAAAAAAAATTTCTAATGAAGAAGTTAAGTTTTCAGAAAATAACAATTCAGGAAGAATAATCAGTTTTATGAACAAAGTACGTGGCTTTGTTAATTCACAATAAATTATCAGGAATTGAACCTAACACATGTTTCCTTTTCTTTTAATATTAATGTTTTTAACTTTGTTAAATATTCTAGCTTATCTTCTTCATTTGGAAGTTTATCTATTATTTCTAGAGCTATTTTAGTTTCTATAGTTAAGACATTAATATTAAACATTCAATCACAATTTTCTTCATTCTCATCTTCACTTAAATTAGTAGTAGGTTCATCTTCACTACTGCTAGGCTCTATTAAATTATTAATTTCTTCTTCTGACTCATACAACAATGTTTTTGCTATTTGATTTTTAGTTTCTTCATTCATATCTAATGTATAATTTTCATTAAGATTTCAATACACATGGTCGATTATAGAATATACTGTTCCAATGTATGTGCAGGAAAGTGCAACAGGGTAGCATATAAAATAAAACTAATACCCGCTGAATAAAAGTTTCAGACTTTGATTTGCATGAAAACAAATCTATCCAGCATCTGAAAGCCAAACAATTAACATAAATCTTTGCATTGTTACCAAATTATCTGCTACTTCAACTTCAGCAGCTTCATGGGAAATAATCATATCCACCAGGCCCTCTTAATGTATCTCTATATAAATTCTGTTATCCAACCTTACCCTGAAAGCCAAGGGTTTAAATTCCAAAACACATTTGTAGTAGTACATGACATTACATGCTACCAGTCTTGTGGCAAGGCAAATTATGGGATTAAAACACAGGAAAATAGCCCCAAAACTAATTACTAGTTCCCTTGAATTCTGAGAAGGGAGAATAGATACAATAGAAGTTACTATCACAGTAATTCCAGTATACATGATCCCATGACAGTGGATGAACCAGGAAGAGCTAGTCTATATAGTCATTACCTGCAGAAGAGATAACATGATGCCAAGCCCTTGAGTTCCACGCTCTGTTTCGACCAGATCCCACCTTTGAATAAGTACACAAGGTTCACTATTCATCTGAAAATTAAAAACTTACACAACAGAAAATAGTGCTGTGAAAGGACTCCACCAGCATAATAAGAGACAACAACAGACAAGTAAAGAAGCCAATTTCCTGTGCAGGGCAGTACATAAACAGATAAAATGACCTGTATAAGATAAATAGATCAACATGATGAAACCTGGATCAAAATCATCTGCAGTCTCCCAAATTAAAAATTACCACAACAAAATTTAAGTTAAAATGGGACACCACTTGTCCAAATTGAATTGAATCAAAATGTGAGAATAAATACAGATATCTCTGCATTTTAAACATTCTATTTAATCAAGAGAAAAAAGGGTTTTATGAGATAGTCACCTAAATAAAACTTTTGTTATTAAAGTAAGATAAATTATATGCTTCCCCAAACAAGATTAATAGACATGATAACTTCTGGATTATATGCCTCAAGCAGTGTTTGAGGGAATTCATTTTCCAAACCCTATTATTCATGTCAGTCAGCATGCATCTTTTGCAAGAAATAGCATGAAATCCAACCAACCAACCACAGGGGTTTATTTTTTCCCCTCACCACGGTGGATGATTTTTATCTTGTTTAACTTTTTCAATCTAAGCATTCAAACGAATAAAACTTGCATCCAGAACAGTAGGTCTTATTGAAAAATCAATCAGTGAGTGAGAAAAACCAACAAACAATTTGAAATGTGGCAACAATCTACTTCCCCGTGTCTACTGCAATTCCATTCTTGAGACCCGAACCCAACCAATTACCCAAACCACTCTAATAATAAATCAATTAACAAAAGATTAATAAAATAAACAAACAATCAATCACCCTCGTGAAAGTTCAGCCAATCACCGTCCGCCACCGCCACCGCGGAAGCGAAAGCAAATGCAATCCGAACCAATCCTCGGCGCCATGAAGAAGCTTAAAAGGGGAAAAAAATTTCAACTTCGTTTTGGGCAAATAATAATAATAAAAGGAGAGGGTAATCGAGTAATTTAGGTCAGGTGTGTCATTTTAGTAATAAATGAAATTTCACAAGGGCAAATAAACAGAAGCAGCACTATAAATATCGAGGTCCCTGACCCGCTGCGCATTCTCTTCTTCTTACATTTTTTTCTCTTACATTCTCTCTCTATTCTTCTCTCTTCCTCTCTATTCTCTCTGTCTCATCCCTCTTTTTCTTTTTATTAAATCTTCAAAAATTGCCAGATTCCGGCCACAACTTTCTCTCGTCCCTCTCTTTCTCCCATCACATCGTCTTTACCATAGCGTGCCCCATCCGTTTCGTATCAAATTACTTTTTTGCCCCTGTTTTTTCAATTTACCTTTTTACCCTTACTTTTCATCCCTAGATAGATAAGATAATTACCGTTGTTTTTTTTTATTTTATTATTATTTGAGAAAAAAAAAAACTATTTCTGTCAGTTTTGTTTTGAGGGTAGTTTGGTAGTGACGTGGCATGCGGATAGAGAGCCATGAATACCAAAACGATGCGTCTCCCCCCTCGTCGTGTGTTGACACCTACTAATAAGCGCAAAGAGAGAGATGACCCATTTGACAGGCCCAAGCCCATACCCGTACCATCCACCACCACCAAAATACTCAAGCCCGATAGGCCTGTTGAGCCGATCACCGCCACCAGCAAAGCCGGCTTTGCGGAGCCCAAGCCCTCCAACCAACTCTTAGCGGGCTACATGGCCCACGAGTTCCTCACCAAAGGGACCCTACTGGGCCAGCCGTGGGCCCCACCCAGGGTTGACGCCCCACCGAAAGCAAAGTCGACGGAGGACGCCGGCGAGGAAGCAGAACCCACGGCGGCGGCGACGTGCCGGAGGACGGAAGGCGAGCGGGAAAGGTACGCCGAAGTGGCGAGTTTGTTGAAGGGTGGTGGGACCCAGCTCCCCGGCGTGGTGAACCCCACCCAACTCGCCCGTTTCTTACACTTGTGATCTAACGCACAAAAAAAAGTGGGAGAGTCCTTCAGGACACGTGGAACGATCACATTCGCTCTCCCTCGTTTTGTTCCTCCCGAGACAAAACGAAATCGCGGAGAGAAATTTCTCCCTCCATCACTTTTTTTTTCTCTTCAATCTGAGACAAAGGAAGGAAGATTTTCTGATGCATGCAAGTTGTATGTATGTCATCCCTCTTGATGTATGCTTTCTCATGCAAAATACATGCTTTTGGTTTCAACCATTTCATTTGTTTCCTCTGTTTTATCATCACTCTCTTTGCTGAACAAATCTACATGTTTATCTAATTATCTTACTTTCTTTTGTTTATTTCTGCTTTTCTTTCCTTTCATTAGATTATTGTTTTAAGTTTAATTAATTAACCATTTCTTCTAGATAATCCATTCAAGTAACTCTCGTGCCACATTTTTAACGCCCAAATTTTAATAAGAACAAGAATTAACATGCTTATGGAGTTTCAGTTCTGTGTCATTTAAATCTGTGTTAATTCATTGAACTTGTTATCTTCTGATGCTAGAATTTTAGAAGTGATTAGTGTTGGTTACAGTGGTAGGTCTTAGTACTTTTCCATTTCATTTAACGCAATTGAATGTTGTGTTTGTGTGGCCACGAACTAGTTTGTGTGTATGATTTGGATGAACTCAACTCAATGTTTGAATCTAATTTGAAACCGATTGAGTTGATTGAATTGTGGAACTGAATCAGTTTTTTCTTCTTCCCAAGTTATAACTAGTGTTTGTTTTGTAGTAATTGATTTGAACTATGAAATGGTTTTTCTGATACAAGAACATGATCGTTTATATATAAATTTAACTTTGAAAACCCATTCATTGATTAGGTTTTATAATTGTAGTTTACTTTTTGTTCTATTTTGAACTAAAATCTCTTTCACACCCTTCAAGAGACGGTAATATTTTTGTATAACCGTGTCGTAATTCTTGTTAAAATTAGAGTTGGATAGATTTTCGATATGATTTTAAAACAATTAATAAATAAAAATCATATATAATAATTCGTAATTAGTTAATATGTAAAAAACATTTATATACTATGTGTTTTTCTTACTAACCACTTTGGATGAAACAAGAATACCTCTTAGGTTTTATGAAAAAGAGTTTTTTCATGAAAAAGGGTTTTTTTACAAAGTAATTAAAAATTAAAAAATATGTCTTTTAGTATAATTTATATGGTAATTATTGTAAAAGTTAACAAATTTATCATAAATCATACTTTATAAATGGTAATGTAAAAAAAAAAATACATTGTCTATTACTTCCACATTTCTAAGGGTTTAAAGCAAAGGGGATTTTGATGAAAAAGAGTTTTTTATCAAATTAATTAAAATTTTCAAAATTAAAAATTTCTTTTTAGTATATAATTTATAAGGTAATTATTACCAAAGTTCAAATTTATTATAAATTACGATTTATAGTTTTATGATAACATAACCCAGTCCACAGTTCTAAAGGTTTAAAGGAGACTTTTTTGTACTAATTAGTTTTTTTTTTCATAATATCTATATGTATAAATTTTATATCAATTTTGTTAATAATTATATCATAGTAATGATTCAAGAATTAAAGAATTAAGAAAAATTATAGTATTTAATGTTACTAAAGTATTTATTAAAATGTTTAATAAATATTTATTAGCATTTTGACTATTTGTATGTAAAGTAACACTAATACGGAAAACTACTTTATATCCTTTTTTTTTACTAATGATATGTAGGTTGAATTTTATTAAAGGGTTAAATATGTTTTTATTTATTAAAAATACCATGATTTTTATTTAATTTTCAAAAATTTAAAACATTTTTTTTATTCTTTCTTTGTAGAAAATATATCATTCTTATGATTAACAAACAAAAATGTTGATGTATGTTTGCAATGATACCATCTTTTAGAACTTGATGTGTCATGCATAACAAATCTTTCATTTACTTTTCCACCAACAACGAAGAACAATTCTTGAACTTTTTCAACAACTTGCACCATTACTTTAGTTTTTATTTTTATTTTTTTAAATCTATTTATTTTTCGTTTTTTAATGTTCATGTTATTATTTGTTTGATAATTATATTCTTAATTTTTCCTTATTTTTTTTAATTAATATACACATATTTATCATGACATTGAAATAATAATAATAATAATAATAATAATAATAATAATAATAATAATAATAATAATAATAATAAATACTAGTCCAGAAACTCTTATCACGTGTAGAAATTCATGCCGACATTTAATCAAACATCTGAACTGCATTGTTAACAAAGCAAATGCAATAACTGTATTTATATTGCATTGCCAAGTTGTGTGTATTTGGATTCAAGAACAATGCTCGAATTTGATTAATTTAAACTTTTGAGATATTTGTACGATGCGTTTCATAATTATTGTAGTTTTAATCCTATATTATCAATCTCTAATTTGAATTGTGTTCATTAGTGATTACTAATCAAATGTTTATTCAATTTTTTGCAATGGGTATTTCATGGAACGCGTATAAGGCACGAATAAGGATAAATGAACAAATATTTTATTTTTCATCGAAATTATGATAAAAACAATAATTATTACATTTTAATTAAGGCAGATTAAAGCGAGAGGTACTTAAAAATAAAAAAAATATATTTCATTATAAATCTTACATGAAAGTATTTAAAAATTAATTAGAATTACTTAACTTTTTAGATTTATGTGTGAGATTCGTAATAAAATATATTTTTTAAAATAAATTTTTCTTTTAACTTTAACACAATTGAATTTTAACGTATGCTACAAATATGATACTTGCTTTGGATTTTGTTATTACAAAAAATGCCATGGATTAAAAAAATATTTTCCTTTTACATGATTTAAAATAATTAATATTTAAACGTGTTTCTCGCTTCGCATTATGTCGCTTTCTCTTATCTTCTCCTTCTCTTACAAATAACACTTGGCCATTATTAAATGCACCCTAATACTTATCGTAGAATACTGCAAGAAAAAGATAAATAAATTGAGGTTTCATTTTCTATTTTGAGAAAATAATTTTTCATTTTATTTTTAAAAATGAACCTAATTTTGCTGATATAAAAAAAAGGTGAAAAATTGTAATGCAACATTTCAATTGTTTTAATGTTTTATTAGTTTCTCCTATTTCCAAATCCTTCAAAAACACACCCTCAACAATTTTATTATTTTTTCCCTTTTATATAACATATAAATATTCATCTGTTTCAAAAAAGGAAAAATTACACTTGTTCACGTTTAGAAATAATTATTCACCTTCCTCATCTATTATTTATTTGTCAAAGAGAGACACACACACTTCTTTTTCAACTCTGTACCCGTGGTTCTTAATAAGGCAAAACCAGTTTGTAGATGCAAAAAACTATTTATTGTTCTACCAGATTTAATCTCACTGTGTTAATTAATGATTTAGTCTTAAATTCAACATACCAGTCACTTTTTACTTATTATTCATTCTATTGTTAAAAAAATATTTGTTTTTTTTTTAAATCTTACATCATCTATTTCATATCATTTAGTATGGATTAAATACATGTTAGACTACTCTATATATTATTAATTAGTCTTAGGTTGAAACCTTAACATGGTATCAGAGCTGTCATTGACAAAAAGTTACTCTTTAGTTAGATCAAAAGTACTCTTTAACTGGTTCGAGAGACTTCTCATTAGATAGACGTGTTAAAAGTACCACATGATATGTTAGACTACTCCATGTATTACCAATTGATTTTATGTTAGATACTTAATATTTTTCGTAAATAATGTCTTTAAAATATCCTGATTAAAAAAAGAAAATATATATCCTATTGATCTCGACTTCAGATATTTAGGATTTACGAAATATATTCAAATATATACCAAGTTTAACTCTGCATCGTTCAAAATCTGGAATATTTATGACCAAGACAGGGTTAAACTAAAGGCTGCTACAATAAACAATGTTTTCAACCAAACATGAAGAAATATTCATATAATATGTTGACAGAAACTCCCAAAGTCTGTAAATTTACTGCCATGTTTGGTGTCACCAATTGCATCAGTAAAGAATGGCACTGGTGTGTTACACAGACAATGATCGTGGAATTTAAGAAACACGATTGGTATGAACGCATGCACCTATGTCATTGTCACATTTCTTTTCTCATAATGACACCATCGTGTACTCTTTCATGCACACACTCTTAAGGGTAGATGGGTTTGTTCAGATGACAGCAAATTTGTCTGAATCATATTTCATAAAGCTTTCATCATTTTCCTTTTGTTTCTTCTTCAGGAAAATGACGTGGTCACATATTCTTTTGTTATAGTTTTTAACTGGGAATAGTTGGAATTGATCTTGCTTTGTCTTTCATAATTAAGGACCATCATTCTCATATTTTTCTCCTTTTGAAAATGTGTTTGCACATCCCTGTTTATATATATATATATAATTTTTGTAGCATATTTTCGTTTTTATCTTGCTTAAATTATGATGTTAAAATTAAATTAAATTAATTAAAACTAACTTTGTCACTCAGAACAACCCATCAAAAGCGTTATTATTATAGAAACTGGGTTTTATGCTTCAAATGATATCAACCTTTTTGGTATTGCTTGCGGCACTCCCATAATTTCTTCATGTATTTCCACATTCCAAGTTAAATATTTAAAATATATTTTTCATAATTCTATAAGCGTTGTTATTTTTTATTTGTGTACAACTTCAATAACTCTATTCCTTAGTTATTTAATTTTTTTTATCATCTTTGTTAAAGAACTTTTATAACCATTTTTTTTATCATTTTGTTAAAGAACTTTTATAACCATTAATGATAAGTAATCATTAATATTACATATGAATTATATGTTCATATATTTAAATTATATAAATAAATATATATAAATTGTTCATCGCGAGAATGTTATTGAATTACGAAGTATCAAATCCTGAATATTTTTTTTGACTTTTCCATAAATGTATCCCGGAATACCCATTTTGAAATGTTATCATAAAGGATGAATGGGATGTATTTATAGAAATAATTCTAAAAAGATAAATTTTGAATGCATGTAAAAAAATCAATTTTAAAAATATATTTTAAATTATATTTTTCAAAATACATTTTTAAAATTCATTTCTGCAATGCATTTCGGAAATACATTTTGGAAAAGTGCATTCAAGAATGTTTTTTCAAAAAAATCAATTTCAAAAATTATTTTAGAAAACAATTTTTGGAACATGCTTTTCGAAAAAAAATTCCAATTTTGTTACTCCCTACAATGTATAAAGGTAAAATGGAATTTAGATTAACTATGTGGGTAAGGGAGAAATTATAGGGTGCAACATTCTTGGCCCATATTTCCTAAAAATATTTTAACTAACATTAAGACAAAGGATATAAATTTTTTTCTAACATTCTAGCTAAAATATTTGAAGCAAGCAACATAAGATTCTTCTGAATACGGGAGAGTATCACTTATATATTTTTACTTAATCAATTTATTTAATAATAATTATTTTTAAGATAAAATTCAATATAGTATCATATCCTGATTACTTTCATATTTTATAATAATCATATTTTTAATGGAAGAAATAATATCACCTATTTTAATTTTTCATCATATGAATTATACATTTCAATAACGTGATTTATACCTACTTAATGAGATTTCCTTATTACTATTATAAAAAAAAAGCATTTTTAATAATAATAATAATAATAAATTTAAAACCAATCCATATAATATTTTTTTCAACTGTCATTTTAAATTTAGTAATTTAAAACATTATTTATTTATTTTATCACTTAATTATTATAATTGAACTTACAAAAAATGCATTTGTCTCATTTTGAGATTATATTAATGACACTCAAACTATATATAATTTTAAACACATAATTAACTTTTTTTATATTTTGATAAAATAAGATTTTAATTCCAAAAAATTAAATAAAAATTATTTTTTAGCAATAAATGACATATATCTTTTACATTTTTAGGAAGTAATATTTTTTTTGTTATATTTATAATTTATTTTGTTTATAAAAATTTCTTTATGTTTCATATTTACAATTTAATATACATATTTACGTTTTTGTCAACATAAATTTTCAAATGAAATAAAACCAGTATCATTCTATTAAAAAAATTGTAAAGAGTGTAAATCATTTATTAAAAATATAAGATAGTAAATTCTTATAAAATAAAAACCACGAATGTTATGTCATTAAAAATATAGGAGATAAAAAATATAAATATATTATTAAAAATATTTATTTTAAAAATGAAAAGAGATGTGAATGTGATTTAAGAAAATAGAAATTTAGCTTGTAAACAATAGTTTTATTATGACAGTATATATATTATTACAATATAATGATAATAAATAAATAATCATAGTATTTCATCGTATACGATATAATACGATTGGTTGTTACAGAAAAAAGAAGAAGTTATACATATCGATATTTAGATTCTTTTTTTTTTAACAAAAAAAATAAAAATTATTAGGGTCCGCTTTTGGCGTCTGGCACAGACTGCGCAGTGTTTTGAACGTTGAAAGATTATAAGAAGCATTGGATTTCTCACTGTTCAGTCGAATCCAATTCATTTGATCGTGTCACTCTCCGATCTCCAAATCCGCAACAATGGTCAGGGGATTGCTCAACAAGCTCGTCTCTCGCTCCCTCTCCGTCGCCGGGAAATGGCAGCACCACCAACTCCGCCGCCTCAACATCCACGAGTACCAGGTTTCTCTCTTTTCGTTTCTCACGATGTTATTACGATTTACGAATCAATTTCGACCTTCACGTAATCTGTTCCTAGAGATACCTCTCTCGGAGTCTGTTATTTTCATTCATTTTTTTTAGAAATGATAAAATCGTTTATGTGGATGATGAATCTGGAGTTCCTCCAATGTATAATTTGTGAAATTGTGGATGTTTATTTCCCTTTGATTTATTGATTGAGCGAGCATCGTTTTTAACGATTATTGAATTTCCATAAAACTAGGGCGCTGAGTTGATGAGCAAACACGGTGTGAACGTTCCCAGAGGAGTGGCGGTTTCCTCTGTTGAAGAGGTCAGAAAGGCCATCAAGGACTATTTTCCTAATGAAAATGAGGTAATCTTATGTCATATCATGTGTAATTTAGAATTGCAAAGTGCGACGTGTTTCTGTTAATTCCTTAGTAATAAATAGAAACCTTAATTCCGCAAGTTTCCCTTCCGGAAGCATTATATAATGGCTATTGCATGTGACTGTTATGACGAGTTGTGTAACTGGGATTATTATGCAGTTGGTGGTTAAGAGTCAAATCTTAGCCGGTGGACGAGGCTTGGGAACTTTCAAAAGCGGCCTTCAGGGAGGAGTGCACATTGTTAAGACTGACCAGGTTGAAGACTTAGCTGGTAATGCATGTCTCCCCTTTAGACCTTTGTTGCAAATTTCCTTGTTCTCATTTTTTGCTTTTTTGGCTTTCGATACGAAACTATGTCATATGTATAACATGCTCGTATGCATTGATTTATTAAATTGAATTCATAGAAGTAATAATACTATATTATATAATTTTTCAGTGATATTTTTTCTTAGTACTATTATCGTTTCATTGTTGTCATTGTCATTGTCATTATTATTATTATTATTATTATTATTATTATTATTATTATTATTATTATTATTATTATTATTATTTCAGGGAAGATGCTTGGACAGATACTAGTTACCAAACAAACTGGCCCTCAGGGAAAAATTGTTAGCAAGGTTTGAAATTATCCGAACATTCTCTATGCAAATATGCTAGCATTTTCAGTGGGCGTATATATGCCAGGAATTTTCATTTCTAGAAATTGAAATTTTGGTCAGGCAATGTAATGAAAAAAATTGCCAACCTCTTTTGAGCCTAATGGGTCTTTTTTGGTAATGGTCAGAGAATAGATTGATGTTTCCAATCATTACTTCACAATTTCTTTTTTCGACTGACTGCACTGGTTGAACTGCTAAAGTGGCCATCAAATCAAGCTGGTTTTATGTATGTCTATTGCAACACATGAACTGGTGTAGGCTGGCAGTTGAATTTATGAACCTTGTGACTCGAGTCCTTGGGCTGGTTAACTGAACATGCTTGATTTCTATCAATTGTTACTTCAGCTATAATAATCAATTGTGCTAACCACTTGTTCCATTTGATTTCTAACTCGCTGTATTGATAATAAAAGTTAATTTAATGTGAGTACCCAAGAGGACATTGCAAATACATCATGCTCATAGTTTCTTTATTTTAAAAGCCGGATGCACAACAGCAGCTTCAATTTTATTTTATTTTGGGTATCATTCACTTCATTTATATAGAATTTTTTCAAAAGGAGTTGTTTGTTTAACTTTCAATTTTCCATTTTATACAGGTTTACTTGTGTGAAAAGCTCTCACTTGTAAATGAGATGTACTTTGCTATAACTCTGGATCGCACAAGTGCTGGTCCGGTAAGTGTCCTATTTCAATGTTATCTTTGATTTGTTTTATATACGAAGTTAAATTCTTATAACCAATAAGTTGTTATATTGCTTATAACAATTATTTTGTTTTCATCGTTTTGCTTTTGTAGATTATTATTGCTTGTAGCAAGGGAGGAACCAGCATTGAAGACCTTGCAGAGAAATTTCCTGACATGATTATAAAGGTTTGTTCACCTTGGCGTTTTTCATGATGGTTTAATTTTTTTTGCCTGAGCAATCTTCTTTGCAAGACAGACCTAATGTACTCTTTCTTTCTAATAGGTACCTGTTGATGTTTTTGAAGGAATTACTGATGAAGATGCTGCAAAGGTTGTTGATGGTTTGGCCCCCAAAGTGGCTGATAGGAATAAGTCAATCGAACAAGTGAAGAATTTGTATAAACTTTTTGTTGATTGTGACTGCACACTTTTGGAAGTAAGCATACACAAGTTTTAGCTGTGTGACTTTATACAAGTTTATTTATGAAGAATGACTAATGAAAAATAATTATTTTGAACAGATCAATCCCATAGCGGAGACAGCTGATAACCAATTGGTGGCTGCGGATGCTAAATTGAATTTTGATGATAATGCTGCATATCGCCAGAAAGAGATATTTGCTCTCCGTGATACAACCCAAGAGGACCCTCGAGAGGTTTACTTCTTATTTTGTGTGTGTTTTACCTTACATGGGAATGGATCATATCATCCCTAAACTCACTTTATCTTTGCCATTTGAGCCCGGGGGAGTCAACTCATCTCAGAGCTAATTGAGATGGCCCTCGGTTCTCAGAATTAGGTGTAGTGGGCATTTGGGTTAGATCCAAGACATATTTTAAGTAAGCCTGACTTGGCATCATGATACCATAGTATTCTAAAGCGTTTTTTTTTTTGTAAATTAGTAGTAAATAATAAAATGCTGGACTTAAAAATAATACCTTTTATAATAACGTGATAATATATTTATATTGATATGATTTGTTTTCTGATATATATTGTATGACATCCCTTACTCATAGTTTCGCACTTTAAAATTTTAGACATAAATATGCAATAGCAACATGTTTATTATTCAAATTTGAATGTTTTGTCATAATAGGTCGGCCAGGTTATTAATTGGGCTGGTCCAGTGTTCAGGTAAAAAAATTGGCCTTACCATTGGTGGGTTCTTATTAAAAAACCCAGTTCAGCCTGTCCCTAGTACACTGTCAACCTAACTCATGTAGCTACGTGCATTTCTTTCATTGCACTTTGCTGCTTTTGGTATGTATGTGGAGCTTAGGTTTATTATATACTTATGGAAAGACAGTGATATTGGTAGGATGAGCCTAGGAAGGCCCAAAAATTGCCACAAAACCTAAATGTTTAAAGGAATTTTATTGGATGGGGTTAAGACATTAGAATATTAGGTCATTGTTTTAATGTTATTTAGTTTTTATTTAAATCCCCTAAAGCCAACTGATGTCCTTGATAGGGTCATCTAGGTCCTCCTTACATATTATCATGAATGGAAAATATAAATGCTGATTTTATTATCTCTAACTTCAATGATATTCTTCTAGGTATTTGCAGTTGGTAGTTCTCTTTACTCCCTAACAAAGATTCTATATGGCAATGCCAGATTTCGCACGATCTATTTGTGCCTTGTTATTAAGCCCTTATCCTTGAATCTACTCTCTTTATTGTGTGTGTAACATTATTTGTGGCATTTATCTTTGAACAGGTGACTGCTGCAAAGGCAGATTTAAATTATATTGGGTTAGATGGAGAAATTGGCTGCATGGTGAATGGAGCAGGATTAGCAATGGCCACAATGGATATAATTAAATTGCATGGAGGTACTCCTGCCAATTTTCTGGATGTTGGTGGGAATGCCTCTGAAGGCCAGGTAACTTCTTGAAGTTGGTATTGCTATTCACTATCATCATCAATATAGTTGCTCTTATGTCCTTAATAAATAATCTCCATCTTATGATTTGTTCATATTTAATGTAACTATGTAATTCAGGTGATTGAGGCATTTAAAATATTGACCGCTGATGACAAAGTGAAGGCAATTTTGGTTAATATTTTTGGTGGAATAATGAAGTGTGATGTTATTGCAAGTGGTATCGTGAATGCTGCAAAAGAGGTTAGTAAAGCTGTGCCAATATCAACTTCGCCTTTAAAACAGTTTTGTCCGCTTCTATCCTAATCTTACCATATTAGTGAGAACTTTGTTTTTATAATAGCCTTAACTTTTCTTGCCATTGTACTCAAGGTTGCACTGAAAGTACCAGTAATAGTTCGTCTGGAAGGCACTAATGTTGATCAAGGGAAAAGAATTTTGAAGGTAAATGTTTTATTGTTAATCTATATAATTAAATCCTATTGAAGATTTGCTTATTATGTTTTTGATTATGAATGGTTTAACAGGAAAGTGGTATGGCATTAATAACGGCTGAAGATTTAGATGATGCTGCTCAAAAAGCAGTGAAAGCTGCTTACAAATGAAGAGTTAGCTTCTTCTCAGATTTAAAGTTCGGTTTAGATATGACGTTATTTTTCATGTTAAAACAAACATATTGACGAGAAAGGGATTGATGCAAGAAGAAGTCTCGTTGAAGCAGCCGCAGTGCTTATCAAAGCGTTTCCAATAAGTTATTGATTTCCAACTTGTAGTTCGTTTGGGTTGATGCACGTGGTTTGCTCTTTGGCTTCTCACATTTAAAAGATACAGGTCCCTTCCCTTCTGATTTTTCCTGGTCTTATTCCATGCAAATAACATGGAAAATACACATGTTTATTTATGTTAGACATGGTGGTTCATTAAGAGGCCAAAACCTGTTTCTAAATTGAGGTTATTCAATTTTGAATGTTTAATGACATGTTTTTTGCATATTATGTCTGTTCAAAATTAAATGACTTTAACAAAATATTAAATCGGACGTTGTTCAGTTTCTATCATTTTAAATGTTTTCTGGCTGCGTGATTACTTAGCAACAAATATTTCAATCCATCGTGCTATTAATCTCATCACGTGGCTTTTTAGATCCTAAAACTATTAATATTCATTTGCCAATCATTTTTTATCATGTTAGTGTTTGTTATTTAATGTCAATAGATTTGTTGTCGTGGCATGTCTAGTGTCTTATAGTTAATAATTTCACGAGTAATCTTTATCCTCAGGATTAAATTGATGGTATGGTAAAAACTTGTCAGTTTTAATTTCCGTTTACCTTAGGGATTCAATTGGTGGTCGAACTTTAGGAAGCATTTTATTTTTTATTTTAGTTGTAAAATGTCACTCGATTTATTTATTCTTGTTAAAAAAAACACTGTATAAGAAAGTAAAAACAACCATTTTTTTATTTTTTTTTACAAAATTTAGAAATGCAAACAAGATATTAATTTTGTAATTAAAAATGAAAAAAAAAAAAGTAAAAACATAATAAACATGGCCTTGTATTCTTATTCTCAATAGTACAAAAATGACCTCTGAAAGAGTTATTAGTTAGAATGGTTACACTTACAAGATTCATGGTCAAATCAAAATAAGTTATAACATAAAATGTGGGATACGACATAATCCAAGTCACACTGTCAATGCTACAAGTTAATGTTTCTATACCAATTAGGAGGTAGTAGGAGAGGGGTTGTTCTTCTCAATTCAAAATAAAAATCGAATGAAATAGAAAATTGCAAGTAAATATAGCAACAATAAGTTATACCAAGGGTGTAAATAGACTAAGTTGAACTCACTTTAGATAATTTTATAATCCAATACGATCTTAATTAGGTTGATAATCGCTTTGACTAATTAAAAAATAAAATATTTTGAAATTTAAAAATAAAAATTAGAAAATTGATTATTTTACCTTTTTGTAGAGTAAAATTTAAATTTTATAGGAGTAAAAAAATTAAATAAATAATTTATCTTTTATTATCAATAAAAAAATAACTAATTATTTAAAATAACGAAGACGACAATAAATTAGATTAGATGAATTTATGGATCAATCACGATCTATTTTATATCCCAAAACTAAATAATCACCTAAATTTCAATAAATACAGATTGAACCGTGATTGGAGTTAAAAAAAAAATTGATGACAACATCAAATTAATTTAATCAACCTAGCTAGATCATATATAATAAATCTATAGTTTAACATACCAATAATATAAAAACAAGAATCCACATATGAAGTTTTAACCAAACCATTATATAAATGTTTCTTATGAGAACATCTTTTTAGGGAGATGTAAGAGTCAAACATATCTTAATATTAATATAATATTTTAAAAGTTTAAGTTTAATTCAATATAATTATGTTTTTTTTTCATTCTTACTCTTTCTTCTCATCTCTTTTCATTTTTCCTTAAAAACAGAAATTATATCCTATTAGATTACATACATCAAAATATCATGCATCTAGAGACGAGATAATAATAGGCATTAGTTAACAAGTAACATAATCCTAATTTATAGCGTCATAGTTTCTTAGATTATGCACACAGTATCTACCTGTGATTTGATGTAGATTGAAAAATACAATTTGAGAGTTTTTTTTAGTGTATAAAACAAGGATAATTTTAAAATGGAAATTAGGCAATTCCAAATATCTTCCTTCCATGGATTTAGGAATGAGGAATATCCAAATGACCTATTTTTCATTAATGTGAACTTCATTTATTGTACAAATGACCTGTTAAAGGCTTCCCAAATTTAGCATCTTCAATTTGGATTGTTTTAATTTTGCTTTATATTACTTCTCATTTTCACACCTAAATTTTCGAAAAGCTTCTGGCTTTGATTGTGTAGAAAAACCAACCAAAAAAAATTGAAGGAATAATCAAGATGGGTATTCTTTAAACAGAAATGTTAGTTAGATTCAGCCCTTTTCTCAGCATTGCCATCTTCATGATACTTTTGTAAAAAACTCCCACAACTTTTTGAACCATCACCATTATCTTCCTTCAAGCGCCAGAACAAGTAGAAACCCATATCTGCACAAACGAAGAAGAAACCAGAAACACATGAAGGGTTCTCTTGGGACCATTTCTTCACATTGTTGAATGTTCCACACAGAGAATTGTTTTGTTGTGGATCTCAAAATCAATGTAGGTTTCTCATCTTCCACATTTTACTCAAGGTTGTGTAAATCGCCAGAAGAAAATTCAAACGCATCAAATTTGTTGAGTTGAGCATGTCCAACAGCAAGATGAAGGGTTTTTTTAAAGGCTTTAGATACTTTGCTCAAATATTTGGTAAGTAAATAATAACTCTCTCCTTAATTTAATTGTTACATTTTCTAGTTTTTGTTAGCTTTTTTTTTTTATATTAATTATAAAAAAATGTGACATGACAGAGGGTGAAAAAGATAAAGACATACAGATTGGATATCCCACAGATGTAAAGCATGTAGCACATATAGGGTGGGATGGTCCCTCTGTAAATTCTCCCAGCTGGGTAATTAATTAATTCTCAATTTTCTTAATCAATTTCTTAGTTGTTAATCATCAAAATTTGATCTTGTAGACTATATTGATTAGTGTTGTTAGCTAAAAGCAAAGGCTTTTATGTTTATGCTTATGATGGTTTTCCTTCACGAAATAAAGCCTTTGGGGGCTTGTTGTGACTTTTTTTCAGATGAACGAATTTAAAAATTCTCCAGGTGTTGCAGATCTTCAAAATAAAGGACAAGACAATGGAGTCAAACGAGTCCCCGAAGGTAAATTTTTTTATTAATAGAGTTTAATTAGAACAAATCTATACACAGTTTCTTGATCAAACTCTTGAAAGAATGAATTTTTATTTTTTGCGCATTGATAGAATCAAAAAGAAGAAGTCATCGAGATCCACCAGATTTATCCAAGGCATCTAAAAGACACTCGATGGGTGTCACGGATTCTCCGACAAAGGAAAAGTCAAGCAAACCGAGAACGAGGAAACCTTCGAACAAGAACAAAGATGATTCCAACCCGACCCGAATGCCCGAGTCCCCGGATCCATTTCAGCTTCCTCCGCCCCTACCCGGACCCGATAATATTACTCCTAAAAAGCCTCGCCGCCATAAGAAAGAGAATCCTAGCGCCGTCAAAGTGAAATCCAAAGCCCAGCCCAGTTCTGATTCTGCATCCCCGGCCCAAACTAGGAACAGCCCAATAGCCACCTTCGATGAAGCCGAACACGATCTTTTGCTCTAATGTTGCTCTGTTTTTATCATCTTAGTTAGAGTGTTGATGCATAGATAACTCTCGCAACTAGAAGAACACTTCCTTCCCCATTTTTAATATTTATTATTTCTATCATTTCGTAATCTTTTTTGCCCTTCTATATTCAGAGTATTGCATTTATTATTCACCCATTCCTCATATGTAATTAAAATTACCCACTAATCATGCAACTTTTTCATTTTGGCTTTCAATAGTTTTCTTTTTTTTAATTACATTGATTAAGATTCAATTATTAAATATGTAACTTTACATTAAGAATGTGGACACAGAACACAAAAACGAGAAAGTGTCAACTCATATTGCTTCTGTCAGTGTCACTGTAAATTATAGAATTTATTGCTTCCTGTTCCTCCCTCTCATGCAAAGTGGATCTCAGCAGAAATAGGAAGGAATAAAACTCTAATAAAACCCAAATGTTAAAACACTGTAATGAAATAACTAGAGATGCAGGGACAGAATAAATAACTTATATAATTCAAGTTTGAGTAAAAATAAAGTAATTAACGGTTCCCCATCCTTGCAGTTTCTTCACTCCCATCACTCTCACTTCCACTTTACAATGACAATTAAAAAAAGGTTTACTGGTCAGAAATGAACATGTCTTTTTGTTGTTTACTGGTCAAAAAGAAGTAACTTTCTTCTTCGGTCTAAAAGACAAAACCTATTCTCTACACGTAAGAACCAATTAAAGCATCCTCATCAAAGTCCCGTGAAGGCAAGCAGCACCCCAGCAGCGACAGAACCAAGACCAACCAACAAGGTAAGAGAATCAAACCGCAGCAGAGAAGAAGCCCCACTGAAAACGACAGCATCAGGAACATCAGTTTTCTTGCAGGCCTTGAGTTGACCCAAAACTCCACCACTTTCACACCCTGTTTTGTTGTCCAAACAGAGCCCTCTATTCCCTGCCACCTTCAGCTTCAGCTTCTGTCCTACTCTTCTTGACAATGCCACTCTCCCACTCAAATTGTTGTTCTCCAAGTTGATCTCACCACCATTCTCCAAAAGCCCAAAGGGCACAGGTCCATCAAGGTTATTTTTATCAAGTCCAAGAAAAGACAAATTTTTCAAATACATCCCCATTGAAACAGGGATGTTCCCCACTAGACCCATCTCTGAAAGCCCCAATCTTTCAACACCCCCCAGATTTTCCCATATTTCCGGAATCGCCCCGGAGAGAAAATTCCCACTCAGGTACACTTCCTTCAACGTTGGAACCTCCCCTAGAAACAAAGGCACACCGAAACTGCCGAAACGATTGAAACTTAAATCCAAAAACTCCAAACTTCGCAACCCTCTTAAACTCTCAGGGATTCTGCAACCAAAAGTGTTGAAGCTCAAGTCAAGCTTCAAAAGCCGAGAGAGATTCGCAAGCGAGTCAGGTAAACAACCTTCCAACTTGTTCCCACTGAGATCAAGAACTTTGAGCTTTTTCAAGAGCCCCAAACTAGCGGGAATTTCACCACTAAGGTTGTTTCTAGATAAAGTAACCTCTTCCAAGTTGAGGAAGCCACCAATCTGAGAAGGAACCTCGCCGTGAAAAGCGTTTCCGATCAAAATAAGCCTCCGGAGAGAGGTGAGATTTTGAAAGAGAGATGCGAGAGGCGAAATGAAAGAAGGGTTGTTGATGAAAACAAGTTCCTCGAGTGAAGAGGGAAAGGAGAGGGGTGGAGAGAGAGTAATAGGGGTGTGGTTGAAGCAGTTATAGAAGAAGAGTTTGCGGAGGTAGGGAAAGGAGGTGAAGAGATGAAAGTTGAGAGTGGCGTTAGAGGAGCAAGGAGGGTTGGGGGTTTCGTCGGAGACGTAGCCGAAGCTGAGCTCGACAATGTGGGGCGTTTGGTTTAGTTGGGTGGGGTAGTCGCAAACGACGCCGTGTGGGGCGGAGAGGCAGAAGTCGTCGGGGAAGAGGGTGCGCCAGGGAACGGTGGGGTTGAGGGAGTGGAGAATGTGGTAGAGCGATTGCTGTTGGGAGGAGTCCAAAGGGGGTTGCTGGTGAGAGAGAGAGAAGAGAGTGGTTGTGAGGAGCAGAGAAAGGAAGATGGCGAAGACAGCCATTTGTTGGGAGGAATGTTTTGTTTCGAGGTTGTTGGTTTGGTATTAGTACGTGGAATTGGAGAAGCATCGAAGGTGGAACGAGGAAAACGACAGAAAGCTGCTAATGAAAGTGGCGACAGAGGTGCGCCGCACTCGCCGACTTGGTGTGTCGTGTTGTAGAAAGCGACTTGTAATGCCGTCTACCTACACGTGATTCATTTTCCACTTTTACCCTTCCTTCATGTGCTTTTTTATTAAGATTAGATTCCTTAATTTAATTGTAATTTTTGTTTTTATAGTGAGTACCTTTTTTTTAATTTTTTTTTATAATTTTATATTATTTACCGTTTTTATATTTAAATATTATTTATTTAATATATAATTTTACTTTGTTTCTCATTTTCTTTTCAGACATTTTTTTTATCTTTAAACGATGTTCCAAATCCGATTTCATATTTCCGGTGAATTTATTTTTTTATTTGATGATTAATAACATATATTTTAAAAATATATTTATATATTAAAATTAAAATAAAAAAATTATAATTAAAAAGTATATCCAAACAGATCATTATTCTCCTTCTATTTGTTTCTCTCCATACCATAAAAAAACCACAAAATGATTTTTCAAAATCACTTAATTCCATATGTTTATTATTCCTTTTATAGTAACCACTGAAGCCGTCAATAGATGTTTTAAAAAGTTGAGTTATGCAAAACGTACAGAAGAGGCAAACGCAAGTCTGCAACAACCGCGTTCCATTATTCCTTCGTCTTGGTGGATTCTTTCTAAGTAATTTTAAAAAATTATGTAAATTTATAAATTGTATTTGAAAGTATAATTTTACAAAGAAAAAAAATCATACATCCTAATTATTATTTGTTTCCAATTTTTATGTTGAAATAGCAATTAATTAAAAAAAAAAACAAATATTTATGGCTCATTACAGAAGAACAGATATGAATCTGTTCCCTGCAGTTCATAATTGAAAAGCAGGAGGTTGTTCAGCTTTCAATTTAACCATCAATAATTTCAGAAGCAAATTTCATTTTTTTTCAATGTTTAGATTTTGAATGTATAACGGCATAACATCTCAATCCTAATGGGACAAAATTTACTATAAAGATACTTTTGTCTTTAAAAAGAATGAATGAATTTAAGGATTATTGAGAATATACTTCCATTTTTTAAATATATTAATAAATTACGTCTATAGAGATATATTTTAAGAAATTAAAAAATTATGACTTGAAATAATTTGCATGTTATTCAAAGTTCAAAATTATGTCATTTGCATAAATCCCCATTTGAAATTTTCAGTGTTTAAGAAAAAACTAGAATTGTGTATGTACGATCACTGAATTTTATTTGTCGTTCTGTTAAAAAATATATAAAAGTTTACAGATTTACCAGCTTTGATTTGACAGCATAAATGACCCCTTGTTCAGGAAGAATATATCTGCTAATGTGAAAGGTCTACAACAAAGAATCCACCACATGAATAGATTTTGTCCATCAAAAGGAAATTTTGTCCATACGTCCTCTTATTTTTATTAAAAATAATATTAATAATTTACAACTTTAGAAATATATTAACAATTACACACTAGAATCGACCTAGTTGTAGAGAATTTTGATAATTTACATCATATCCTAAGTTCAAACTTCATTTCAATAAATAATTCCAAAAAGTGAAAGAGTTTTTGTTTGAGAGGTTTTCTTGTTCTCTAGATCTTGCAGCATCGATATAGAAGTATTTTTCAAAGTATAAGATTAGAAATGAGCAAAGCAGGGAACTGCTTGCCATCACTGAGAGAAGAAAAGAAAAATGAAAGAAAGCAATGGTCTGTGAAGAGCAACTGAAACCTCAGAAGATCATCATGAAACCACAGCAGCCATCATATAGTTACAGAAAATCTAGTGCTACCACAGTCATGGCTTCTTGGCCTGCATGAAAAAACACTACCAAATTTCACAACCCCTTGGATGGAAGCAAAATAATGAATGATTATGTATGAATATTCTCACACCAATGTATACCATAATAGCTGATTTTCCTTGACACAGCCAGGGAAGGAAAAGAATGAAACTTACCTTGCTCAGGTATTTTTTCTGAATTTTCAGTGCTTCAGTGCATGCTTTTTTAGCATCAAGATTTGAGGTGATGTCACCCAAGATCTGAAGAGATAGTTTAAAGTGAGATACATGCAGAAACATATGCGACAACATTATAAGGGAGAGATGCAATGAGAGAGGGACCTTGACAACATCATCGACACCCTTAGCCTCATTTAAAATCCGCCTATTCTTGATCTCAAGAACACTTGCAACAAGAAAAACGGCCAGTGCACTATTTTCCTCTACATGGCCAGTCTTCACATTTTTTCTCTCAAATTTTCCATATTGCTTCAAAATTTTGTCATTTGCTGGAGGTGAGGGACCTTTTGTCTTATTATCTGGATCCTCATACATTGCGAAGATGTTTGGGTTGTATTCCATGCCCCACATCAACTGGAAACAATCTATATTATGTCTCAACAATGAGCAATTAATGTGAAGTACTCTATCTCATCAAGAAATGCTGAGGAACCAGACAATGGTAGCTCCTCAACTTTTAAAAATGCATTTCTTGAGAAAATTTATATTGTAGTAGGAATCATCCATACCTCCCAAAGATATAAAGTATCTGCAAAAGAAAATTCTCTTCGGAAAAGAACCATAAGCATGCGAAATGCAAAAAGATACTCTCCTCCGTCTAAATCCTCTGCAAAACAAAAAGTGAAGTTGAAAGAGTTGCTTTCTTGGTTCTTTCACACTGATATATAGAAGAATGCTTCATCATGCAATATTAGTAACAATCATGCAGATACTTGTACAATTTTCTCGGAATATCATTGTCAAAGAAATAATTATTTTCACAAACATATACCATCTTAAACTGAAAAGATTTTGGATGCATTTGACGCTGAATCTGGTTCAAATATGTAGATGAAGAATCTGATTCAGGAAACTATGACTCAGCATATTAGAAGCTTCCCAAACAAGTTTACGTACCAAGGTGATGATGAAGCTTTGGATCAACTGTTTTTATTATCTGTGAGAGTGTAGATAACTGGGATTGGACCCCCATTGAACTTGCACTGCACCTGAAGTTCTCTCTCTAATATGTAAATACGATTGAAAAATAAGTAATTGAAATCACACACCAAACAAAGTTAACATCAAGTGAATCAGAAGCACATCTTTATTTGAACTAGTTAGCAATAATAATTTTCTCAACTGCAGCATACTCACTTGATTTTCCACATTTGAGAAATGACTGGGTACAACACTAATAAAATAAGAAACAAGCCACTACTTTTTCTTGAGGAATCAGTTCAATCCCAACAGTAGAGAGTCTGTATTTCAGGACATAGTCATACAACTTTTTGTGCAACAAGATTTCACGAAGTGTCAAAAACATGTATATGAAACAAACAGAACAGGAACAATGTTAGAGAAATTCCTTCCTTTTCTAGTCTAAACTCTCACCTCTAAGTCAAAGTACCAAATAAGTCATGAGAATAGTAAAAACAAAGCATGAAAAGAACATCAGTCTGATGGACAATTAAGCATGTGTTCTAACATTTTTTCAACGCAGTACCCACTAGTTGTAGTTTCTCATCATCAATTATCCAACAAAGAAGCACATAGGCAAGTTTGTTGTAGCATTATGTCTGACTTACCATCCTTCGCATGGCACGGTCAAAGCACCAGTAGCAATCTGCTTCATTCTCAATAAGAATAATTATAGGTGAGCAAATATCATTCATTCCTGCACAAAAAAAAAACATCTAAAACTTCTCGAAGCTGTTTCAGTTTAACATCTAAAAATTGAGAACTATAACAATTCACCTTGTACATAACCAATATCATTGTCCAACCAAGCATAAATTGATAGCACATCCCAAAGTTTTGCTTGATTATCTTCACTCTCATAAAAGACAAGTGCTCGATCTGTTCGGACAACATCCAGGCCTACAATGAAAAAATAATCAATTGTGGTTGCTTGTTAGAACAAATTAATTATTAATAAAACACAAGCAGACATTTTATAACGAATTATAACAGCATATGACCATCCACATCAGAAATCAAGCTGAAGGCATTCTGCCTTACTATGACAAATGCTATACAAAATTTCAGGTCGCTATTCCATTTAATGACTTCTAAATTTGTTAATTAGCTGCATTTATGGAAGTATAAATTATATGGTTTCTAAGCAAGGATGGTGCATTCGCTATTACTTATTAAATCCGTTCCTTAAAAATTGGCTTAAATTTCTTCAAAGCTTAAACTATATGTTTAGAATATTTGTCCTTATAGCAGTGAAAATTTACTTGCTAACCAATTGCGTGAAAAGTACTGATAGAATTATGACAACACCCGCAAAAGAACACAATCTGTAAGTACAAAAAGAGTTCTCACTTTCTCATGAATCCACAAATTTATGGTACTAGATTGAGTTTAGTGAAGCCCAAGAAGCAGAACTTGTTGAACAAAACTAAAACCGAAGAGAATGGACAAAGTATCCAGTATTTTTGCAGAAGCATTTACATACCAATCTGATGTAATAACTGCATCCACTGCACAACTTTCTTGTCTGAAAGATGGACACCTATCAAAGAAGGATCTGTTGGATTACCTTCATCATCAATGAGAGGTGTAGTAATAAATTTCCCTGTACCAATGACTGGGACCATCTTTTGACATTCAGCTTTCCACATATCATACTGCCCCCTGAATAATAAATTTACAAAAGATGTCATTCTGTTTATTTTCAATCAATTCAAAGAAGAAGTCACCCTGTCTCGATTTACTATAGTCTAGATTATTTGGGAGATAAAACAAACAGAACTAATCTTCTTGTTCAGATCTTATCATGAGGCACCAAGCTAAAAATTAATAGGAAGCATGGCATTCAAAAGGTAACAGTTTTGGTCTCACAATACACAGCAATGGTCACAGTGGCAGGAATGGTGGTGATAAAAGAGAAAATTTCATTCTTTCTTTCTATATTTTAACATGAATTCATTTTGTATTTAAAAAACCAAAACCCAAATAAAGGGGGGTCATGTCCTGTCAGAGATTGAATTGTGTCGTCTTTTGGTGTGTCCAGTAACTAGGTTGTGTCGTCATTGGCATTTCCAGTGCATTGGCAGCTGGAGCCAGCAGGAAAGCACAGCAGGCAGTGGCAATTGGAGTGTGGAGGAATTGATGGATGACGGCTAAGTATAGTTCATTTATTTGATTTGTTCTAGTTCCCAAATATGTTAGATACTAAAAGGTGATAACACGGTCCCTTTTCACAGGTTAAACTGTACAAATTGCGTTCTTAATGAACAAACGCCTGAACTCAGAAGAAGATCGCAGATTTTATAGAAAAACATTTAAATGGAAACATACCTCCTGCGTTGCTTGAGCTCATTCCGTTCTTCAAGTGTACTGTTAGGATCATAGCAACCTAGCAAGAACTCCCACACTTCCCCTTTGATTGAAGGATGGACACCCTAAATAATTTATAGAAATAAGTACAGACACAAATCAGAAGGAATAAAACTTGAACAATAATATTATGATAATGGATGTAGCGTTTTCTATTTACATTGCATGAAACATATAAAGCACGTGAAATGGTCATCATGACAAATCATCATCTTATGGTGTATCTTTTATAGAGTGTCTATAAGGCTGTGAAGGACAGGAAGGGGAGTGCCATCAACCAACTCTCCTAAGTTTATGCTCATAGCCTCATAGGTATAAAACACATGAATGATTTTATACTTCGATAACTCTCCGAAGTTGAAGCATAGATAATGCACTGGTGACTACGAGGATAGAACTATAGCCATTAGTCATAGAGGTTCTAAGGCATCTCCCCCAATGAGAGAAATTCATTTAGGTTTCTTAGTGCATTGAAAGTGTGTCTGGTAGTTCCTACAGTGTTACATCACTCATAAGAAACCAATATATTATTTCGTTCCAATAGTTAAAAACTCAAGAAACTTATAGAAATTCATACATCTTGAAGCAATAATTATGAAGAAACATAAGAAACTCCAAGAAACCCACATATATCAAAACGGATGGTACAGTCCAGTATAGCCTTATGGGCCAAAAAAAAATTTAATGATCCACCTCGCCTATATTTAAAAATGGGCCAAATTTTTTTGCAGAACCTCATCCTATGTTAGGTCAACAGGTTAACTGACAATTTTTTACCAAATTAAAAATAAAAAATTATTTTATTTATATAAATTTTTTTTTAATTTTGTTTGAAAAAAATAATGGCATCCATTTATTTATTCAAAATTAACTCATAACCTATCTAGACAAAATAAAATAATAAAATATTATCGTACAAAAATTTATCGAATAAAATCATAAAATATTTACTTCTATTGTATCTATAATTAATAATAAAAAGTAAACAAATAATATTAAATAAATAAAGTTTATATAATATAAAGATTATAAAATATTGAATACTAGTATACCAAAAGCTGATCATAACCATGCAACCAATTACGAATACAAATGAGAGTTTATACATTTTATGAAGTAAACCATTTTTATACCTGACCACTGATGTTAAATGATGATATTCTAAAGTTAACGTTGCAATTGAAATACTTAAAATGTCACAAAATCAACAAAATGAGTGGAATGTTTGAAATGTTACAAAATCAACAAAACAAGTCGTTCCAGTGAGAAGTTATAGTTGTTCAAGCATACATCCTTTAGCTTTTTCGTTTGTGTTAAATAAACCTTATAAACCTCTGTAATTGAAGTGTTTCTAGTAGATGGAAGATCATGTTTAATAATACATCTACCAAGTGCATCCCGATAAACTTTAAAGTCAATTTTCATTGCTTCAACTAGTTAGTTTTATTATCCAAGATAGGATCATATAATGATACTTTATAAATACACTACATTTAAGAAAATGTCGTCTTAAAATGATTGGTCCCTGAAAACAAATATGATGACAATAACAACAACGACAAAGAGAAAGAATTAACAAAGTAAATGGAGTTTATGTTTAAGGTTTATTATTTTTTCTAAATTACATATATATATATATATAATATAAAATATATTACCAAATTAATCTATATATTTTTTAATAATGTTGAAAGTCCCACATCGCCTATCTCATATCATTTGGTATGGTTTAAATACATGTTAGGCTACTCCACATATTGCCAATTGGTTTTATGTTGGAACCTTAACATGGTATCAGAGCCAAAGCCTAACATCTTTCCGATTATTGTCATGGGCCAAAAGTTGCCCTTTAGTTAGGTCAAAAGTACCCTTTGTCTAGTCCTGAGGCTTCGTTGGAGGGGTGCGTTGAAAGTCCCACATCGCCTATCTCATATCATTTGGTATGGTTTAAATACATGTTAGGCTACTCCACATATTGCCAATTGGTTTTATGTTGGAACCTTAACAAATAAAATAATATTATTTTTATTTTATTTTAAAAGTAATAATTATTTTATATAACGGGCCAGCTCATAAGTCTACGACTAACCTGATCTAAGTCCATTTAGGTTGGACCAAAATTAGTTTAGTTCTATTCAGGCCATAACTTATTTTTCGGGTTTTTTGAACTGGTCCAACGAACTAAACCTATTTTGACACCTCTACTTCCACATATGAGATCACACCAAGTTGGCTTCGGGCAGTGTAACTCCGTCAATTTGCTCGTCTTGTCCACCATGTTCGCATGATGATGGAATTTGCAAACCTTTCATTTTGTATTAACTAAACTTTAAAAATTAATTTGGAATTAAAATTTATGGTAATCCGACAACAATAAGGTACTTTATTTGATTATGTGACTTTGGTGGCTGTTAGGATCGAGCGCTTACCACTAGGCCAAAAGCTATAGCCATTAGTCAGAGCGCAACTCTTTTTACTTTAACAGCCCAAGCGCCACGATTCAATTGTGACTCGGCCCACCTGACCTTCGTCACAGGACAATTGATGCTACCTGCAACAATCTCCCCCTCAGCAATTGTCCTACAAGGTATCCCACTCTTGGATTGTGACTTGGCCCACCCGGCCTCTGCCACGGGACAATTGTGCAACCTGCAACAATCTCCCCCTCAACAATTGCCCACCAGGAATAGAACTGGTGAGCCAGAGCATTTTGCTGAGGCTATGCAGGGAGATGAATCTATTAAGTGGGAGCTAGCAATGGAAGATGAGATAAAGTCCCTTCAGAAGAATAAAACATGGTCTTTAACCAAGCTACCAGAAGGAAAGAAAGTTTTGTAAAACAGGTGGGTCTATAGGTTGAAAGAAGAACCAGATGGCAACAAAAGATATAAGGCTAGACTCGTAGTGAAAGGGTTCCAACAAAGACAAGGAATTGACTTCACAGAAATTTTCTCTCCTGTTGTCAAGATGACTACCATCAGAGTTATCTTGAGTATAGTAGTTGCAGAAAATCTTCATTTGGAGCAGTTAGATGTCAAAACTGCATTCTTACATGGGGATCTTGAAGAGGAAATTTTTATGACACAGCCAAAAGGTTTTGAAGTACAAGGCGGAGAAAATCTTGTATGCAAGCTTCATAAAAGTTTGTACGGATTAAAACAAGCGCCGAGACAATGGTACAAGAAGTTTAATGAGTTTATGAGAAACTCAGGATTTCGCAGATGTGAAGAAGATCACTGTTGTTATGTGAAGAAATATGTTGATAGCTATATCATTCTTGCCTTATATGTTGACGACATGTTGATTGTTGGAGCTAATATGGCAGAAATTGACAAGTTGAAGAAACAATTGTCGGAGAGCTTTGAAATGAAGGATCTTGGTCCAGCCAAGCAAATTCTTGGTATGAGAATCTCCCGAGATAGAGATAAAGGTATTTTGAACTTATCTCAAGAAAAATATATAGAAAAATTGCTTAGCAGATTCAATGTTGGGAATGCTAAAACCAGGAATACACCTTTGGGAACTCACTTAAAGTTTTCAAAGAGGCAATCTTCTCAAACAGAAGAAGAAGAAAGTCACATGTCTAAAGTGCCATATGCATCTGCAGTAGGAAGCTTGATGTATGCTATGATTTGCACCAGACCAGACATAGCACATGCAGTAGGAGTTGTGAGCAGATTTTTATCAAATCCCGGAAAGGAGCATTGGGAAGGAGTGAAGTGGATATTCGGATATTTGAAAGGCACTTCAAAGATGCATTTGTCTTTCAAGAGAAGTAATCTCATTTTACAGGGGTTTTCCGATGCGGACTTGGGAGGTGATCTTGACGGTAGAAAGAGCACAACAGGTTATATTTTTACATTGGGTGGTACAGCTATCGGTTGGAAGTCTAAACTTCAAGGAAGGGTCTCTCTCTCAACCACTGAAGCGAGTATGTAGCTATCTCGAAGCGGCGAAGGAGATGATATGGTTGAAGAACCTTCTAAAAGAATTAGGAAGAGAACAAGATGGTTCTCCGTTGTTTAGTGACAGATCAAAGTGCTATTTGTCTTGCTAAAAATCCAATCCTTCATTCCGGATGTAAGCACATTGAATTGAAGTATCATTTTATCGAAACCCGATAAATGATGGAGACTTGAGTTTGTTGAAGATTCCAGTGCGAGAGAATCCCGTCGATATGTTGACCAAGACTGTTACAACAACTAAGTTGAGGCTTTGCATTGCCTCAACTGGCCTTCGAGCAAATTGATGATGAAGGCACTACACTAGGTGGTAACGTAAATCAAACTCCAAGTGGGAGAATTGTTAGTATTATGGTGCTTGATTTAGTCCCACATCGATTAGGATTGTGAGATGAGGTTCTCTATTTTGTTATATAAGCAACCCTATGTAAAGTTTGAGATATACACAGAAATAAAAATTACTTCCTAGTGTAGTCGTGGACGTAGGCATACATATTTTAGCCGAACCACATTAAAATTCTTGTGTCGTTTATTTTTCTCTCCTTCATTCTTTCCTTTATTATTGTCTTGTTCCTAACAGTGGCCAGTATTGAGTTTCTGCACACATGATCAGTTAGCCATGAATGATACTGGGCTACCTACTACAACAAAACTCATCATGCCATAAACTAAGTCTCTGAAACGTTTAAACTATTGAGTTAAGATTTAAGACATATTAATGGTTTTATACTTTTGTAACATTACTAACAAAAAGTGTACATAGTATTGCTAGCCTACAAACTGTAGGGAAAGGATCATGTAGTTGAACTAGTGAGTGATTGCAAATCCAAAAACACATAGAGACAAAGAGGCTCACCAAAAGAAACATCGCTATTACTCATTAATCGTCACTGATAGATAAAGCAACACAATTACAAGCAGTGTGCAAGTAAACAATAAAGGTTACCCCTCGCTGAATTCGTCGTAGCACTTTTGCAATATCCAAGTGACCATCTTCAGAGAATGATGCTAGCCATCTTCTTTGACTTAGAGTTTTGCCAGCCTGTGTGGAAACAGAAAATGCGGTGTGTAAATCACACGACTTTATGTTTTCCTTTTATATATAACAAAATTCATAATACACCATCTATGTGGTATGCATAGAAGAAACATAAGCACAAATTTCAATCTTGCACTAGTATGAATGAGTTACTCATCACATTCAAAGGGGATTAAGGGCACAATCATTCCAAATAAAATGCATTAGTGATCAAAATAAAATGACCGTGCAACAAGAAGTGTGAGAAGAAGGCATTAGTTGAGAAGCAAAAGCTCACCCTTGGTTTAAAACGAGGGGCAGGAACATCTTCTTCGCATTCTGGTCTAATAGGGTAGAAGGCATTCAACTCAGTAGCTCCAGCACTCTTCATAAGAACCCCGCACAGCACCTCACAACCAAACATCCACTAGCCA